TCACATACATAAATGGAGGTTCACAAGGTGGTTGCTCCGCCGCATAAGAGCACGGCAGCGAAGCTGAAGACAAGACTGAAGGAGACTTTCTTCCCGGACGATCCTTTAAGACAGTTTAGAGGACAACCGAGCCGTACCAAACTCATACGAGCCGCTCAATACATTTTCCCAATCCTCCAATGGTGTCCTGAGTACAGCTTCAGACTCCTCAAATCCGACGTCGTTTCTGGTCTCACCATCGCCAGTTTAGCTATTCCTCAGGTACGTAAAAACTTTTTCCGTTTGAGAGAATTTGCAAAATATAAGAAATAATTTTCCCCTTCATTTCAATTCTTGATCTTTTTCTCCAAGATTAAGAAAAAATATATTTCTTTTTGGTCTTGTTTTTAAAACAGGGGATAAGTTACGCGAAGCTAGCGAATTTGCCTCCAATCGTCGGTCTATGTAAGAAATCTAACGTGAAATTCATTATCTTATCCTTTTTTATATATAAGGAAATGATAATAGAGTTATAGTAAATGTAAATACACACGTTGTGTGGTTGATGTATGTAGACTCGAGCTTCGTGCCACCGTTGGTTTATGCGGTGTTGGGAAGCTCAAGAGATCTAGCGGTGGGACCAGTGTCCATAGCGTCGTTGATCTTAGGATCCATGCTAAGACAACAAGTGTCTCCCGTAGACAATCCTCTTCTCTTTCTACAGCTCGCTTTCTCTTCTACCTTCTTTGCTGGTCTCTTTCAAGCCTCTCTTGGAATACTCAGGTTATAATTTATATACTATATTATTTATATATGCGTATGTATTTACTCATAAAGTTTTCTAGCTTTGCATGAAACCACTTGTAGATATATCTGTTGACTCCCAGGTGTTAAGAGGTCAATATTGGGCTGGACTAGGTTTTACTGTCAATCTATAGGGTTATATATCTGTGCTGTGTTGATTTGGTTTTAACTTTTAGAAGTAAATGATATAATCATAAGTTTTCACATTTTACAACATATGTTTAATTTTAATTATATTTTTACCTAAAATCCATGACTAAAAGCAACTTATAATAATATATAAATTCACTATTTTTTCGGATTTTAAATCCACTAAATTTAAACCAACTACATTGAGATAATTAATGATTTTCTATTTTTATTTTACAACAATTTTTAATTAGTGTATACATACAACTTATATAATTGGTCGAGTATACGATATATGTACTCTCTCCATTTTGGGTTATTAGAAAAAAAAAAATATTGGGTGAATCCGTGGAGATTAAAAAGCTAAATAATTTTTTTTTGCTTTATGTTACATAAAAATTCAACCAATAAAAGATACATTCAAAATACAAATTGTGACAGAAAACCAAATTAAATTAAATTAAATTTTGCATACAAAGTTGAAAGTTCTACACACAAAAAAAAAAATCACAAAACATCTTATAAAATAGAATTGAGGGGGTAGTTAATTTTATTTTTGAATGTGCAGGCTGGGATTTATAATCGACTTTTTATCAAAAGCAACACTAATAGGGTTTATGGCGGGAGCAGCCATAATAGTGTCGTTGCAACAGCTTAAGGCTCTGCTTGGGATAACTCATTTCACTAAGCAAATGGGTGTAGTCCCTGTTCTCTCCTCTGTCTTCCACCACACCAACGAGGTTTCTATTTTCTCTCCTTCCTCTGATTTATTCAGTTTCATTTACAATCAAATACGAATTTAATGTTAATATATCAATTTGTATGATATTTAATGGTTCTTTGCACTTGCAGTGGTCATGGCAAACAATTGTGATGGGAGTTTGCTTCTTGCTGTTCTTGCTCGCGACACGTCACCTCGTATGTTTGCTGATCTCTCACTATTAAAAGTACCGAATTAAATGCATGTGGAACATTTTTTTGGTAATATGCATGTAGAACATTTGTTACGTTGCAACTACAATTGATTGCCATTGTCTCTTTAAACCTTCTTCCCGCCATAAATATCGAACTAATGGTTTTGGAATAGAAAAACAAAGAATTGTTTCTTTGCAAAGTTAATTTGGTAATTATTGTTATTAAAATGGTTATTATTTAATAAACTTTATCATTAAAAAACTACAGCATAAAAATCTGCCTTTTAAAAAAAAAAACAAAACAAAACCACAAACGAATAAAATTATGTCGAATGCAGCATCGAAATAAAACTGAAAAATAAAGTGATTTTGAATGTAGAGCATGAAGAAGCCAAAGCTGTTCTGGGTCTCAGCCGGAGCACCGCTACTTTCAGTTATCGTCTCTACGCTTCTCGTCTTTGTTTTTAGAGCTGACCGTCATGGAATCAGCGTCGTAAGCTTCACTCTCTTTCTTTATACATATAACCAATCCTCTGTTTATTGTTTTTTGCAGAAATTTTTAAATCTTTTTAATTCGGTGACAGATTGGTAAATTGCCAGAAGGATTGAATCCACCGTCTTGGAACATGCTTCAGTTTCACGGGAGTCATCTTGGACTCGTCGCTAAAACCGGACTCATCACCGGAATCGTCTCCCTCACTGTAAAGTTTCTTTCAACTCGGATCATCCAAACTCAGTTCAATCATATATCAGTCTCGAATGTTTTTTTTTCAATCCCAGTCGTCTACGTTAGTGTTTGCATTTACATGGAAAAAAAACATATGATTAAAATAGATAACATTTCTTTTCAGTTTACACTATTTCATTTGAAAAAAAAAAATTAAAGTGCAAGAGCACAACTTTGGCGTTTTAGTTGCGTTTCGTGATCTGAAATTCACCTTGAAAACACTTCTAATAATTTCGTCTAGGCTTTGCAATTGCAATTTCCCATAGGAAGATAATAAAAATATTTTGTCTCGAAAAAATTATGAAAACATTATCTCAACATTTCAACGCAAATGTTAAAAAAAAAATTGACTTTGAAACAATCCTAACTTGAACCCTAACTTGATCACGCCTTGTGTATTTTAACCGAACAGGAAGGAATCGCAGTGGGAAGAACATTCGCAGCGCTAAAGAACTACCACGTAGACGGAAACAAAGAGATGATCGCCATAGGTCTTATGAACGTAGTAGGCTCCGCCACTTCCTGCTACGTCACAACCGGAGCTTTCTCTAGATCGGCGGTCAACCACAACGCCGGATGCAAAACCGCGGTTTCAAACATCGTGATGTCGGTCACGGTAATGGTCACCCTCCTCTTCCTAATGCCGCTTTTCGAGTACACTCCAAACGTTGTCCTCGGTGCGATCATTGTGACCGCGGTCATCGGTCTCATCGACCTTCCCGCGGCTCGTCATGTATGGAAGATCGACAAATTCGATTTCTTGGTCATGCTATGCGCCTTCTTTGGTGTCATTTTCCTATCTGTTCAAAACGGTCTAGCTATTGCGGTGGCGCTATCTTTGTTCAAGTTGTTGATGCAAGTCACGAGGCCGAAGACGGTGATCATGGGGAATATTCCGGGGACGGATGTATACCGGAATCTTGATCATTACAAGGAAGCACAGAGGATCCCTGGATTCCTTGTCTTAAGCATTGAATCTCCGGTCAATTTTGCCAATTCTAACTACCTCACCGAAAGGTTAGCTATATACTATGCTTTTTCCTATATATAATTTGGAAGTTTGGATTCATTATGACTTTGATCTCTTAAACGTCTTTAAAGTCTAGGAACCGCTATGTTAATTTAATTTGACCGGTTGATATACCATTATGGTTTACATGAGCCACATTTCTTCATAGCTATTTGATGATAATATTTTGTACTAACATTCTCTTTTATCTGGATTGCGTAAAAACATTGTAGAACATCTCGTTGGATCGAAGAATGCGAAGAAGAGGAAGCTCAGGAGAAGCATTCTAGCCTACGGTTCTTGATTCTTGAAATGTCAGGTTAGTCTTAATCAAACTGACCTAGTTTAAACCATATCATCATATCCAAAGATTTCTTTCTTTTTCTAACTCGATTTTCGTTGCTAACTCTATTTAATTCATATGAATGTTAAAGCCGTGAGTGGGGTGGACACAAACGGAGTCGCCTTCTTTAAGGAATTGAAGAAAACAACGGCGAAGAAGAATATTGAGGTAAAGGTGTTTCGTAAACCGGACTAATTAATGTCAGTTTTAACTATTCCTTTTTATCTAAACCGGATATTTGTGCAGCTTGTGTTTGTTAACCCATTAAGTGAAGTGATGGAGAAGCTACAAAGAGCTGACGAAGAAGAAGAGTTCATGAGGCCTGAGTTTCTCTTCTTGACTGTTGCCGAGGCTATTGCGTCGCTCTCTCTTAAAGGCCCATCTCTCAATAACGTTTGACTATAACATTTTTGATTTGTCGGTCGAAAAAATGATATTCAGCCGATGGTTAAAGTTTTCCTCTTTTCCTCTTTTTATTTTCAGTACAGGTGTAATAATATTACGTTCCTCTTTCTTTCTCCATTATTGATTTTGGTGAAGAATCTCAACATGTATGTTTTAAAATCAGTTTTTATCATTTTAGAGTCTGTAGTTTGGGCGGTGGTGACATTGAGGGATTAAGCCATCTCAGACTAATCAACTCTCGTCTCTTGTTGATTTTCAATAACATATCGACTTCAACACTTTATACTCGTGTCATGAGCTATAATGTATATATATTGTATGAAAATGGAGAAAGTAAAATTAAAAGAACAATTTCTTGGAAGTGAGGATGTCATGATTAAACCCCTCGTTTTAAAAAATCGAACATGACAAAAGAAAGAAGAATTTTAATCAGCCCAAGTTTGGCGAATAAAGGCTAGCACGCCCTTGCTTTAGCAATTTATAATTTTATATAAATAGATTACTCCTTAATCACGTGTTTAAAATGATAAAATCACCACTACAGCATTACCCATCATTAACACTTTCAAATAGTCTAATCTTAAATCAATTTGGGTTTGGAGTTATTCAAGAGAAATGACGTTCTATCCACTTATATACACATTCCTGCTTGACTCTTTCTGTTTATATTTTTGCTTACGTTGTATGTGTCCTCTGGGCCAAATCCCATAATGGGATCTTGAGGTTTGAGCATATGAAAAGCCAGATATGGCCAATTCACTAGCCCAATATATTTTCCACATGCATATTAAAAACAATCTCTCTATATTATCCTTGAAACATCATTAATGGTACAGAAATTAGGGAAAAGTTCAGAAACTGTTTGTTGAAAAAAAGCTACAAAAGTAGATAAAATGTTAAAAACAAGTAAAATAAAAATAGAAACCTCTTCAGGTCGTCATGTGTTTGCTGTATAAAAAGCTGTAAAGGGACGTCTTCTCGTAAAACTATAATCTTCTCTCTCTCTCTCTCAGTCTCTATCTTCTCTGTCAGAAGCTTCCGTCATCAGAGAGTATTAGAGACTGACACTATTCTTTTGACTTCACACACTCACTCTCTTCCCTAACGGTTTTTCCACACTTAAAAGAAATTTACACTTTTGCCACTCCTCCGGCGATAACCATGATCACATGGCACGACCTCTACACGGTGCTCACGGCGGTGATACCACTCTACGTGGCTATGATCCTCGCTTACGGCTCCGTCCGCTGGTGGAAAATCTTCTCACCGGACCAATGCTCCGGGATCAACCGCTTCGTCGCCATTTTCGCCGTCCCTCTCCTCTCCTTCCACTTCATCTCCACCAACAACCCTTACGCCATGAATCTCCGGTTCATCGCCGCCGATACACTCCAGAAAGTGATCATGCTCACTCTCCTAACAATCTGGGCTAACTTCACTCGCTCCGGTAGCCTCGAATGGAGCATCACCATCTTCTCCCTCTCCACGCTCCCCAACACGCTCGTGATGGGGATCCCTCTCTTGATCGCCATGTACGGCGAATACTCCGGCTCGCTCATGGTCCAGATCGTCGTTCTCCAGTGTATAATCTGGTACACGCTTCTCCTCTTCCTCTTCGAGTACAGAGGAGCTAAGATTCTGATCATGGAGCAGTTCCCGGAGACGGGGGCTTCCATCGTCTCTTTCAAAGTCGAGTCCGACGTCGTTTCGTTGGACGGCCACGATTTTCTCGAGACGGACGCCGAAATCGGCGACGACGGGAAGCTACACGTCACCGTGAGGAAGTCCAACGCTTCCCGGAGATCTTTCTGCGGTCCCAACATGACTCCGCGTCCGTCGAATCTCACCGGAGCCGAGATTTACAGTCTCAGCACGACTCCGAGAGGATCCAATTTCAATCACTCCGATTTCTACTCCATGATGGGGTTTCCCGGTGGCCGTCTCTCGAATTTCGGTCCGGCGGATATGTACTCCGTTCAGTCGTCGAGGGGGCCGACTCCGAGACCTTCGAATTTCGAGGAGAGTTGTGCTATGGCTTCTTCGCCTAGATTCGGGTATTACCCGGGTCCAGCCGGGTCGTACCCAGCCCCGAATCCGGAGTTTTCGTCCTCCGCCGTAAACAAAACCGGTGGCAAAAACAACCAAACCGGCGGGAAATCGAATAGCCATGATGCGAAGGAGCTCCATATGTTCGTCTGGGGATCCAACGGGTCACCCGTATCGGATCGAGCGGGTCATCAGGTATTCGGAGGAGCTGATAACGGAGCTAACGAACAAGCCGGAAAATCCGATCAAGGAGCAAAAGAGATTCGAATGTTGATCTCTGATCCTCATCAAAACGCAGAAACTAAAGGTTTGTAACTTTAATTCTGTTTCTATAAGACTAAATTGACACAAATCCTCAAACGAAACTGCTTTAAAATGATAGGTACTGCTCCGACGAATGTAGACTTTGGCGGCGAAGAAGAGTCGGAGAGAGCGAAAGAAGGTCCAAACGGACTACACAAGCTTCGGTGTAACTCAACGGCGGAGCTAAACCCTAAAGAAGCCATCGAAACAGGAGAAACCGGACCGGGGAAACATATGCCGCCGGCGAGTGTGATGACTCGGTTGATACTGATTATGGTGTGGAGGAAACTGATAAGGAACCCAAACACTTACTCTAGTCTCATTGGTCTCATTTGGGCTCTCGTCGCTTTCAGGTAACTTAACAAAAATCAAATCAATACTAAACATTATTACTATATTATGAGTTTAGAATCGATCGGTGATTATTGGATTATGTCATTATGAAATGTGAAATAGGTGGAATGTGGCAATGCCTAAAATCATTCAGCAATCAATCTCAATTCTATCTGATGCTGGTCTCGGTATGGCAATGTTTAGCTTGGGTGAGTCATCTTCTTCACTTTTTTTTTTTCGTAAATTTAAGTACTTTAATTTTATTTTATTTACTCCAATTTAATAATAGTCATAGAATACGCAATCGTACGGAAATTTAGCATTTTTTTTTTGGTTGATAGTCGAAAATGGTTTGGTATTTTTTAGATTTTCTTGGGTGGTTCGTTATGGGACGGACCATCCGACAGGTAGGGTCGATGACGCGAGGTCGTATTATATAAATGGTCGTGGTGGGAGAACATAGCTCGTGTCTTTGATTGTTGTCGTGGTCCCCAAATATTAAGTGGAAGTTGATTGGGAGTTACATTACATTTGATTTACGTGTATGATATCATCATTTATTGGATTTATAAATTACTAAATTTACATGATGTATGTATGCAATGCATCGTCGTCATCTATTGTTTCTGAGTGTAGACTAATTTAATTTATTGTGAAAAAATATATGGTGAAGGGTTGTTCATGGCGTTGCAACCGAAATTAATCGCTTGCGGAAACTCGACGGCAACTTTTGCAATGGCGGTTAGGTTCTTGACAGGACCAGCTGTAATGGCCGTTGCAGCCATGGCTATCGGATTACGTGGAGATCTATTACGTGTGGCCATTGTTCAAGTAAACTAAATTATTTTATTCAGCTTCTTGTTAAAAAACCTCTACTAGAAAAATCATTATAATAAGCTGATTTAATACAAATATATTGGTATCATTGTAGGCTGCATTGCCTCAAGGGATCGTGCCGTTTGTGTTTGCCAAGGAATACAATGTTCATCCAGCAATCTTGAGTACAGGGTAAGTATTTTATGTTGAATCAAGTAGTCAAAAAAAAAAAAAAAATCCATATAAAAAAATAAGATTACTAATATTGTTGATGTCTTGTGTGGATTGATATTATAGGGTAATATTCGGAATGCTTATCGCATTACCGATCACACTTGTTTACTACATTCTACTCGGGCTTTAGATTGAGAAGTTCTGCTTTACGATAAGTGATTGAAGAGGAGAAAGAGAAACAAGAGATTTCCAAGATTAGTGAAACCAAGCTAGAGAATGTAACACGAGAGGTTTTATGAAGGGACGTCTAAGATTTGATTTGAAGTTCCAAGAGCCCTGTTCTTGTCTATATCTTCTAGGGATTATTTGAGAAAGATGGGGATGACAATGAGAGAGACAAGAAGAGCAAAACAAGGGATACATGACAAAAGCAACCAATGGAGGATAAAACCTTTTTTATGATATATTTTATTTTGTAATTTTCTTCTTTTACTTCCAGTGTGTTTTTGAATTAGATAGATATTCAGTTTCTTTGGTGCTGTGTAGGTTGTCTTTGTGGAAAGTGTGGTTCTGTATATTATCATTTCTCATCTGGTTTACAATGTTCTCACAAAGAACGGTTGTGTAATTACTATTTACCATGATCATTTATATAAAAAAACATCTTCTAGTGACATGTGTCTCCGCCGATTTGACCAAATCCATGTGATTTACTGGTTTGTGATGGTTCCATAACAAGAATAAAATGAAAAAAAAAAATCAATATAAAACATGAAAATGGGAGGTGGTAGTTTTTCAAAGTTTAATATATAACATAATTCAAATGAAATGAGGGGAAGGTAATTTCTTCTCTTACAATTTGATGCATTGTCAACTTAGTAATAAGGGGAAAAATGTGTCCAGACAACTCAACCACGAAACCATATGAAAAAAAAAACGTTCTACCAATTGAATCACTTTAATTTTCACTATTATGGTTATGTTAGACATATTAGTATACTAATTTGGACAATGAAATACTTTTAAAATAAAAGGGAAATTTTCTAATAGACTTTTAGATGATGTTTAGACAGTCTACGATTGGTAGTAATACACCACTTGAGAAACGTCTAGTTACCACTTAGATCATTGGTTTTAATTGCCATAATGAATGTAAAGATATACAGGTTAGGCGCTTTTGCACTCGAGCGTTTGTGTCGTCTTTTAGTAAGCCGTGTGATGGTATTTGCTAGTCACATATCCAGAAAAATGTAAATTAACAGACAGAAAGTTATCAAAAAGTCAAAAGCAATATATATATATAGAATAAAAATGATAAAAAGGTGTAAAAGCTAGTTAACAGAAAAATGATATAAAAGCTTCTTTACTGCTTTCATTGATTTTCTTTGTAAAAAGTGCTTTACTCCTTTTATGGGCTCCTTTCCGTTTTTCTGAATATGTTCTTAAATATTAGAAAACCGATTGAAAATGACCCATTTTTAGGTAATGTGTTATATTGTAACATTATGTTAATATATTAATTATATCGAGTCTCCGACCATTGCTCCTTATTTTGCGGTGAACAAAGGACCAACCCAGACTCTGTATTTAAACACTATGAAAACAATTTAATTGTCTTATATTTTTTGATAAACGAAAACAAATTTTCTTGAACTCAACCAAAAAAATATGTTGTGAGAAAAAATTCTACGTGTAATATATTTGGTTATTAATCCATCTGTTTCTGACGTCATATGTGGTTCATATTCTTTTAGTGAACATAAATTTCGTATTCAATGTTTTTCCGAGAATCCATATTTTTTTGTTGAAATGGAAACAAATAATGGTAGGGACTTGGGAATATATATGACAGATAATTGGTTCAGCCCTATAAAAGTTTTAAATATTGTTGGGTGAATGATCGTTGGGTTTTGAAAATATGTAACCAATTTATAGATCTATTGAATTGGATGTCGAAGTAGAAGGGAACATACTCAACGCTTATCTTTTCCTTATAGAAAATCGGAAAAGTCTTGCAACATAAAATCTACAATCACGGATTAAACCAGCCATTGGAAAAGTAACTAATTTAGTTGATCTCGAGATTAGCATATTTCGTAATCAATAAACTTTTACGCAATCGTAAGACCAACATGCCTCGCACAAAAGCTGTAAGAACTCCGTGCACCATCAATTTCAATACTACGACGTATGAATGATATTTTTTTATATCTTGTTATCATCGAAAAATGCCTACATAATCAGAAATAGTCGTCATATAACTGTCTTAATGACATTGGCTGCTATTCTAAAAAGACTGATGATCGTTTTTATTAGCATTATTTTGTTTTGTTTCAGAATAACTATTGTTTTGAAATTTTTGTTACAAACCGCCTTCTAATAAAATCCCAATTCAAAATTAAAGTTTGTTTATAAGTTAAGTTATTCTATTGTGAGTGACTACACTGACTAGTGTACTTGCGAGTAAAAGGAAAGAGCCAATGTCTAAAAATGTCTGCTTCTTGCTTGTTAGATTCTTCTTCTTCTTTTTTCTGTTAATTTATTGCCTCTATTATTCTCTCTGCCCACTCCCTCATCTCATGTGCTCCCTATACCTATATAGACCCTCCTCTGCTTGTCTCCTTCTGGCAATCTCTTCACTGGACATTACCCTAAGTCAAACATACATTTGTATATCATTACAATTGTCATACATCAGAACACAGAACTGCTCGTAGGCTTAAAGAAAGTTCACTGTAAATTGACGTAACCGTCAAATCGATCGGCACATACAGTCCCCTAACAGCCAACGAGTTTCGTGTGGTGGACCGTGGAGAGCACAGATGATCCACATCCCCTTGATTATTTAATCGAATTATTGAGAGGTGTATTGTATCTAGGATCGTGTGCATGCATTTGAAATCAAGTAGTAACAAAAAAATGGACCCAAAAGAAGAAAGTAACGTTGTCGTTATTTTGAAGTACTAATCCATCTCGTTGTACCTATTACCTGTCGAGTTAAATTTGTGTGGATCACAAAGAGTGATCGGAGGGTCCCAAAACTCTGGCTCTCTATGTGCTTTTTCAATTTACGATGCCATTGCGTAGTGCCTGCCTTTTTCTTTTTCTCGAATGCATATATTTCGTATGTGATTTTTACTAATATCCCCCGCTCTATACCCTAAAAGTAACTTGTAACATATGGGTAAAAACAAATACAGGAAAATAACTGTCAACGACTCACCATATAAAATAGTATGGCATTTTCTAGAAAACCCAGTAAAATCTATGTTACTTTTTTAAAAACATGTGCGATATATATAATATACAACTTATATGTAATATATGGGTAAAAAGAAATAAAGAAAATATATTATATACAGAAATATCACAGTCATTTTCAAATTTTGTAGCATAGTAAGATCATTTACTATAATTATCCGTTTTAATTTCCCAACGGCTGTAATATTTTTTTCATTGGACATATTCTTTTGGGATTTTGTATGAGTTTTTCTTTAAGAAAATACAAACTCTTAAGTTAGATAAACTAATGGTTATCCAAAGAAAAGTTTGATAACTAAATGATTAAAATTGAGAGGAAATGGTGGTGTCCTCGTGTGCCTGGCTCCATTCTCTCGTGGTACACCACCATAATAATAATTGTTATTCAACAAGCTATAATCATTTTAAGCTTTCTATTAGTAAAAAGAGAAAACATTATACATCTTTTACGAACCAAAAAAAAAAAGAGAAATGACAGGTGGTGGTATGTGTGTGTGTCGGCGAAACCACGGACCACCGGTTCGAAGTCTCCGACAAGTGAACCGTTGATTGGTGGGCTTTCACACACCTTTCCGTATTACACATTTACACCCATGCCAATGCCATTGCCTTTCTTATTTCCCCCTTCATCTTTTTTTGTTTCCTTTGTCGCGAAAACAAAATAAGATAATAATTAATAAAAGAATTTACCGAACGCAGAATCGATCCCTTCCGCATATCTATCATAATAAAACTTATTGAAACCATTCAGCACAAGATTGGCTAGGACATAACACCATTCACTGTGAGGCTAGCGGATGCGTCATGCACCATTATCGAGACGGTACGAAATATAGCATGCATCATGCATGCTTGCTCTAATGACGTGTTCTTGGAAAAATTAACATGGGTCCAGACCCGATTTAGGTGAAATCTATGTATATCACCCAAACGCCTCATAAAACATAAATGGCATAGCCGATATTTGATGAAATTCAACACTAAACTTCAAAAGTTATTGGGTTTGATCCGACAATGCAGTTTTTTTTTTGGGCCTAGCTTTCAATATCTATGATCCGTAGACTCTCAAGCGGGTAACTAAAGAAGAAAATCGTGCGTGGACTCTCTAACAAGACCATTTCCGTTTTCTCTACACAGTGGGCCTACTTTCCTTTCGACCCACATTTATGTTTTTCAAGTCAATCTATCCCAAAAACAATTATTTTCACACTCGAGTCACATATCGAATAATCAGTATATTAGAAACAAGAAAATTAAACACACATACTGTATGTCATCTTTTTTTTTTAATGAAAGCACATATATGTCGAGTGTCGGATCAATTTGATTTGATATTTGAGAAGTTAGGTTGATTTGAGGAGTATATGTTAACCTAACTACTCAAATCAAATCAAATTGACCCGACACTCGAAATATCAGTACTGTGGATTCCATTTTCTTATGGTCTCTTTATTTCCTAAAAACGGGTGTGGAGAAAGATTGATTTATGCTAATCCCACAAATTTTCGTCTCCTCTTGCGAGAAATGCTCGAGTTAATTCCTTTGGATCTCTTCTTCTTCTCAGTCGAATTTTTGTTTTAAAGAATGATCATTATTTGAATTTACTTTCACGATGGTATATTTTAATAATTGAAATTACTAATAGAAAGAAAAAAAAAAAGCTAAATGATGTTGAACTACCATATATTGTTTTGAATATTTTGCTTCATTAAGTATCGAATAATTATATAAGAGAATCAAAGCTTCTGAGCTTCATAAATTTTTGTATAATTAGGTTTTCATATTTTTATAATAATTTTATTTTAGTCAGTACGTTTGGTGAAAGAGAAAGAGAGTGAGAACCATATGTATATGAGCTAAATATTAATCCTGCAACCGCGGGAGAGATCACATGCAACTATCATGTCATGGTCACTTACCAAAAACGACATATTTCTTATTTAGGTCATCACATGCTTTTGGACTGAGATGTCTCAATTATTATGTTTCCTTGATTTATTATCCATGTTATTATTGGTATAAGTAATCCGAATATGGCTATATGATATTTATTAGTTTTCATTATCTCACCTTTGTTACAGACCTACGCAAAGAAACATTAGATCATGTCGAAGCGCTTTTGGAATCACTCACGTGGATATACTTCCGCTCCGTGCTCGGTTGAATAATCTCCATCAACACTTGGAAACCCTCGACCGTCGATCGTGACCCTCCGTCTTAAACGGCCGTGATAACGGAGAACGTGAGAAGCGTCCGTTCAAGAATAAAGCCAAAAGAAAGGAAGAAGAGAAAGCACATGTGACATGACATGAACATGAACATGAACATGATTATTGATTAGTCAGCTTTCTATCTCAAATCTGACTTCGACTCTTTATTTACAGAGTCCTCTTGTCGAAAGTTCTTCATCACTCGTGCTCCAAGCTCCGTATACCACTCTCTGTTTTCTCTCATGCTCTATTGTCCCAAAATACGGATTTTTTTCAGGTATCTTTTATAGATTTTGTGTTTTTATTTATTTTCTTCGACAATCTACTAATTACGTGCTGATATTTATTATTAACAGATAATTATTAAACTTGATATGATGGCGGGAGAGGTTCAAGAACCGTTTAACCTAAGCCTTCTGGTAATTTCTGCAACTATGTCCAATTTTTTACTACTTTTGTCTTCTTCTAGTTTCCAAATTATATGTTCAATTCAATTTTATACACATGTTCCATTGATCTTTGCTTAAGTTAAGACTTAAGATAGTCGTTTGTATGTTTGGTTCGTCATGTTGAGATCCAGAGGAACACTGATTCCTTCTATTGTAGCTTGACATTCACGAAACATATTTCAACTATACATGACCTTTTTCCAGTAGTAAGAGTGTTCCTAGCCCTCAGTTATTTGTTCGAGTGTGCGTCTAGGTTTAGTGTATATTTTCCTTTGCGTAAAGTGTTTTTGTTTTTGTTTTTTCAATCAAACACAAACGCAAAAATTGTGTTTGAAACAATAAAAGCCTAATAATCTGTTTCTGAATGTGCTGCAGGAGAACTCTATTCACTCAGGATCGGTTTCATTTGGAAGATTCGAGAAGGAAGCTTTATCATGGGAGAAGAGATCATCCTTCTCTCACAATAGGTATCTAGAAGAGGCTGAGAAATTCTCTAAACCAGGCTCTGTTACTCAGATGAGAGCTCATTTCGAGGCTCATTTTAAGAAAAAAGGAATTCGATTTCCTAGTTCTAAAGAAGCACAAACATGGGGAGAAGTTGTTCATCATCATCATCAACAAACTTGTACTGAGGAAGACGAGAATTTGTGGGAGAGCACGAGTCACTGTAGCCACTACATCTATGATCAAGACAAATCTGATCAAGAAAGAAGCCACTTCGGTGATTCTTGTTTGAGTTATGACGAAAATCTGGTGACTTTTGATGATGATAATAGTTCTCTTTCTGCTGCGTTGGAGAAAAATGAAATGGCTTGTGGTGAGATGAGTCTAGAGGACAAACAAGAAACGACTTCTTCCTCTTCAGCTACATCGAAGCCTCTAAAAATTGTTAAGAAAGATAGTCCTTATTCAGCGGCGACCAAAGCTTCTACCAAGAAGCATGTTGTGCTAACAAAGATATCTCCAAGATGTAATACAAAAACAAGTATTGATACTAAGAGGTATAGCCTAAGCTTATCTCTCTCTTTCTCTTCATGTAACTTTATATCTGTTTTTTTTTTTTGTAACCACTCTTAAGGATCATATATATTGGTTTTGGTGGCAGAGAAAAGGAATTGAAGCCGAAGAGGACTGTTAAGCCCATTGCATCTCAAGCTTCAACATCAAAGAAAACTGAGAGTCTAACTTCTTCGGTGGGTACAAGAGAGAAGCGAACAAATGCTCATGGTTTCAGTTTCAGAACTAGTGAACGATCCCATAAAAAGAAAGAGGTACAGAGATAACTATATTTTCTAACATATACTCTGTTTCAATTTGACAGTTGAATTTTGAGTATATGGAGTGAACATTTACTGATGCTGCAGGAAGTTGTGGTGCGTAAAGCTCTCAACGTTAAAGCAAGACCGATGCCTAAAAACACACAAGCTAGACCTCAACACTCGTCAACAGGTCAAGCAAAGGCAAGAGATGATGCTAAGGAAAAATCATCTAAAGCTAGTTGTGATTGGCCATTGGCAAATGGAACGGCCAAGAGTAAGCTCAATATTAACAAACAGAAGGTGGATAATATATGCAGAGGAATTCGGCCAAAGAGCAGCGACCAGACCGCGAGAAACAACGCAAACAGAGGCATTTTAGCGGTTAGGCGTTCTGCGGTTGAGGTTGCTTTGTGAGCAATTCACCGTCTCTGCTTTTGTTCTTTAGATTCAACTTCAGCTGCAATTGGTAGTACTATGGGCAGCCTCGATTGTTTCTTTTTGTGTTTTAACTTTTGAGTTTGTGTTTCTATGTTTTAATGATTAGAATATTATAACATAGAAACACAAATACAAATACAAATAAACGATCAGAGCTCATGGTAAAATCACTATTTCCACTAATAAATTTCCATAGGCTCAAGAGTAGCTTCTATTTAATTGTATAAGTGGGTGCATTTATACAGTTTCCAGAATTGTTATTTTCCCTCCGTTTCTAATTTCTGATTTCTAATTTCTCCGTTTTACCATTTTGAAATATTTCATACATTTTAAAATATTTTTAAATATAAAAATATACTCATTACCACTAATTCAAAATTGAATAAGTGGAACTTATAATAGCTATGCTAACGGATTATAAATTGGTTTGGAAATTCACATTAGAAAGAAACAAAAAAGAAGCTCCATAGAGTGATAAGCTTAGTGAAATGAATGAGTATTTCATAATTCATATATATATATAAAGTTAAATTCTATTTTATATATAAAACGTTAAAGTTAATGTTTATTTCCAAATAATTTTAACTCGAGGCGGCTTAACTATCCTTTTCTGATAGCCTGAGTTTTTCCACATAATTACTATTAGTCATTTAGTCTATTAGTGATCCTTTTATAGTTTTATTTGTTCGTTCGTTAACCTCCATTGTTGTCCACTACGACGAAGTCACCCACGGAAAAGTGACGTTATTGACATTGTTCGTGCTTATCCTTTAAAGATCGCGACAAATGATGATGTACTACCGTATTAATATAATAATTAATAATATAACAAATACTACAAATAACGTTTAGCATCCCGAACCAACAATTTTTTTTCTGCTTTAGTTCCTCTGCGGTATATTCTAAAGTATAACAATATTTTTTCTATAACATACGAAAATTTTTCACTAGAAATTAATTAAGCTATAAACCAAATGTTACCGAGAGCACCAACCACCACAAGATTTGCCACAGTTACGATCCTCACCGTCAATTTCCCTGGAGCCGGTACGAGTGGAGACGACGACGTTTGATCCGTTTGGTGAGGAGGTTTTCTATAGTAATATGGGAAGTAAGGCAAGATAGCATCCGGCGGTAGAGGACCATAGAAGCTACCGCCTCCATCGCTGTTCGGTGGAGAAAGGTAATTTGGTAAATTCCCATCCGGAGAAGGGTAGTTCCCTGCTGAAGGCGTGGAGGAGCCACCGCCAAAGGGCGGTGGATAACACGGGTACGGGCACGGAATATCGGATATGGTTAAGTAAGGGAAGTAAAGAAGAGAAAATACGAAGACTAAGCTCAAGATGAGAAGACCATGATTGCTTGTGTTCATGTTTTCGCTTTTTTTTTGGTTTGTTTACCTTTCTTGATGAAAGAATCAAGAATGGTTCTTATTAATTTAAACGGTAAACAAAGTTTTTTGGGGTAAGACAAAGCGCGAGAAAGTAAAGATAAGTTTCGGGAAAAAGCTTTGTTGGAGTTTGACGGTGTGGAGTCTAGCTAGAAGACACCTGTCCTGCCTATGATTTATGAATTATTGTGAACTACATTGTTCTCCTTAGCACTTAATCAATACAATTATTGCTGGTCATGTACCACTATCATTCGATTTTGGTCAGTCTTACTCATCGTTAGTAAATGAATTTTCTTTGTTAATTGTGGATTTGCATTGAACTAGTGAGTAGTGATGACCTTTTTAGTTTGTTCTTATTGTTGTTGTTAGTGTTGACTTCTTTAGTTAGCTAGCATGCTATACTTTTGTAAATGGTTCGATCCCAATGAATTTAGATAATTTTGGCCGTATATCTAAACTTAATAACATTACACTACATATAAGTTTTTATAAGTTTCGATTAATGAGCTTACACTATGTAATTTATTGGGTCTTGGTTTGATTATATTCATATAGGGGCTTTTCGGCGCTCTGTGTACAGATGCGTTGTTTTATTATTTGTATAATATTGACCCAAAAAAGTTTCAAAGAACATATACATGCTTTGGCATTGTATTAGAAAGGGAGATATAATGCAATCATTTAACATAAAAAAGCAAAAAGAGTTTTGTTATACGACAAATATTAGATGAATGTTCTACACATCAACCACTACGAATCTTCGATGACCTAATTGTGTCTAAAGAAATCAATGCGTCATTGATGCTTTAAGTGATAGCTGGACTGGATATATAATACTTTAACCCTCCCTAAGAAAGACGGATGCATACTAGCATTTTTTTCCAAAAGTTTTATACATTGATGCTTTAAGGAAACTTTTCTCCTTAATAATAGAATCATATAATAAATTTCAATTTCAAACTCTAAGAAAATGGTACACTTATGATTATATTTTATAGGGAATTTCGAGACATATCTGTATTGAGTGAACTTGAAGATTTTAAAAGGTACATCATAGCTATGTTTTAAAATGGTTAAAATCTAAGCTTATAAAAAACGAAGAACAGTTATTTTGGTAAAATGTCAAATCTCTAAGTTAATCTTAAGACCCACGAATACCGCACTAGTAGTGTCATTTTGTGTGTTTGATATTCAATTGTCAGTTCAAACAAATAGCTTTGATTGTAGTCATAGTAGTGAAAAGAAAAACGAAAGAAGTCCAAAATAAAGGAAATTTTTCTTCAATTTTTTTTAATTTTTGTATGCAATTTTTTAGTAAAAAAATATGATCTAACCGATTAATTAAATAGATAAAGAGATATAGTGTTCGAAGAATATTTATAGATACCAATTATGGATACTTTATATGGGAAAGTGAGTTAGCTTAGTAGTACACCTGGACATGATGGCTTATATCCCACATGTTTAAGGTTCAACCCTAATGTTATTTACATGGTTCGATCCTAACAGTCTCCTTGATATAGAATTTAATATAGGTCTATGCTCCAAGCTGATGAAACATGTTTTTTTTATATATATATTAGTATTTGTAATATATTAAAAGAAAATTTAGTATATGCAGGGAAAGTAATAATACTAATGTATATTCGTTTTAGATTAAATGTTTTTTATACTTCTCACATAAATATATAATAAGTTAAATGTTTTTATAATACTCGTAAATGGTTTAGAAATCATATAGAAATGATATGTGAAAGAAAAGGAGTATAACAAATAAAGGAGAAATTAACCTACATATAGAAATAAGTCGGTGCGGTAGTTATAACTACTAGCCTACTACTACAACTCGAGACTTTTCCTCTAACCAAAATATGTCAAAAGTGATAATGACAAGCAGATGCTATGTAAAAAGTTAGACCTAAAACTTAAATATACGTTATACATGTTAGCTTCTATGAAATTGCAAATGAGTTTGCATTGTGCCGCCATTATTAGGCATAAAAGCATAATAAGCACAGCTGTGTGGTGCACAATTATTTTAAACACCACACTTGGTTCGATAATATACGTAAATACATTTTTGTTCTAACATCAAAAATTGATTTACGTAAATACTCGGTATGTATGAAGAAAGTAAAAAAAAAAAAAAAATGAGAAGAAGGTAAAAAAAACGTAGGCCTACGGATTCGGTGAAGAATATAGCGTTAGCCGTTAGGCGAAACAGATGCACATGTCATGTCTGAGGTCGGCCTTCTGGGACCCAGTTTTGTTGAAACCCAAGTTGATCTCCATTCTTCATCTCTCATCACAGCTTCGACGCGTGTCTTTCTTCATACGTGTTTTAGTTTCATCTCCACTATTTATTTTTGTCAACTCATGTTATTTAAAAGTTACTTTATTTAAGACATACCTGTCCGTTTTGTATCACATAAGCAAAGAAATGTTAAGGTAAAAAAAAACCGTAAAATAATGATAGAAAAATTAGAAATGTCAAGAGATAGAGCTTTCGATATTTATGAATTTTACTATTTTTATAATTTGAAACAAAAGAAACGCTATAAGTCTAAAAGTGCTTTAAGTATTTACTTAGAAGTGTGAAGAGTAAAACCAAAAATACCAAAAGTTATAAACTTTTAATTTTTACCATTTTTTTCATTTTGGATAATATTGACTTTACATTTGTTAACTTTATTAAGTATAATTCGCTTTTCTGTAAAACTATTCCGCATAAAGTAAACTTTCCAATATCGAGAATCAATTCGAACGGCAAGTTGACACAGAGAACAACATATCACATCATACATTTCAAGAATTTACATATTTCTCTTAAGCGAACTTTAATACGCACCTTATTAATCTGGTTTTAAAAACCACTAGAAAATTTGGATTAGGAAAATATGATGAAACATATATAATCCTAGCTAGAAAAATTATTAACCAACGATCATTAAGAGAACAACTAATTAAAAAGTATCCCCACAAATTCTTCAATTTTTTGTCCTCCGAACATGTTTCATAGAATCAAGAGACCCAGAATTCCGAATCCGACTAGACCTGAGAGCTTCACCACCATAAAGCTTTTTCCGGCGGCCGCTCCGAACTGCTCATCAACGGGGTAGAGATTTCCCGGCGGACCCGTTATGTACAAGAAATTAGCCGGCGGTGGAGGCGGTGGGCAGTTTGGTGAGACTTTCTTCGGCGGTGGAGGGAGAGCCGGCGGCGGAGGACATGCTGGAGGCGGCGGAGACGGTGGTGGAGGAGACGGAGGAGGAGGGTTTTGGATGCAGCTTGGAGAGCACTTTATGGGATCTACCTCGTCGAGCTTCCTGCTGGCTGAAGAAGAATCTGATGATGATGAAGCGTTGATGACTATTGGACACGTCAGCAACGTGATCATCACCGTGAAGATGATGATTGCCACGACGGATACCCGGCGGTGTGAATTTCCCGGCATGTTGTGATCGATCAGTTTCGAATATAATCAAATCGATTTAAAGAGAAATAAAAAGAGAGTTTGTGGAAGATTATACGATTAAAGAGTTATAGAGCAAGGAGTTAAGAGGAGACGTGAAAATGAGAGGTGATGATGAATGCGTTCTCGTTACGTAAGCTAAGCGAAGTGCATGGGGCTCATAGACTTATTAAATAGTGTATACTATTTCTATAAGCTTCTACTCTTTTTTTTTTAACGAAAATTATAATAAAATAAAAATACTCTAGTGTGAAACTACGTAATAAGAAAATTAAGACTACTCGTCGGTGTGTTCGGATTATTTCATGTGAAGTGGGGCTCACATGAGCTATTTTGGTTTTCCTCGTCATGAATTTTTTTAAGCTGTTGAATTTAATTGGTGATTAAAAAATTCCACTCGTCCACCCAAACAAAATCATAAAACAATAAATTATACTCTTAATACTGTGCTTCTGTTTGTAGTTTCCTAATATAATTATTATCTATCGTTATGTTTGCTTTATAATTTTTTCAATGGTTTATCTTGTAAAAATCCGTATAGTCCTCTTTATTAAAATAAAATAAAAATCCGTATAGTTGATGCTTTTTCACTCAATCTTGATTTTTTTTTTCTTTTTGAGATGTATAGTAGTATATATGCGAGTGCGTGTAGTTGCTTAAGGCGTAAGTGAATGCTTTTTAAAGGAACTTTGCTTTAGTTGTTCAATTACATAAAAAGAGAAGGTAGCAAGAATTTTTTTTCTTATGGTATCGTGTATGGATAGATACTTTCGTATAATTGAAGAATAATTCGTGACAGATTTAACAGCGTAGACTATTTTGTTAAAAATATATATAAAATTACATTACAAGAGAAAACTTGTTTTGCTGGCCAATTGGCCATGGAACATGCAAAGGAGAATCTAAGTGTGTGTATATTAGTCCAAAAAACTTTGATTATAAAATTAACCAATCATACTAAATAATACATGGTTTAGATGTCGGTTCATAGAATAGGGACCAAAGTTGATACTATTCGAAAGAAAGGCGAAAAGTTGACCTGCATAACCGGGAAAGAACGGGGTTATGGGAATTGCATTTTGAGGCCTTGACCCGTAACTTAAGAGAACCCATATAACTTCTTAAAAGGCAAGGCCTTAAAATGCAATTCCCTTTAGGAAGTTGTCAAGCGCAGCTGAAATCCAAAACTTTCGCATAATGGAAGGTATTATTTGAAAACAGTCATCTATATAACATAATCATGAAATCTATGATGATTCCAACATGCACTGTATCCTTTCTTTTTTTTAATAAAAAAGGTATTCATTTTTTTATATTTTTTTTTTACTAAATATTGTGAATCCATAAATTTTATGTCAAAAATATGATAATAAAAAAAATTCCAATTAAATTTTGAACAAATAAAATTTCTGGGTAAAACTGCGAGGGACATGCGAGGACATCTCCAAAATGTTGACAACCGATTCCAAAATGACACCCTCGGAAAAACTCCGGCTCTATCTCATCTTCATTGTAGATTGTGTCATCATTGCCACCTTTTAGTTTCACCGGCGAACTCTTAAATATGTCGACATGTTCAAAGATATTGAGAGCTTTCTAAGCTTCCTTGGGGTTTGGAAATCATTTCTCAAAACACTGTCTTCATGGTTAATAATTTTTTTTGTGAGTTGCTAATTTGCATATTAGTTCAAGATACTAAAGAACTTTTGTCTACAGGAGTTTGTAAAGTTCTTAAAACATTGTAAGGAATGAAAAGCTCAGAAAGCAAAAAGTAAGGCATTATTTGCCAAGTCTTTTTGACGATAAATTTATAATAAAAAAAAAAAATTTGAGTGGAATATTTCATTTTTGCACTTGTTTTCCACAGAGTATTTCAAACACTTTTTCAAAGAGATCCGACTTATATGACCAAGTTATTAAACCTCTATCAAGTTGATTTTCAATGTTTAGTTTAAAAAAGGAGTGTTTGCATGCTTTGAAATGTGTGAGTATGGCTAACTATCCATTTCCATGGCAACTGGTCTCACACAGCTGGTGATAAACCAATTCATGTGGACGAACATGATCATGGGAGTGCTATCTACAATGCACTCACTTACATTCATGAGTCTAAAGATGACAGACATTTTAGCATTTCTTTTAGTGTTGAGGAAAGCAATCTGGATTTCTATGAAGTGTTATTTTTCACCTCAGTTTGAGACATTGAGGAGCTTCTGTCCAGAGGAATTTGTGAGATTGTTGAAGGATTGTAAAGAGTGGAATGCCTAGAGAGGAAAAAGCAAGGCCTTCTTTGCCAAATCTGTTGATGATAAGTTCATAGTAAAGGAGATTTTGATGGTAGAGCTGCAATCTTTTAAGAGGTTTCTCAAGAGTATTTCAAATACTTTGCTCAGGGACACCCCACTTGCATGGAAAAAGTATTAGGAATCTATCAGGTATCACTTAAACATAGAAGTGCAGTAAACAGAGTAACAAATACTACATGGTGATGGAAAACCTATTCTACGGTAGAAAAGTCTCTAGCGTCTACCACCTCAAGGGAGCTGAGGGTCGCGGTATAATTCAGACACCTCCGGTGTAAACAAGGTTCGACTTGACATGAATCTGTTGGAGGAAGATCCTATTTTCATTGGATTAGATGCTAAGAAAGCCTTTGAGATTGCACTCTGGAACGATAATTCTTTCTTGTCGGTAAGTAAAATATATTAACTCATTATTGTCATCTTGTTTTCTCTTAATCACTCATTCTTTTTCTGGTTTTTTTTCTTTCTCGGCTTTAGACAATCGATGTTATGGACTATTCTCTACTCGTTGGCATGGACGAGGAACGCAAGCAGTTTGTTGTCATCTTTGTTTCCCTGCCTTACGTTACCAGTTGTATGTTAAAAATTTTGACAAAAAAAAGTTTATGAGGTAATGTTGTTGGAAAGGTTTTATGATACCTATAGCTAAGAAACTGACTCTGGTAATCACGGAAAATTGACTCTGATTGCCTTACGAAGCAAGTGAAATGTTTGATGTTTTACTAATAATTTTAGCTAAAATGTTATTTGCTTCTCTTAGGGAACGTTGATCAGAGAAGAGTAACCACTTCACGTGAAGTAAGTCCTTCGTTAGATTCAGATATAGTGTTAAAAAAGACAAACAAACAAAAAAGTTCCTTCGTCAGAATGTACTTACTCTTAATCTACTTGATAATGATACCCAATATCATCTTTCGACTCCTAAGTTTTGAGTTGAGAATGAAAAATAATGGAGATTCATGAATCCGAGAGAAGACAACGAATGATCAATTTCAGTTAATATTCTTCCCCAATTTTATTAAAAATGTAACAATCAGCATAACATAAAATTAGTCTGAAGGCATCAGGAAGATCATAAAACAATATTGCTTCTTTTTCAATATGTGTCTGGCTGTGATCTTCCTGATGCCTTCAGACTAATCTTACTGAGTTATCTGGTTTCTTGTTTCACAAGCTAACCACCGTCGTTAAAATAGTGCGGGATTTATAGGTGGCTGAAGATGATAACAAAAGTCGGAAATCAAAAACAACTAAACAATGACTCAATTCGCTTTCGGTCTTGAAGAAACTTTGAAAACAGCTCAAAAGATATAATTTCTTGCTCAAGATAACTTCAATCATTGAATTCGGAATCCGTCATTTTCATCGCTTGACCATTATGTTACGAGTTATTGATACCTCCAGCGAAGAAGTTGACACTTCCGGTATTCACGCCGGTTTATAAGGACATGTGGTCCTCTACTTTGCTTACCGAAGCAAACTGAAATTTTGACATTTAACGAATAATGCAAGGGACGTTGTTCACAAGAGTAACCAACTCACATGAACCAGTTCCGTGAAGTATGTAACTCCCTTCGTCCCATATATACTAATAATATATACCACACAATAATAGAAATCATATACCAGAAACAAAATGATCAATTTCAATACTTATTATTTTTCCCCAATTTTATTACAAATATAACAAATAAATACACAGCAAGCAAAAAAAGGAGTTTTCGATTCTCGAAAACCCTTTTGGCTCACCATCTCCAGACTCGATTCCACAAATGGAATTAGTATATCCCCAAAAAAAAAAAAAAAATCAAATCAATTGAACAAAATATTAACATAATTAAACAAATAGCCAGCCAATTTTTTCAAAAAAAAAAAAAAGTGAGAGCTTGACGAACCTTTTATGTAATTTTTTTGTCAGGCCACTAAATTATATTATTGGCATGCTTTACGAAGAAGCTCTAACAAAGTAGTCGCTTTCCTTTTGCCTCTCTCTGTTCCGTTCTTCGATAGATCCATCAATGGCACAACCGCACCGAGTCTACCTATACAGACCAGTTTCTCAGTGTCTCTCTTACACAGCGAAAGCAATATCGCTGCTGCGTTCTCTCGGTTCCTAGCTTGATCCGCCTGGAGAATACTTATCAGTGCCGGTAAAGTATTCGCTTTTACAATCGCGGATTTCGCGTCTAGGTTACTCGCCAGAACAGAGAGTATTGTCAAGGCTTCATCAACCATACGGTGACTGCTCGAGTCACTAAGCATCTTGACCAGTGCAGTCACTATACCGGCTCTAACCGCTCTTCCTTTGTTCCCCTGATAAATGCAGAGGTTGAACAATGCCGTGGCTGCGTCTTTCTTCCCTCTTGGAGTCCCGTTCTCGAGCAGATCCACTAAGGCAGGTATCGCACCGGATCCGCCTATAATGATCTTGTTCTCATCGGCTAACGAAAGGCTAAAGAGCGTCGCTGCAGCGTTTTCTCTTGCTTCCAAGGTCCCGGCTCTGAGGACTTGAACGATGGAGGTGACTGCACCAGCAAACATTATCAGCTCCTTGTTGTTGTCATATATAGAGAGGTTGAGAACGCAAGTGATTGCGTTTTCCTGCGTTGCAACGTCTTCTGAGGTTAAAAGATTCACCAAAACAGGGATCGCTCCTGCTTCTGCAATCAGGATGCGATTGTCTGTGCTTCTCTTTGACAGAGACCGGATTTCAGAAACCGCGTTCCTTCGATCCTCTATGGACCGGCTTGAGAGTCTTTGAACCAGTGTCCGGATCACTGACATGTCTCCACGGTTTCTTGACCTGCCGTTGATGTAACCTGCTGGTTGCTCAATGTTGTGTTCAGAGCACCACCGAGAGATCAAGCTTCTGAGAACGTAGTTTGGCGTAAGGGTAAAGTTTTCGAGTTTCTGCTGAGTCTTTGGACATGTTAGATTCCCACAGTCGATCCATCTCTGTATGTACGCTCTCTCGTAAGTCTGCCATTGAAGAGAGAGAGAGAACTATCAATAACCAAGCCAACCACAGTAAAAAAAAAGTAAAAAAGTGCTATGAAATCCTGAAACAAGACCTGTCCTGTGGCGACAATGACAGGATCCTTCATCAGTTCCAGAGACACAGGACACAGAAAATCTACTGGGATCGTGAGCTTGTCAGATTTCTTGGATTCGTCAGTGTTCTTGGTGACCATTTTGTCTAATCTATCGGTATCAGCATCTTTCGACAAATAGAAGGCCAGAGAAATGGAAGAGCTTTTCCGCAGCTGTTTCTTCTCCTCGGAGAAGTGAACTGTCTCTGAAATACTCTCAGGCTTTTCTTCCTCAGCTTTGATCTTGACATTGCTAAAAGCATCTCTCTCCATCGGCTCAGATAAGGCCCTCGAGAGATTCTTCGAATTTAGTGACCCATATCTCTGCATCGCTCTTCTCAGCTGCGATCTCGCTAGCTCCACCTGAAATATATACACAGTCAAAATAACCTTTTAAAACTCCAAGAACTCGAAAACATATCTTCAATTAAAACACACAATCATGGACCAAATATGCAAATTTGGCTTACCAGTTCTCCAACTTCGTCAGAGATTTCATATAGATTGTATGGAAGATTGCTTAACGCTTTCTCCAGCCTCCATGTAATGCATTGGAACTGGAAAGAGATTCTCTTCGCAGCATCATCCTTCAATCGAGAAAACCAAACGTTTAGACAAAACCAGAGATAACCGTACTACAATCACTGGTTTAAATCCATTTGACCGATACTAAACCAGTAGCAGCTACATTAACGAAGGATTGAACATCTGAATCTGGAAAATTTAATGCGATCCGAACATTCAGGAAGGAATCGTGGATTGAAGAACAGCAAACAAAAACACTAGAATGTGCAATCAATGGCTGGATTCTCTCAGTAAATTTGAAATGATTCGTGTATATTCTCAAAAAGGTAGTCGTTAGATTATGCTTACAGAGGAGTCGCGAGCATGGAATCGGGCTGCTGAGGAGAGAAGACGCTTCGCTGCTTGAAGCCCCGCCACGAGATCAGACCACCAATCGTTCTCCGACGAGATTAACGAAGAAGAAGCGGCGGAATCGATCGGCTTAGAGTCTCTAATCTCCTCTACCAAATGTGTCAAGAGACAGACTCGCCGAGTGAGATCCGCGCAATCCTTCTTGAACACGCCGGCGTTGAGTGGCATTTCAACAATCTCGGCGATAAGATTGAGCAGAGAGGCGGGTGAGATGATTTCTCCGGCCATTACGCCGATCAGCCTCCGATAGTCGGAAATTATTAAAAGAAATAAGAACAACAACAAAAAAAAACTAAAGAAAGAATAAATAAACTTGGGGGATTCGCTCTTTACTTGCAGAAGCGACTGACATCGCTTTTATTTATCCAGGCGACCATATTTGTCAATAGAGGTCGCTATTACGGCACCGTTTTGCAGGGCCTACGTCTTACTCGATTTGTTTTCTTTTTTCTACTCCAAATTAAAATGAATTAGGTAAATGATAATTAAAAATACATTTTATTTAACAAAATGAGAAAGTGACATTTTTATAAAAAAATATTAAATAAATCAGATTAATAATTAGGATAAATATGATGGAGATGAGCATTTATTTTGTAAACGGGATAAAAAAAATATCGCATGCAATAAAATGAAACATATTTAAAATCTTAATTTGATAAATTAGATATTAATGGAATAAAAAAAATCATGCGTTATTAAAATAATTAAAAGAATAATAATCGTCCAAAACTATAAAAATTATTCTTGTTGGTTGGGATAAGAAAGAACTTGCCTTGTTATCTTCTTCTTACATACCTATTTTCATAATCATGTAATGCAAATAATGTATTAATTATTAAAAGAAATAGGATACAGATCAACAAATAAGAAAAAGTTAGAAATAAAAAGTAAGCGAAATTGGCGGTGGGAGATGGAAGAGAAGAAGACGACAAGGAGGAGGATACAGTTGGCTATGGAATATTATGGTTTATAATGCAACCAATACACATAATGGAAATGAACCACACACACGCTTTAATTATTATACATAAGAGTGATCGAGCACCATTACATTTTCTTTTCTTGCTTCGTTGTAAAGCCGACTTTACATTATCATCTGTTTTTTTTTTTGTAACATATAGATGAAATTGTAATGAGTTTTATACTTTTAATATAATATATATAAACAGAATGGGTCAATCTAATAAATACATGGACCTTAATATGTCAAAATTTAGTTAACTGTTTGTTCTGGCCGGAAGCAATTATGAATTTCAAAAAGATTATCATCATCAATCATTGACTGGTATATGATTTCTTCTTAGGGTCTCTTTTATTTTATTTTTGAAAAGAAAATGTCTGCATATCCGTAGAAAAAGATAATTTTAAGAATAGATTCATCTTCCAAAGTCCAAATCATATGTACATTTTTCAGAATCATTTGGCAAATTTGGAAGCTAATCTCGTTTGATTTGTTCCCAAACGAATTCGACCTAATGCGTTTTGCAGTTCATGAAACTCTGCACTATCTTTGGCAAGAAGAACAATGGTCGTCGACATCTATCGCACGCCAGCAAAACCATTCAAGGTTATTTCTCATTATAATTTAGGACAGGTCAAATCGGGTGTCATGACTTTTAGCAATGTTGGTTTGAATTATAATCACTATTGTTGTATTTTCTGTTTTTTAATTACATTATATTTTTTGTTAAACAACATTTAACATACAAATTGAAACATGGGTGGTTACATAGACATAAGCACAAACCAATAGGATGAATGTCATGGTCTAAGATATTGCTCTATTGTTATTTGATCTTTCCGACCAGTTTACTTAAAACCAAAATGCAATTTCTTATTTTTTAAAAAAAGAATGTATTTGTCGTATACTATAAGTTATAATTTAACTATATCAATTACATGCAACAAAATGCGATTATAATGAACATCCCTACAAATAACGACTCGAGGATGCAACTTTACTGTAAGACATGGATCCGGTTTTACATCGACCACAATGAAAAACTTTCCCCGCAACACACGAAACTATAGACATGCGGAATTCTAAAGTCTCTGATAAAAATTTCATCCATTAATCTGTATAAACTGTATATTTTGATAATTGGACCTTAAACCCTTGACTCCTAGATCAAAGACTTACACTACGATAATTATATGTGGTAAATACTAAAGATCACGAAACGACAAAATATTACATGAATCTGATTTTATGTTGTCAAAAAGAGGGATTTTTCCTTGAATACACGAGTTAACCCTCAAAAATACACGAACGTGACCATCGAAATCGTAAATGTACATCGATTATTTAACACTCAAATTCTTGCAATAATGTACAGTACAATCTCAAGCAGCTCCCCGGAAGAACTCCTATTAACAACACCATTTACCATATTAAATGCAAGAGGCAAAATCATAATTAATCCAAGAGCTATCAAAGTCACACAAAAAAAACCAAAAATGGATATATGACAACAAGACATTTGTAATGGAACTCAAAATATGGCTCGACACATAAGAATGTGCTGTGTCTCGAAGATAATCCAAAACCATGAAGCACGGTGAACCACTTGCAATAGACCCTACTTGCCAATTCGTACATCAACCATATCGTGTACATTTAATATCTTAGTTCGTGTACTGTAAAATATCAATATGTATAAACTTTTCTAAGCGATGGAAAGAGTGTTGATTTCAAGTTGATTCTGTTTTAGTTGGCGTGTATAACTTAAAAAATCATGGCTACTTTTAGTTTTTACAGTACGAAATCATATAGTAAGAATGTTGGTTTCGGTATATATTATATATAGATAAAGCTTTTAAATAGTTGACAAAAAAAAAAAAAAAAATTAAGCTTTTAATTTTTTTTCAGATAGGGCTTCCGTACTTTGGGCTTTTACATTTCATATGTCGTCGAACTATACAGTTTCTATTTTTCAAAGAAAACCAAAACCTTGAGAAGATATTTGTTTCTTGGCCCAATACAAGGTTTTGGAATTATTAGTTTATTACAAAGGATTAATAAAAGTAAGATTATATTACAATCTCAATGGGCTTCATGTTGTTTTTTATTCCCATATCATATATGCTGTGTTTGTTTTTTACTTTTTTTTTTGAAGAGTTATATATCGCACCATCAAAAAAAAATCTTGTGAAGACCATTACACTTTTGACATATATCACTTGATGATCTTGAGCGGCCTCATCATCATATTATCCTCATGGTCCAATATCTGCAATGCAAAAAATTACGTACGTTGTTTTAAAACCAAAATTCAGTTACCAATTTCAGGATATTCAAAACTCCTACTTACGTGACAATGGTAGACGTAGCCGGGTTCTTGGGTCGGGTCAAACGGGTAAGATGCGTTGGTGTGGATATAAGAAAACCGAACCAGTATCCTCGTAACATGTCCCGGCATCATCTTGAACACGTTCTTCCAACCCCTCTCGTGCGCCGTCACCGCCGTCTTTTTTCCACGTGCGTATTTGCTGATCTGGCACTTCACGGCGTCATTGTGTTCCGTCATACACTCCTTGAACTCCTCCAATCCCGCTGTTAGTAACGCCGTTTGCTCCACCACTTTGAACAGTCCCAGGTGGATGTGTAACGGATGGTTATCCTCCGTCAAATTAATCACTTCCCACACCTTGAATTTCCATAATGATTATGAAATTCTAGTCACTAATTTTCATAACGTAGTTAATTACTGAATTAGACTGTTAATTTAAATACGTACCTCGGTGGTTCCTGATTTTGGAGTTTCCGTCACGGGAGCATCGTAGGGCAAGCCGTTAACATACAAGTGAGTTGGCTCGTCCGAGTCACTAACGTATTCGTACATGGAGATGTAACGCGTGAGGACGGCGTTTGACACGTCAGCAGACGGATAATCAATGAGCTTCTTCGGAATAGTCCACGTGTCAGTCACAGACTCATCGTTGATGATGAATTTCATGACCTTGCTGGATTCTTCGTTGACGGGGTCACCACTCGGGTAAGGATACGGCGCGTCGTTGGCGAGCACCGGCATACGCGACGGCGATTTTGAGAAATCAACGATGACGTCGACGATTTCCGACGGAGACAAGAGAACTGACTTCGTCGTCACCGGTTTCGACAGATACGCCGAATCGGAACCAACGACGAAGAAATCGAGACCGTTGGAGAAGAAGAATCTGAAAAATCTGGCGTTGCTAGCGTTTATGATGCGGAATCTGTATTTCCGACGACGGACGGTTAACCTCGGCCAAGCTTTTCCGTTAACGATGATCGCATCGCCGAAATATTCCGGTTGCCATTGCGGGTGAATCGACGGGTTGTTTCCGGTGGCGTTCATGTAAATCGAACCGTCGGTACGGAAGCTCCGGTCGAAAACGACCAACGGCCGGTCGAATTCGTCGCCGGTGGGTAGCCGGAGAGGAGATTCGACAGCGTGGTGGCGGAGTACGTATGCGCCTAACAAACCGGCGAGGAGGTTGACTCTCGTCAAACCCATGGCGTGGTCGTGGTACCACATGTTACCAGGCTGTTGATTGTTCTCGTAATGCGCCGTCGTTTTGGTCCATTTCGGTCCCGTCTCTCTGAAACCGGCGGTGAACCATGCGTCGGCGTTTCCGTCGCTGGACGGTTCGTGGATTCCGCCGTGCAAGTGAACCACCGCGGGAATTCCACCGTTTTTAGGGGTCGCGGGGGAGATTGTGGGGTCCCAAGGGAGGATGTGTGACGAAGGGAGGTGATTTCGCCACGTCACGTATGTGTCTACTCCATAAACGGCTTCGATCGTTGGACCAGGAACTGTTGCCCTGCTCCGCGATGTACCGTATGCAAACACAGGTGTCGGAGGCAAATCTCTATGGAATTTCTGTGCGTATAAATTTAAATCCACGTCATCTAAACCACACTCCTTTTTTATCTAGTCATTGACTATTTGACTCACTCGTAAGTGAAAAACTACTTTTTTGAACTTTTGTTTAACTGATAACTACTTAGAAAATATATATCTTTAATTCATTTTTTAGAACGTAAATTTAAGAGAGTTAAAAAAATATATATATGATGTACACTATTTATAATTTGCAATGTTTCTAATTTCTTTAAGATATTGAATTATGTTTTAAATATCGGGAAATAAGAATATATATGATTTATATAGTTTCTTGCTTTTAGGTAGAAAGTGTTAGGAAGAAATAAAAAGACATTTATTTGACCCAAAAAAAAAGAAATAAAAAGACATTTGTAGTTTCGGGCCTAGGAGAATATAGACCGAAACTCATTGTCTCTTTATATCAACAAAGAGAGCTGTAAAGAGGACTAATAAGTGAGGACAAGAGTAAACACAAACGAATCTTATCAACTTGAACTCTTTTTTCAACTATTAGCCGTAAACAAGTGAAATGCGATGATTCTCAGGAATCCATAAGAATCTAAATGAGGAAAAGAAGAATACCCATTTGGTCAAGAACATGCCGATTTGAAGAGAAACGGATTTATGGACGCCATGAACAGAGCGGAAGCCACGGAGCCTAGGCATATCTGGGAGGTCGTCAACGAACATCTCAAGCTTACCAACTTCGAATAGTTGTTCCTCGAACTGCCCGCACGTGCCACCGAGCCACGTCAACGTTATTATTAGCACCATGGCTATGTTCATCCTCCTCCGACACAGTAGAGATTCCATTTCTGACAACTCAATTTAATGGTGCGTGTGTTTTGTGTGAGGGGAATTATCAACTTGGAGACAGATAAATTAAGTATTTTGATCACTAGATTAGATACATATATATAGGAGTGTGTCTGTGTGCGTGTGTGTTTGAGAGAACGTGGTGGTCTCTGGTTCACACCTCTGAGTCTTATTACACACAGTGTAGGATCTTTACATTTTTGATTCTATCATTAAACTAGTTTTGTACTGTGTAACTTTTTAAATTTTTTTCCTTCGAATGGTTGCATGATGTGCAGATGGCATTTTCCTTTTTAATAATTCAATTCAATGACCTTTCTTTTCAATCTGTTTATTTTGGGTTGTTTTATTTGTCGTTATATTATTTTATGAGATCTCATTTCACATTAGTCTTTAGCGCCGGATTTTTCGAAGTATGCATATAATTGGCAAAGATTAATTACTAGTGGAGTACTATAAAAGAAGCTTAATGACAAATGAGAGCCTAACTCAAAGACTCATCTTTATAGCTTTGCATAGTCTTCGAGATAGGTAGGTATAGGTTGATTCGTAAGTATAACTACAAGTCTGTGATCGAGATTAGATCTTAAACTCCTTAGTTTGGTTGTCGGTTAGCAATCAGTTCCGAGTCATTAAGACTCAAGAAATCAGAATTATATATTTATTATGTTCGTGTGGGCTTCACAGGTGAAAAAGCTAGTACGCGACGTATATAAAATTCCAAATACAATGGCATCTGTAGAAAAGCATAGAAAATACGTGTTCGAAGACTTATATACTAAATCTGTTTTTATATATATCTAAAAGACTATAGACTATCCCAAAAGGTGTTTGAAAATTAGGTTTCGTAATTTTAGTTTAGATCGGTTCCATTTGTTTTGTCAAATGAATGTTCATGAAAGGGTACTTACACAAAATCGTCCATGAAAATGTTCAGAGGACATTATATAATATTTTCACGTTCATTTTTTTCTCATAATATGATCTAGCAATTGCTGACAGAATGTGAAGTTGCAGTTACTTAAACTCATCGTAACTTAAAACTCATACAGCGTCGTTCGTACACTTGCATAAATTTTAATTAATCGCTTAATCAGAAACTATTTCACACAAGCGATTTTTGATACTTTTGAAATTCATCATAAGACAATATTCGACGATAAGAAAACAAAGGCAAACATTTCACGGCTCGTGTCGCGAAAAGTAGGAACTTCAAGTGTGAAAGGAATTTGAAAAATGGGTCCACGATCCTAACCTCAAATCTTCTTACATCTTAGTGTCCATTTGGTAATCCATAAATATGCACAAATCACATTATTTTATTAACATTAGTATGCAAACGGACCGAACATCAAGCAAAGTTATTGTACCAAATGTTTGTTAGTTACCTCTAAATTAATAAGTGTTCTGTCTTACTATTAATTTCGGTTAAGACTTTTTTTTTAATCAACTTTCCACTTACAACTGAACATACTTTCTTACATTTTCTCATTCAAAGCTTTCATTTATATTTTTTTACTGACTAATATATTAGAGCATATAATATATGTGATAGACAAAAATAAAATGATTTCATATGTATAACTTTGAACGAATATAAAACAATTTTGGTGAGATTCATGCCTAAACCATATCATATTGAGCATTAATTCTCTTGCAGTTTAAAACTGTTTTGTCAATTCTTTATCAAAAGTTATTTGGCTTATTGCACTGCAAAGTTATCTAAAAAAGAAAATAGACATCTAATTTTAGGATGTTTTAACAAAAATTAGTTTGCTGTGCAGAATCTCAATTTCTATGTGTATATGCAGTGTTGGTTTCATTTGAAGGAGATATATCGACTAAACACTAAAACTGATCGTCGTCCAATTCAAAAATGACTATTATGCTGTGTGGTTAATAAGGATATTTCGTTTACTTTCTTTTCACTCGAGGTGAAGCATTTCTCCTTAGAGATGTCGTTGCCATAAAGTGCGTTTTTATGTAATTTTCAAATGCTTATGGTTGTAAACTCACACTTACCAAGGTATAAACACAACCACTTTTATGCGTTTGGCATGGTGATACAGTACCAGACCATACCAAAGTACGGTTAGTGAACAAAATGTGGTGAGTGTGGTCACTCTAGATATATCGGAACCAATATAAACCATTCAAAACCTCAACCTTATGTACGATTTGTAAAGATTTATTATAAATGAGAAAGTCTTCTCTCCCCATTCCATCAAAAAATATTTTGTGGCTATCGAAAATTTAGTAAATGGGTTTTGTTATCTTTTTGGTTTGTGAAAAGTGAAAACTAAGCTATTCTCTACTACTCTTGGGGCCGAGTAATATGCAAAATTCATGCGGCCCAAAACATGAAAGCATGTAGTTCGTACGGATCAAATTCTTTTAGATTTTCAATATCCGAAAAAGAAAGATTTATTAAATCGTAAAATTTAAACAGAGAATTGATTGATGCATGACTGGCTAAGAGACCTTGATTTAACTAGTCCAATTTTAAAATTTCGAATCAAGGTCGCATTAAATTAACTAGGTGACCCGTATAACGAGACACCTACCGAGAAGCAGCCAGCAGGTGGAATAACTTTTGAGTGGATAGAGAATATATTTTCGAGACATACACACAAACCACATTATGACAAAATCAACCGCTCTCAACGCTACTCTACAGATGGTGGCAACGCACCAAACCGCATTTCACGAATGACACTAGTGATAACAAAAACCTAGACAGTAAATTAAAGAGCAAGAAACAAATAGTGGTACCATTTTTAGCAAGCTTTTTTCCATTTTTGTAATTAATTACTACTCAAAACGTTATACCAACACTTCAGTCCAGTCATAAATGTGTTACCAAAGCCAAACAAATATTTCAAGAGAATCACAACATCCTTGGATTTTTTATCTACCATCAAACTTCATATCAGACCAAAATGGCTACATTACACAAGCAGAAAAAGAAGAAGCATTGGCTGATAATAAAAAGAAGAGAAAAGAAACACTAATAATATATCACATTAGCCATTAACAAAACAAAGGATTAAACTTTTTTTAGTCTTGTTCCTGGAAGCATAACGATAGCTTTTGTATCAAGCAACCACATTTACATGATGTTGCAGCTGTTGTTATTGCTAGCGTCTTCATCGCTAGAGATGTTTGTAGCAGATGCATGGCTACTTTGCTGCTGTTCAGTTGGGTAAGGGTAATAAGGATAATAACCGTAAGGATTAGGGGTACAATTGTAATAATACCCATTGCTTGATGCTGGAACAAAAGCTGATCTTTGGTATATCATTTGTTGAGGCTGGTGATGATGCATCAACTGCCTGTTCTGCATGTTCATTGGAAGATGATTGTTGTATCCATTCATGTTCATCATCATGCCTCCTGGTCCGTTACCAATGTTTAGGCTCTGATTAGCGACGCCGTTAATGTTGTTTAACGGTGGAGCTTGAAGTTGTTGAATCCCATTTGGAATGGGGTTCACGGCAGCGTTTGCTGCGCCGTTGAATCCAGCGAGACCCATGAGAGCTCCAATCTCGTTGCTTTCGACACCAGAGCTCATTTTTCCGGCGTTACTCATTCTCATAGCCGCTGCCATCGCTTGGCTGTTCTGGTTCTGGCTGCTCTGTTTTTGGTTGACTTTCTTCGATGCGTTGACTCCGTTGTTAATTGGGGCTCCTCCTCCACCGTTTTTCTTGGAGTTGACGATGGTTTGTTGCGGTTGATTCGCCGGTTTCGGTAACTGGACCTCTCCGTCTTCTTCCTCTTCTCCGCCGTCGTCATCTTCTTCCTCGGTAGTAAAGGCCGTACCTTTAGGGTTGTTCTTGGGCTTGAAAGCCTCGAGACCAGTTTTGGCTGAGCCTTGCTTCTGACCCTTTTGACTCGCGTTCTTGATGACGTCATTAGTCTTGGGCTTCTGAGGCTGCTGAGAGTTGGGCTTAGGATTTGGAGACCAGAGCTCGGCGTGTTTGCCTGCTTTAATGAGCTTGTTGATGAGTGTGGCTGAGTCAACTGAGCCTGAAACGGTTACCTTTTGATGCTCTGCTTCTATCTTCACGTGGTAAACTCCTATTTTGGTCAAAATCAGACAATGTACACATCAAGAGTCCAAAATAAGTATGTTGAAATGTTTTGCATGTATGATTTAGAGGTTGAGAGAGAAACCTTCGATCCTCTGAAGAAGCTTCTTGACTTTCTGGTTACAACCTTCACAATGGATGTTGACTCTGAGTGAATATGTCTGTATTACTCAAGAAACAGAATCATTAATTGACAAAAATGGAGAGATTAATGCAAAATAAAAGAAGGAGGGGAAAGTCCTGGCTGAAAAGTACCTGGACCTTTAGGAGCTTAAAGTCTTCGTCTTTAGTCATGGCTTAAGAAGAAAGAAGAAGAAGAGAAATGGGTAAAAGCGGAGAGAAGGGTTTTTGATAACTTTTAAGCTTTTGAAAGAAGAAGAAGAAGCTCAGTTTTTGAAGTATGCAATTGAGTGGAGGCTTTGGGTTTAGAGACTTTTTTTTGCTCTGAAACCTGAAACGATGTTGAGTGAGTGAGTGAGACTGACACTAAAAGTAAACAGCGACCTGACCACTTCCTTCATTAAATTTCTAAATATTGAAGTTTTCAAAACTGAATTTGAACAAAACATTTAAGAAGCATTTTAAATTGAACGGTATCATTTATTTTTAGGCATTTTTTTTTACTACATGCATATTTTTAGTACTTCCAAATATTTCATAAATGAAATTTCAAATTTGTGTAAAGCAATTTGCTTATTATAGAAAAATGAAAGAAAAAACTGTCAGAAGAGTGAATGCATGAAGAGTCGGGCCCAACGGTCAATATCTAGTCAGTGTTTGCCTTCTCCCACACTCTTCTCGAGCTTCTCCCTCTCTTTCCCCAACTTTTTCTCTCTTTTTTCCTCCTTTTTTTGACATTTTTATTTAATTAATTCCCGCGTGCAACATTTTATTTTTGTCTCTTTCCACCATGTCATGAATTTAGAATGATTTTATTTTGTTTTAAGAAAAATAAATGGAGTTAAGAAAGTACATACATTTCTCTAGCGAAACAATTGCAGAAACAACTGCAAAAACAATTTAATATATGCTGTATTAAATTTCAGCCCTTTTGGATTAATATAGTATGGGCCGACAGTAGAAACAGAGGCCTATAACATATTTTTTAAGAGGCCCATTAGAAATTGACCAATGTATGAATGATTGATCTCTTCAATGTTTGTATTTTGAACCCACTTCACTTATTTATCCCACGTTCAAATAGAAGAATCGTAATGGGATGTAATTTCCCTCTCAAAGGATTTTATTACTTGATCTAATGTAAGCCTACAAATGATGACTACTTTATGTTTTATTATTTCTTTGAATTTTTTTGTTAACATTGAGTGATTATGGGTTTTAAACTCATAATATCTTGAAACTTGTAGAAAGCTCAATATTCTTGCTATTTAAAAACGTCTAAAATGTCAAAATAAAAACCGAAATTCATATAAAATGTATGGGTATCAATCACATGGTTTTGTTAGATACATAGCCAACATGACGTATCGTATTAATTATATCTTGATGTAAACTCTACATTTCAATACTATATATCTTCAGTTTCGGGTGGATGATATTCATATCCTGCCGTGATTAGTGTTTCGAATAAAATAAAAATCAGCCTTTTAAACCCTAAATACCGTACACGTTGCCATTTGAACGGAAGCTCCTAAACCATGGGCCTTACTTGGTCGAAACATCCTATCTGCATCAACGAAATTTTGACTTACAGATTACAATAGTCTTTAATTTCTAGCTATCTTCTATGCCACGCGTTTGCTGTGTTACTTAATTATCTCGTCTGTCCATTTGTTTTTTTTTTTTTTGTCATTTTACAAGTTTACATGCCTTTATTCATTTTCAAGAAAAATGTTTGGGTCGTAATTATTATTAAGTCATGTCATCACCCGACAATGGTGTACTTACATGCCCTCTGCTTGTGTTATCATATTTAATTTAGTGTTTTTTTGTGTGATGAATGACTTTAGTTCTTGTTGACAAATGACAACAACAAAAAGATAATGTATTTAGTTATTTATTCCCTGTAACATATAACTAACTATTCCTAATGTACGTGTTCGACGCTACATAAATTTGATTATAAGATATCGAGTTCAGGTGCTTACAGGTGTTATCAACTAGGTTACTCGTCAAATATACATTACATTAATAAATATAATTATTACATGATTACTATTGTTGCAATCACATAAAATTGTTTAATAGTGAATACTTTTTAAAGAAAAATTACAGCTAAGTAGTTAACTAATCACATAAGTTATCATTTTCTTAACCAACCACGTACGTATCCACAATTAAAAAACCTTGTTCACAAAAAAAAAAACCTTGTCACCTTGCTGGTGGTCGGCAAAATATGCTAGTATGTTCCAAATTTTAAATAAATGTTTTTTAAAACAAAAATGAGCACATAAAAGGATAAGCAGTTGAATTGCATAATGAATTATTTACTACTTTCCGTTAAGTATTTATTGACTAACAAATATCTGATCTTATCTAAAGACCTCATCAGCGACATATCTACTTCCACCGAGGAACAATACCATTCATTACGTAGAGATACAATGGGACCCAAGTGAATGAGTATTCACCGTCGGATCTTACACGTGTCATAATTTTGAATATATGGCTTTTTACTTGCCAAGGATTTCTCCAGCGTCATAGAATCTTTCAACTTTTTATCAACCAACCACTGCCTCCACAAACCTCTTTTACTAGTATCCAGTGAAAGCAAAATTTTGGTCTAGGATACTTATTTAGTTATTTTATTCGACAAGGTATGAATTTGGTTCTATTATTATTATACACTTCAATCCAAAAAAAAAAAGAATAACTATAATTCACCACCATGCGAATTAATCGCCTAATCCTTTAATCACGGAATAGTTTTTTTGGGGGATAAAGATGAGTCACCGTTAATGACTTCTCGCACCGAACGAACAAAACATTTCACAGTTCATGTGTATAATATGGTTTACCATTTGAATTCAGGTCAAGGTTTTTAATTTTTACAATATTAGTAAATCCAAATAAAACCATATTATGATATAGTATCAAGTATCAACTATAACAATACTAGTGTCATCACTGTATATATCACATCCGAATTTAAATTCGACAGCTCAACAACAAAAATATAATAACTATACGTATAGTATTTTTTTTTTCTTTTTATAATGACTTTATGATGACTACATATACACACTAACAAAAAAGGGGTCTCAATACATTTATAAAAAAACACGTTTACTAATTATAACGTCTCAATTAAGCACTAAACTCATTCACATGACGGTGCATGCGTTAGGGTTCTCGTCGCTGAAAAGGGACATGAGCTTATCGTCCGTACTTCCCGGCTGCGCCTGAGCCTGCTCCGATTTCCTCACGAATCCCGCCGGCGCCCTCTTGTCGTAAGCTCCAGCTGCGTACGGATAAGCCACCATTGTGTACGGAACGTACGGCCACAACTCAGCTTTCTTCTTCCCCGTGCTTTGCACTCTCTTCAACACTTTCTTAGGATCCACGTAACCACTAACCGTCACTTTGTGCATCTTTCTATTCACTTCCACAGATTTTGCTCCTTCAGACCAAAAGAAAAAAAAAACGAGTGGTGTATTATATTAGTAAGGCCATATTTGGCTGATATTGGAAAGATCACTGCGTTTACCACGTCAGATTACATAAATCGTGGCTATTTATTGAGAGTAAAATTAAGTTAGAGTTTTGTTATATGTATTTGGTATGCATAATTACGTGTTGGTGGTAATTTACTTGCAACACAATTATATTTGTATATAAAAGAATAAAAAACACAATTATATCTGCCCTAATTATTACGAAAGGCGGGTCGTGTTTGACTAGTAGGGACTAGGGAGAATTGACTTGAGGATCGAACCTTTCATGGAGGAAACAGCGTTCTTGATTTTACGTTCGCATCCATCACAGTCTATTTTCACCTTTATATTCACCGTCTGCTCTTAAAAAGGTTAAATAAACAGTTAATAAACGAGGAGATTAACAAGAGGTAAACGTACGGCATCGTTTAGGGATTTTAATTACCTGCATGACTTTACGCTTTTTCCGTTTTCTTATTGAAACGTCGAAATGGTCTGAAAAATAGTCAGAGAGAAAATTTAGAGCTCCCATGTTCACTGTCACGAGAGAGAGATAGAGAGGGCAAGAGAAAGAGCAAGCAATGGATTGTAAGGGAGTAGTGTGTATATATAGGGAAGTTTGGGCGGTGGTTAAATATTATGTTCCGAGGATTAGCAAACACATATTATTTTAACTTATTGATGAATTAAACATTAATTAAATGTCATTAGGTGTAACGATATTATACATTTAACTATTTAATCTTGGAGGTGTCCCTCTAGTGTATATTGATGTGCTCCTCCCAAGATATTTACAGGCGGACAACGAGGCCATTTCTAAAAGTTCCTTTCACTCATCGGGTCATTTTCTTCTTTTCTTAATGGTCAATTATTTGTGCTATATAAAATGAAATTGTTTAAAGAAATGTTTGATTTTAGAATTCACTATAGCTACAACATATGTAATTTATCTGGCGGAAAATGCTACAAGTTTGATAAAATGTTACAAAGTTACAAAAATACAAAAGAATTAGGCCATTACTCAAATCAGTTGAAAATTAATTTTTATATATTTTTTTTTGTTAAATTAATCTTGCTGCTAGTTTTGAATAACCAACTGAAATCTATTGGAACTGGAGTCAGGATGTGTCTGGAATTCAATTTTATTTTTTCCAAACATGCAATGACGTTTATGGAATATATGCAAAGGAATAGCATATTGTATGTAACTAATTGCTGCTCCTTGACTTTAATTTTAACTAAGGATTGATATATTGTTTTGGTGTAGCATGCAATAGGCATTTGCGACCCACACGAATACGAAAATAATTGAAACGTTACATATATATAGTAAACAAAACGGAGCCCACCTTCCCATACTGAAAAGTAAAATACATACATCTGGAAACTTATCAACCAATGCAGGAGATGCATGCATTTTACATTTTTTCCTACTCTATCGCGATTGCTTTTGTCATAGTAATTCATCCAAAGATCTTGTTGCATCTTAAATATAGCAGGATTGTTTTTTTTTTTTTGTAGCAAGATGTAACTTTAAGTTGTTACTCTTGACTTGTCCACAAAACCGAATCATAAATTTTCTTCCTAGGTCTAGCAAGACCGTCTTTTATTTCTTTGTTTTCCAAAAAAACTACAAACCCCCAAAAAATAGAGTCGACATAAACATTCAAAGATCGTCAAGTGAGTGGACATATAGCCCAGTCCATGTCTCAGTACACCTTTTACTCGTACATGTCTATTGGATCTAAGTAGAATCATTTGACTACGAAAATCTCTAATGTATCAAAGTACTCGTGTTGTCAAATAGAGCCGGTTCCCTACTAAATGGCGATACTTTTCACGGTCTTTACATTTATGACTATCATCCGATAGTACCTTGTTCCATGCATGTTTGTACATAATCGACTAATACTTAAAATAAAAAAAATCATATAGATCTACTCCTGTCATTGCTATGACTTATGGGACTCAAGGCATGTAAACTTATACTTTTCTAGAAGTCGAAAGAAAAAAAAACTTATAATTTTGTAGACTAATTAATCTGGTAAGTTATATAATTTGAACGCATGAAAATTAAGTAGGTATATAAAACTTGTTAAAAGTCAATTCTTCATAAACATCTCTGATTTAGAAAATTTATGTACATTGACCTGTTTAACAAAAGTGCCGTGTCAAAGGATACACTTTTCATAGATTCATTTTTACTTGGTTACAAAGTATTGTGTGTTATCTTCATATATACTATTATGTCACGTTTCTTATATTTTTTTTTCTTTATTATATTATAAACCAACAAAAACAATCAGTGGTCATAGAATATGTTATATTTACAGGGTTGATTGTGCTTTAACAATAAACTTATTTGGAAAAATGGATTTAGGGCAGATTAGGTTGAAATTTTGGTAAACGTCCCTTTTACCTGTTTGGTAATATCTTCTTCTCTTTATATCTAGTGGTGCAAGGCAACTTGTGGATACGAATTCTTAATAGTTCAGTAACTTGTGGAGACGAATAATTAATAATTCAATCGTATCGTATCATGCATACAATATCTCCAAAATATAAACTATAATAATATAATTTCATAGTAAGTAATATATATAGTTTAATTGAAATTATACGAAAATATATATTGTAGTGCACGATCGCTTGAGGACAAATGTCTTATCAAAAACTTGTTATACAAACCTATCTTTCACGTTTTACAAATATGACTACATGACCTCATGTGTTTTACATTAATTGGTTGATGATGATTTGATGTTTTTGTACTTGGTTTATCAAGAATCCGCTTGTCCAAAACTCAAAAGATTCACAAAACGGGTTAAGCAACTATTGGTTGTAAATGATTTGATAGAGTCATGTAAAAGGTCACAAGAGCTCTCTGCGTAAAATTTTGATCCATTTTCCTTCTGGCTCTAATTAATTTAATTACCAAGTGATCAAAATCATACACCCTAATCATGTAGATGTAAATGGTGATTGATGGAGTGTTAAGATAGTCATCATATTCAAGTCATTGGACCACTGAAGCCTAAATTTTTAAGGCCCAAAAGGCCAAGAAAACCTCAAAAGAACGAATGAGGTTTTATATAAAGGAAACCAAACCCAAATAAAATGAACCCAAATTTTATTGAATTCTTTTTAATCTAAAACCGAACCGCAAATAGTTTGGTTTAGTTTCGACATTTTTCTCACAACCGAACCCAAAATCTGATTACCTTTTCAAACATTCATGGATTTTCCTAAAATAATAAATTGTTAGTTGTACGATTATTAATCTAATAATTTGTATAACTTGTAATAGATTAACATATTAATATTTTTAAAAAGTTGTAAACGACTCAAACCTATATTTAAATATTGTTTTTAACTGTAAATTAAAAATGTAAATGCAATAGTCATTTTTTTTAAAAGATCTTAAAACTACATGACTATAGTATGCAATATGGTGAATTTTCCAAAAAAACATTTGCACCAACAGTTACAAAGTTTCAAAATATCAGTGTTAGAACATTGGACGTTCTGTTACCAACTAATAAATCAAAGTATTTGTCACACTGGTAAAAATCAATCTTGCAATGTATTTCAAAATCCGGATTTTTTGTTTTCTTTCCATTTTTATTGTTTCAAAACCGACTTAAAATATAAAGTTCAAAAACCGACTTAATAATGGATTAAGTAACGCACAAGCCAGGATAATGAGATATTCTGACGGAATAAAAACAAATCCTTGTTTTCAAAGAGACCAACCGATTCGTACTTTTCAAGGCCCGGACAAACCCTAGCACCAACTCTCTCCGCCGTTAAATCCCAATTTCCCGGCGAGTATGAAGCGAATTGTGAGGATATCGTTCACCGACGTAGAGGCGACCGACTCTTCCAGCAGCGAAGACGAACGGACGAATACCGAATTGCCGTCGCGCCGCCGTGGGAAGAAGTTCGTCAAGGAGATCGTCATCGACCCATCCGATTCCGCCGGTAATCTCGAGGTCGGCAAGACGCGGTTTAAAATCAGGATCCCGGCGGGGCTCCTCGCTGCGACGGGGAAGAAGAAGAAGTTCCGAGGTGTGAGGCAGAGGCCGTGGGGGAAGTGGGCGGCTGAGATCAGGTGCGGCAGAGCTCACGGCGGCGATCGCAAGGGACGACCTGTTCGTCTCTGGCTTGGGACCTTCGAAACCGCCGAGGAAGCTGCTCTCGCTTACGACAACGCCGCGATTCAGCTGATTGGTCCCGACGCGCCGACCAACTTCGCCCGCCCCAAGGTGGAATCTCCGGCGGTGAAGCAGGATTCCGATGCTGGAACCTCCGAAGCTTCACGTGAAGACCCCTGATTTTCTTACCTTCTTTGTAAATTAAACACCTTTCTTAACTTCAAATCCTCTTGTACATATTTGAAGTTTTGAAATTCTAATTTTTCTCATTCCCAGATTCTTGGTTTTATATAATTGTACATTGTGATCTGGGTGATGTGTTCTTCATTAAACAGAATTGGAATAACTATTGCTTGAATTTCGATATTCGTTTTTGCCTCAAATCGACCATAAACTTGATTTAAAGTCTTTCGTTTAGATCGAAATTGAGACAAAGTCTCTAATTCTATCTATGTTCGGTCTCAGTTTCCTCTGGATTTTCACGAGGAAACTTGGCTCAATCTCTTGAGCTCTTTAGCTGCTGGTGGCTTGGAGAGTGGCTTGAGCTTCACCTTAAACACGTTCATAATCTGTGACAGTGAGTTTCATCTTCATGAGCGTTTCTTGTTGATCCTGACTCTGCTTGGGAACAAAAGTTCTGGTTCACTATTGAGCCGGACATAGATTTGTCAAAACCAGATCAGACCGAAGCTGCTACACCACATCATCACAGTAAACCTAAAGCTGGTTCACAAGACTAGTAACATAATCATCACTTATTTCTGAACCAAACCATATAAAAACAACTTTACTAGAACTGAAATCCGACACAACTTGTCAGCTAATAAAAACTATAACCTTTTTGAATGATCTGCTTTTTATCAAATGAGTTTTTTTGTCTGATCGCTTTGTTACTCTTGGATCGGTTTAATAGTGTAGTGAGTTGGAGTTGTAAACGTTAAAAGTCAAACCCCCAAAGGGCTTTTCCGTAATAACAACAGTCTCCTACCTGCTAAAACGACGTCGCTTAGTAAAGCCTCGTGCAAAAACCCTTAAGCTTTAACGCTAGAGAGGCGACAAGAGAGTTTGTTTGAAGGAAGACGAAAATGGGGAAATCAAAGAGAGAAGATCTGAATCAGTTTCTCATTGCTCATCTCAACACCATCTACGATACTCTCCAGGTATTCTCCTTCTTTATCAAATTTTGTTACTTTCATGTCGTCGCGATGAATTAGAATCGTTTGATTAGACATGGATTATGCTAAATTTTTCTTTTTTTCGCAGTTGTTCGATCGAACAGCGTCTCCTACAGAGGAGAAAGTTAACTGGAGCGATGTTCTTCAGATGTCTGATCACCTCTCTAAACAAGCCACCATAGGTTATATAAGCAAAAAACATCTCTTTTTGGTTCCTTTTAGTTGCGGCGATACTGAAACTTCGTTTCGTTGATTAATTTCTGGATATTCTTTTTGGTGATTTTTTTGTTTGTTTCTTCTTAACTCTAAATAGTGGGAATGCTATGGACTGGAGAAGCTCCAAAAGCTGAATCACTAAAGGAGACCATGGAGTCTTACTTCAACGCTCTTCAAGGCTTTTTGCTTTGTTGCCATGGAAGCACAGTTGGTGCTGGACCAACACTTTCATCAATCATACATGTCTCTGTCAAGCAAATTGTTGATTCCAGCTTCAGGTTGTTGCAGGGCTCTGTTTCCTTATACGGTAAATACATCTCTTCTCTTCTGCTTGTTCATATTTCCAAAACCACAAAAGCTTAGATGGAATGTTCTGTTACTCATAGGGTAGTATAGACATAGATTGATTTGCTTTCGAGATAGTGATTAAAGATTACTTACTCGTTGGAATCTGTTGTTAACCAGAGGGATCATATGAGAAGGACAAGAAGCCATCTATTCCGCAGCTCTCGGGAGCAGTTTGGGAGACATGCTCGAGCTTCAAGAAGGTTCCTGCAACAAACATTATTGCGATTGGCAGAGGGATTACGCAGGTTGCTGTCTCCATGAAGGATGTTCTTAGGGAGATGAAAGAAGTGAAGCCGGCTTGTCCTTCACCCGAGTGTGAGGCTGATGAAGATGATAACTCACATGATGACGACGACTTAGGCAGTGATTTGTCTCCTGAAGAAATGGAAGTTGCTCAAATGGTTGCTGAGATTGTCTCTGAGATGATCATGGTGATCAAAGAACTCATCCGAGTTATCACCGGGATGATCAAACTGGAGAATCCAAAAGATAACGGCGGGTTTGTGGACTCGCTCGAGAAGCTACTGAAGCTGTGCGAAGGAAACGGAGTACAAATCGATGAGCTTGGAGCTTGCGTTTACCCACCGCAGGAGATGAACAAGATGCAGCAAGCGGTGAAGATAATACAGAGAAACCTCGATGAAGCTGAGGCTGAAGTTGAGCGTTTGAGGAGCTCTTCAGACGCGTTTTCAGGAGCTTGCAGAAAGCTTAGAAACTCGATGAAACACATGGAGACTGAGCTGGACAAAAGATGTGAAGCTGAAGTAGTTGTTGAAATGCAGAATGTTACTCTTGTCAGTTAGAGAAAGTTTGGATTTTGCAAAATTCGACAAATTCTGTCGGAAAGTGGCATGTGTCTTTTTAACATTCATGTTGTAATATGTATTTTTTTTTTTTGTTCAATGTGTTTGCATACATTTTCTTAAATTTTATAGATATTTAATTTCAGATCTTGCTGTCGTATCTAAAAATCTACCCAACTTGAAAAAAGTAAGAACTTCATTTTCGAAATTAGATATTGAGAATAGATTTCGAACATTCCTGTGGACATGATGTAGGCATGTAGCTAAGCTAACTGCGTGGGACTGATAAGGACAGGTAGGTAATAACACATGAACATGTTCTTCAAAACCGAATCCGATAGCAAACCGGTATACGTTTTTTTGGGTCGTGGTTAGACCGATTGGAAACTTGGTTTTTCTAGTTTTTAATTAACGGATTTAGCAGTGGTATAACGGTTTTGGACCAAATGAAAACCGGATTGCAGATTGGATCACAATTGAACCGGTCCGGTTTATAGAACAATTGGGATAAACCCTTGTTTTTTTTTTTGTAGTCCTCCGGGAGATGATCGCCGACGCCCACGGGAGGGGAGAGAGATGGCACTAGGCTTCGTGGAAAGTTAATGGCCGCTCCTCCTTCTCCTCTCGGATCTTTGGAAAACCCAGAAAACATTCCTCTTGACCCATTCGATTTTGTTCCTATGTGTTCCTCTCTGTTTCTTCAATGATCCTATGTCTCCGTCTCTGTCTCAGAGCTTCGAGATCCTTCTTCTACACTTCTACTGCCAACACCAGCCTCTCCGTCTCTAAGCGACGCTTCCTCTTCCAATCTCCTAATCTCCCTCCTCACCCATCTTCTTCCTCCTCCTCACCCACCTCCTCCAATCTCGAGTCCTATTTCGCCAATCTCATTTTGACTTCCTACGGGTGTACTCCGAATCGCAAGTGGTCTTCGCACCAGTTCCGTCTCCTCCTCGCTGACCCAGATTTGCTTATCAGAGTCCTCAACATGATTCGAGAAAAGCCCGAGATCGCTTACCATTTCTTCAAGTGGCTCCAGCATCAGCGCGATGTCAAGCAGTCGCTGCAAGCCTTCGCGGCCGTGCTCGAGATCTTGGCGGAGAATGATTTGATGAGCAAAGCGTATTGGGTTGCTGGGAGGAGCATCGATCTCGGTATGCACGAAATTGATGATCTTTTGATTGACGGGGCATTCGACAAACGGATTGCTCGTAAGCTTCTGGATCTGTTGTTGTTGGTTTACACGCGGAAATCTATGGCGGAGCAGTGTTTTTCGAGCTTTGAGAAGATGATTAGGAGAAGGTTCTTGCCTAGTGTTAGAAACTGTAACATACTTTTGAGGGTACTCAGGGATAATCGGATGATGGATAAGGCTCAAGAGGTCTACAGGGCGATGGTCGAACACGGGATCGAGCCAACGGTTGTCACCGTTAACACCATGCTGGATTCTTGTTTAAAGGCCGGAGATTTGGAGCAGGCCTCGGAGATTCTATCGGAGATGGAGAGTAAAGTTGTGCCGACGGTCATCACCTTCAACACCATGCTGGATTCTTGTTTCAAGTCCGGCGATTTGCAGCAAGTCCACAAGATTATGTCGGAGATGAAGAGAAGAAAAGTTAAAGCTACGGAGGTGACTTACAATATACTGATCAATGGGTTTTACAAGAACGGTAAAATGGAGGAAGCAAGGCGGTTTCATGGAGACATGCGAAGATCTGGTTTCCCTGTTACGGCTTATTCGTTTAACCTTGTGATCGAAGGGTATTGCAGACAAGGCTTGCTTGATGAAGCTTGGGGAGTTATTAAACATATGCTCAATGCGGGTGTTTCTCCAACCGCATCGACGTATAACATCTACATACGCGCGCTCTGCGAGTTTAGGAGCATAGAGGATGCGAGACGGCTGTTGCTTGATATGGGAGCTCCTGATGTTGTGTCTTATAACACTCTGATGCATGGATACGTCAAGGCTGGGAAGATTGCAGAGGCTTTTCTCTTGTTTGGTGAGTTGAGAGATAGGAATATCAGTCCCAGTGTTGTCACTTACAACACTCTAATGGATGGTCTTTGCGAGTCAGGGAACTTGGAGCCTGCTCAGAGGTTGAAAGAAGAAATGGTCAGCCAAAACATCTATCCTGATGTGAAGACGTACACGACTCTTGTGAAAGGATTTGTTAAGAATGGGAACCTAGCCATGGCTACTGCAGTTTATGATGAGATGTTGGGGAAAGGGATTAGACCTGATAGATACGCATACACTACGAGGATCGTCGGTGAACTTCAGCTTGGAGATTCAGACAAAGCGTTTCGTCTGCAGGAAGAGATGGTGGCAAAGGATCATTATTCTCGAGATCTGATCACGTATAACGTTTGTATAGATGGACTCTACAAGGTTGGGAACCTGGAGAAAGCGATTGAGTTTCAGCGTAAGATCTATAGTGATGGTCTTGTCCCTGATCATGTTACTTACACCACGGTCATGCGTGCTTATTTGGAGAAGGGCCGGTTTAAGATGGCCAAAGTCTTGTACCAAGAAATGCTGAGGAAAAAGTTGTCTCCCTCTGTGATCACCTACTTTGTGTTGATTCACGGCCATGCGAAAGTTGGGAGGCTACAACAAGCCTTTCAGTATTCCACGGAGATGAAAAAGAGAGGCGTTCGTCCCAATGTCATGACGTGCAATGCTCTTTTACATGGCATATGCAAAGCTGGCGAGGTAGATGAAGCTCACAGATACTTCTGCAAGATGGAAGAAGAAGGGATTCCACCGAATAGGTACAGCTACACTATGCTTATAAACAAGAACTCTGACCTCGGTAGATGGGAAGAGGTTATCAAGTTGTATAAAGAGATGCTAGATAAAGAAATCGAGCCAGATGCTTATACACATTGGGCCTTGTTCAAGCATTTGGACAAGGACCACAGATCACGAGAGGTTGAGTTCCTTGAAAAGTTATTACGAAGTTGACCAAGGAAGCAAAAAGTGGTGGTGGTGGCTTTTGAATGATACATATTTATTTTGGAGCTGGCCGGTTTTGTCCCTGAGTGCATATGCACAAAATCTAGTTGATGGCTCAGCTTGATTGGTATGCACAAACTCCTTCTCTAAGCTTTCACAAAGGCAGCTACTTCATGCAATATCTGTGGTATTAGACTGTAATGCAGCTACTTCTGCAGGGGAAACACACTCTGAGCTATGGCCAGAATCGAATCCGATTGTTGTTGAAGCTCCGTTTACTTGTAGCTTAGCTCGATTCTTACCTGCAAGTATGGCTATTACTTACTACACAGCAGAGGCAAGAAGAATAGGAATAAAGATGACACGCATAAATGGTGTTTGCAAAATTTCTCTCACACTCAAGTGAAGGAAGATTCATATGTGTATTTGTTTAATTCTTTGAAAACAATTTTTGGGAAAAGAGTGTGAAACACATATAACTTCATTGTAGGACATTTTTGGGAAGAAAGCTAAAAAGCGACAAGGCTCTGCTTCTCTCTATTCTTGAGCATGTTTTAGGTTAAAGCACTAGAATTTTTGTCATCTCTCTCTCTCTCTCTCTCTCTCTCTGATGTAAGCTCTCTGTCACGTTCTTCTTTTTGTTTCTCTGTTCTCATTTTGTACATATCATCAATGATGATGCGAAGCTATTTTTTATCTATTTGGAGCAACAAAGGAAAGAAAAAGCGTAACCTTAATTTCCAACAATTAAGATTAAAAAAGAAAATGATTTTCAGTGTAATTAGTTAGATTGATTACCAAAAAACAATCAGCGTTTCTAAAGAAAAGTCTCAGGGGGTCCCACAACTTTTTTTTCTTTGGGGAGGTTCTATACAAATCCGAAACCCTAACCCCCCAGACAAACCATCATCATCTCTTTCACGCACCAAACGTAAACCCTAGAATGCGCATCGCTTCCCTGACCTGAATGTGCAACCTTACTCGGCTTAGATCCATGGCTCTCGATTCTTCCGGCAAACAATCCGAGCAGCAGCAACCGCGAGTCTCCCCCGAAACCGGCGACGCGGGATTGAGGCTTCGGAGAACCCCCAACGAGGAGCATCAGCCGGAGAACTATGAGGATCTGCAGCTGGATTTCAGCCCGGCTCTCTTCAGCTCGCTCGAGCGCTACTTGCCTGAGAAGCTTCTCAGTTACCCTCGCATCGAGAAGGCTGGTTTCATGAGGGACCTTCTTCTCCGATACTCCCCTGACACTGAGCGAATCCGGGTAAGCTTTCTTTCTCTCCTCGCTGTTTCCGCTAGTTCGATACTCCGTATCTTGAAATTGAGCTCGGATTTGTGCCTCATTTCTTCTTGGGAACAGATTCAGAGGCATAGAGAATACAGGGAGAAAATCTTGTCTACTTTCCAGGTAAATTACTTCTCTTGAATAGAATTGGGCCAAAAGGAGTGTTATCTCGATTGTTTCATTGAGTCTTTCTTGCTTGTTGTTCATCTGGGTTTCCAGCGTAGGCATGTGGAGATCTATTCTCTCGACCCAGCTAGCTTCTTCGCGCCTTCGTTTCTTGAAGCTGTTAATCACAAGTCGGAGGAGGGTTTCAGAAGCATAGTTGTTCAGCAAGCTCCGGGGATTTTCACTTTTCCAATGTTTAACCCACAGTTTTGTGAATCGTTACTAGCAGAGGTATGAACGAGAGCTAAAGTTGTGGCTTTTATGTGTTTTGGTTTACTCTGTCTTCTTTATCAGATTCTTACTAATTTTTCTCAGGTTGAGCATATGGAGAAGTGGGTCTATGAATCCAAAGCCACAATAATGAGACCCAATACGCTGAACAGATTTGGTCTTGTCCTTGATGATTTTGGGTTTGAAAGCATGCTCCAGAAGTTGGTTGATGACTTCATAAGTCCTTTATCTCAAGGTTTGATTAACATTCTACTTGTGGTTTCATATCTTGGGTATTGTTGTGATGTGAGATGTGGCTTATGGGTTTTGGTTTTTTGATCTTCTGTCAGTTTTGTTCCCGGAAGTCTGTGGATCCTCTTTAGATTCTCACCATGGCTTTATTGTTGAATATGGAAGAGATAGGGATGTTGATCTTGGTAAGCTCCACATTTGGTCTCTTCCTTTTGGTTAGATAGATCTTGACTGGTAGAATATCTAAACACTTTGCTTCTTGATTTCTTCTTAGGGTTCCATGTGGATGACTCGGAGGTTAGTTTGAATGTCTGCTTGGGTAAGCAATTCGCTGGTGGGGAGCTGTATTTTCGAGGTGTGAGATGCGATGACCATGTGAATTCCGAAAGCACTCAGGAGGTACTTGTGAAACCAACCATCAAGCAGTCGATGCGCATTTATAATTGTGTGCATTTTAGTGATGTTGTCTCAACACACAACGATTATCTATGATTCTCATCACGTGTATACATTCATAAGATGCTTCATTCATTTCTCTGTAGGAAGTTTATGATTACTCTCATGTACCTGGTCAAGCCATTCTTCATCGTGGACGTCACCGCCATGGTGCTAGAGCTACAACTGCTGGACACCGAGTCAACTTGATTCTGTGGTGTAGAAGGTAAGAACAAGCCTTTTTCTCACTGGTGTTGGATGTTTTCATCAGCCAATGCCTTTTGCATCTGTTTCATGAACCATTTCAAAAGTGTGAAAAGACTGTTGATTAGATTTTCACATTTCCCTGTCTTGTCTCATATGGTGTAGCTCAACTTTCCGAGAGATGAAGAATTATCAAAGAGAATTCCCAAGTTGGTGCGGAGGATGCAAAGCTGATAGACAAAAGAGGATGCAAGCGTCGATTAAAGCAACTACAGAGGTAATATATCAATGCTCTGCACTATTAGATGATGTTCTTGCAAGCAATTGTTTTTCTTGTTCTCATGTGGTTTTTGTGTTTGTTTTCGGATTTTTTTGTGTGGTAATTTGTAGGAGCTGAAGAAGAGAGTAGCAGGGAAGGTGCTTGCTGAGCTAGCTCCAAGATCATCTGCCGACTAAAATCTAAACTAAACTGGGATTTGTCCCCCCCAAAAAACACATCTTTGTATCGTTTCAGTGGTTATGTACATAGAGGCAATGGAAACAGTTTGTACGCATTTAAGATTTGTCAAGGGTAAATTTTGTTCCATTTTTCAGACTTCTGTAACAATAATAAATTTCTTCAAGAGGTGTGAATCCAAATGAAGAACACACATCTTTCTTTATTGATCGAGAATTTGAGATGCAAAAATCAACAAATAGGGAAAAGAAAGAGATTCACAACATTTTGCAAACCGTGAGAACTGAGAAGCAACTTCTTAGTTTCAGTGTTCTGTTTTGCTCTCTTTAAGCGTTTTATGCAACTTCTTAGTTTGAGTCAAAACACACTCTTGGTCGAACAAAGCTGACACAACAGCTACGCCTTTTAGATTCGGTGCATCGATCCGCATAACAGACTCAGCGTTTGAGATTCCAATGCCTCCAATGGCAACCACAGGTAATTTTGATGCCTTGCATACTTCTCCGAGCCCATCGAGTCCTATAGTACGATTGTTGGCCTTAGTGTTGGTTGGGAAAACTCCTCCTGAACCAATGTAGTCCGCACCATCTTTCCATGCTTGATGGGCTTGTTCTGGTGTCTTACATGAGACCCCGATGATCTTGTCCGGGCCAAGAAGAGACCGAACTAGATCAACGGGCATGTCGGATTGGCCAACATGGACTCCATCAGCATCACAGGCAAGGGCAATGTCGATCCTGTCGTTGATCAGCAAACAAACTCCATGGGACCGGCATATCTCAACGCATGATTTTGCTTCTTCGAGAAACACCCGTGTTTCGGCTTCTTTCTCCCTGCAAAACCAGTGAGATGTCATAACGGAGTTCCACAAAGAGTCGAATCTAGAAAGAAGCTCAAGTTATATAAAAAATGAAAAAAAACCTCAGTTGTATGATTGTGGCTCCTCCTTCTATAGCAGCTTTCACGGCATCCACAATGGACCGGTTCCATTTTTGGTTCATTCGAGAATCTGTAACAGCGTATAGAAACAGGTCATCCGGATTGAATGCGCTGCATCGATAGCTTTGGGGATCTTTCTTAAGACCCAAAAAGTGGTCAAAGGGTCCTTGCTTCCCACTGCCAATCGCAATATCTTTGCTGTAGTTTAGGGCATTATCGACGAAGCGTTTAGCCACCTGCCAACATCAGAGAGGTCCGAGACTTGAGATAGGCCTTGTTAATACAAATCTTCTATTCCAAAGACATATAATGTATGCTCATGGAGCCTTAGTCTATTATGCGAAGAAATGTATTGGGAAAAGAAGTAAACCTTTACGGCGGAGAGCATGGAAGAGCCTTTAGCAAGCTCAGCTGCAATACATGAAGCCAAAGTGCAACCAGTCCCATGAGTATTTCTTGTAGCTACACGAGGAGAACGGAGTTCATGAAACTCCTTGCCTATGAAAAAAAAAGATCCACATGCCACAAAAGTATAAGTCCATCAAGCTTCATAAACAAAGACAAATTTAATAATCTCATTTTGGGAAAAAAAACAACTAATGAGCTATATCATACCATCAAAGTAAACATCTACTGAATCTGATGAGTCAGGAAGATCACCACCTTTGACAAGTACGACTCTGAATAAGTTGGAAAAAAAAGTGCATCAAGATCACACAATAATGTTCCTATAGTAAAGCATGCCCTCATAGCAATCAAGCCTAAAAAGACTAACATTATGTTCATAATATACAGAAAAAAGCAGAATGAGAAAAAAATGCAAAACCTAGGACCCATTTCATGCAACGATTTTGCTGCAGACCGCATTTCCGCGACAGTCTCGATCCGAACACCACCAAGTAAAGCAGATGCTTCTTTCACATTTGGGGTTATTATGTCAGCAATTGGCAGTAATCTCTCTCTGCAATTGAGAAACCATAGTCAGCAAGAACATTCCCCAGTCACACACAATGCTCAAAAAGCTTACCTAAAGATGGAGAGAACAGAGGAGCCAGCCAGAACGTGCCCACTCGTCGACACCATCACAGGATCAACAACCAAAGCTTCCCTTAAGAAAAACGAACTCTATTAAGCAATGGAAAGATGCGATTTCAAAATCTGAAAAATAGAGCAAAAAAGCGAGGTGTTTTGGTTTCTACCACGGACTGGGAAATCTGAAAGGTTTTGAAGAAGAACCTCGACGATTTCAGGGGAAGCAAGCATCCCAGTCTTCACCTGTGAAGTTGTTTAACTCCAATTGATCATATCATCATACGAGAGAGAAGAGAGACTAATCAGCTGCTAATCAGTAAGAAGAAGAGCTTACGACGTCGAATTCGAAGTCAGAGAGGACGGATTTCAGCTGCTCGGAGACGAATTGCGGAGGGAGAAGATGAACAGATTGTACGCCGCGAGTGTTCTGAGCAGTGACGGCGGTTATGACGGAAGCGCAATAGACACCACGAGCCGCGCAGACTTTGAGGTCGGCTTGGATTCCAGCTCCGGCGCCGGAATCTGATCCCGCCACAGTCAGAACCTGCGCAACCTTTCTAACGCTCTCCGTTGTCGTCGTCATAGACGCCGTCGTGCTTCTCCAGCTCGCCGGCCAACTCCTAATTCCTCCTAAGCTATTCATTTTCGTTCCTTTCTTTGATGTTAATTTTATTTTATTTTATTCACATGACCAATGTTTTCCTTTATCTTGTTGACTTTATGGGATATTTAATTATCTCAAACTTATTACTTACAGAAACTTAATCGATTTTCATGATCTTCGTAATCAATTTCCACAATCTCATTATACACGTGAATCCATTTTTTATACCATCAAATTATAAACGAATCTTTGTACTTGTGATCCACGATACTTAGAATAACATTGATAAATTTGAAAGCAAGCTTTATTGTATAATTGAATATTTATATATACACAACGTTTACAATTACAAATCACACAATTAAGAAGCTATTCAGACAACTTTATTCATTCGTACACACTAAAGATTAAAAATGCTAATAAGAAGCCGTTCTTGTTTTACAAATCAGCATATATGCATTATTATTGCATCATCATCATCAAATCATAGAGCAGCTTATTACGTGTAACTATATGATTATGGAATATATACAAGAGCTATACAAATTTTACCCGAGTGGTGTGGTGGTTTCAATGTTGCATGAGATGAGTCAACCATGGACCATGAACTCTCACCGAGACACAAGCCACGACTCCAAGGACTCGAGCTGTCTCTAGAACCCTCTCTTTCAAACCACTGTTTCCTCCTCCTCCTCCCACTTTCTTCATCTCCTTTTCCACCAATCTCTTCCCATTTTCTCCATTCCCAGCCAATAAAACTCCTCTCACTGCTCTGTATATACAATCTGTAACTCTCTCATACACTGTGTTACCTTCTTCCAAACTCTTCTTCAGTAATCCTCTCATCATCTTCTTCTTCTCTTCTCCTTCTTCGCTCATTGTTGTCTCAACGATCTCCATTAGCCCTGCTTCTTCCTTCCCATCTAACAGATCCAACAACTTCTTTGACATGCTTTCTGTTTCGCTTTCACTCTTCACCATTCTCTCACTCGCTAGCATTTGCCGCCAAATGAGTAAGCTGCGTAACACAGAGATTCACAAATCCTTTTTTCAGGTAAAAAAAAAAGTTTCTGTAATGAGTCTTTTAACTTTTAGTATTTATAATCATCAATCAATACCTTGTGGATATAACAATTATCTTCTGAATCTCGGCTTGAATACCCCTCAAGCGAGAGAGATTGAGCAGGAAAGTTTCAGGTAGGACTTGTGGAGTTAAACCAGATACTTGACTCACTAGCTTCAACAACCCGAGCCTCACTGTCAAATCAACTCTCTCTCCCTTGCATTCCGACAGTTGACCTTCTGAACCAAAACATATGAAAACATTTAAGTGCTGTAATATACAAAAGTCATGTAATTACAGAGTCATTTCTTAAATCAAGACAAACCTGCACTGTCCGTAACAGATGACTGAGACGCGGTATTGGCCGGAGATAGAAAGCTACCACCCGTTTTAAGAGAGATTCCCATCGAGGATCTCTCAACCACATTCAAGGCTGAAAGAGTATTCGTGTGCTCTTCCCACTCGTCTTTACAAGACAAAAGAGTTGATATCCATCTTCGTGTCGCTGTTAGTGAATCATTGGCTTGAGTGGGAGGTCCATAACGCTTCTCGAACGCTTGTGTAAGGTAATCAAATCCTGCTGGCCCTTGCAAAAACGGTTTCATGATTGTAATGCGCCCTAGGCCTATCTCTCGTTTAAGTTCCTGTTGGATATGAAACAGCATATAAAGAAACTGATATAAGTGAACAAGCAAAACAAAAAGATCTTTTCAAGAATGAGTAGTAAAGAGAAAAAAAGCTTATGGATACAGACCTGAATCTGCTCAAAAATGAAGCGAATCCCCTTGACTATTGCAACAGCACGGAGGTTACCAGACTCATCTTTAACTTCACATAACCTGTGAAGTTCCTCGAGTAGATTCTGATGGGTGATTTCATTCTCACGGTCATTAGCTGGAGCAGAGAGTTTCCTCAGAATAGCCAATGCAAACTCAAGCATCTTCCCAAGGTAATCAATATCCAAGATGCCCGAGTTAAGCAACTGTCAATAAAAGAAGAAATGAGAACCATATCCTTTTTACGAACTTAGATATATATAATAGAGACAAGTTGCTTAATATAGGACCAGAAGAGATAAGGCAAACCTGTGAGAGAAGGTCAAGATCAATAGTTTCAGTTATTTCTACTTTCCAGCTTTCTGGCACCATTTGGCAAAGTTCGTCCCTCACTTCTTTCATAAGGTTAGAGATGCAACTATAGTCTGGCTCTTCCAGTTTCATGGATTCCATGATGCTATCCCAGAAAGCTTTCTCCATGGTCTCCTTTATCTTTCTCTGCATCACACATTTTAAAAATCAATGCTCAATACATCTCCTATCAAGAAGTATGTATCATTCAATGTGTAGAACCGCAGAAGCCAAAGATCATCCTCCTCGAGTAGAAATTGTCAGAATGCAAACAACAGCAAAAATGTACTTAATCTCAGTGCAAAGAAGACAAACCTTAAGATTGTCCTCTTCAGCCTCGACACTGGATCCACCCGGAAACTTGAAATTCAAATCATGCAGGAGCTCGTTCACAATCGACTCATTCTCTTTTGAGACCTCGTCCACAGCGTCATTACTGACTCTAGAGAGTCCCGATGATGGTTGTGTATCATCCTTAAACAAAGAACGACTAACACGTTTTGATCCTCCACTTGTGCTGCTTGAACTAGACACAGACTGAACTGGAGATGAAGCAGAGCTTGGAGAAAATAAACACGCGAGCTGATGAGCCATAGGGCTTCCATTCTCCTTGGCCTGAAAGTACTTTGATCGTGTTTCCGACAACGCACTCTCCATGCGCTCGACTCCTGCCTTACCACTCAAATGCCGTACTTTCTCCGTTAGAAGTTCTTGATCTTGTGTTACCTACACCAAGAACTCACATTACATATCAAGATGCCAAAGATTATACAAAAAAAGGGAAATAACAGAGAGTTGAGAAAAGCAAACCTGCATCTGAATTGCTTTCTTATCATGACTGAGCATAGTGTCGTCCCCTTCCGGAGTTATCTTGCATTTTTGAATCATGGAAAGCTCAAGCTGACAAGCTGCTCTCACCAGGTCATCTTCCAACAACCGAGCATCCTTAACTTTCCAAATCACAAACGAATTCAAAAAGGAGCACCATGCCTTATCGAATGAGTCCAGCTGAGATCTCATGGTCCTAAGTTTCGACTCTCCACCAGAGAACTTAACGGGACCTTCTTGAATAACTTTTATCAGCAACTTAAACTCCCTCACGAACCCTTTCGCCGAGTCATTGAGAGCAGCCTCTTGATCACCTTGACCGTTAAAAACAGCGTCTGGATGACCGAGAATCATAAACGCAGAGAGAACAACTCTGACAGGATACCTCGACATCTTCACAGATGTTCCGGCCACATTCCTAACCGGAGAAACTTTCTTTCCTTTTCTGATCCTCATAGCACTTGGCGTAGCCTTCCTCCTTGGAGTAGCAACTCTTCTAAGAAGGTGATCAATGTTATCCAATATGGACGGTTGAGAAGCGGCGGTGACATTCTTAGAAGCTTCTAAGCGGATTTCGAGGCGATCGAGCAGAGATTTAGCAGCTTTAAGAGTAGCAGGAGACTCGATCAGCACCGCGAGTTGCTCAAACGGCAGTGATTCGTTAATCTTCAAACCGTCATAATCTTTGGCCAAGTCCAAGGTTGTCCTCTTCTGTCTCACAAAGCATCTCCAACACCTGAATAAACTTAACTCTTTAAGAGGCCATTAAAGAAAAAAAAAAGGAGAATTGAGCAGAGCTTTAACTACCTTGAAAGCTTTCTAGAGAGAAGATCAGCATCTTCCTGCATCATATCGCAATAGAGACTAATCGAATCACGCTGTCTCCTTCTCTGACGAAGAAACTCCGACCTATGTCTCTTTGCCTAAATTATCAAAACACCAAAAAAACGAAAGATCAAGAAACAGAACAGAACAGGAGAAAACAAAGATCAAAAGCTTATGTTTATATATATATAATATATACCCTTTGCAATTTGTCTTCAAGCTTGTCCCTCATTTTACTTCTCTCCATCTCACGCTGGTTAGAAACAGAGTTGGCAACGTGGCGTACTTGCTGGACACGAGCACGTGCTTTCTTCTTCTCAGCTTCAAGCAACCCAAGCCGTTTCTTCTCAGCAGCTACACGCTTCTGGTTGATCGAAGCACGGACTCGCTCCTTGTACTTGCTCTCTCTCGCCATCCTCCTCATCATCGACAGAGACGTCCTCTCTTTCGCCGACGCCCTTTTCTGATGCGACGCCTTGAGGATCCTCATCCTATTGGCTTCCGCCTTTTGGACACGAGACTCCACTCGAGTGCCAAGCTTCACGCGCTCCCTCTCCGACCGTATCTCCACGCTCGTCTTCGCTGCTTGTCTCAGCTCATCCAGTTTCGCTAGACGCATCTGTGCCTTCGCAAGAATCTCTAATCTGCACAAATTTGAGAAAACAATCAAATCTATTGCAGAGATACAGAGAGAAGAATTACTGAAAAACTCTAACTTTGATTGAAAGACTCTGACTTTTGATTTACCTTTTCTGCTCAGCAGCAAGGAGCCTTGCCTCGATTCGTTGGCCAAGCTCTTCATCGGAGGATCGTGATGGGCTTCTGGGTTTCGCACGAGCTTTTCTCGATACGTTATGGTAAAATTGCTGCACTCACACACACACAGATTCCAAAAGAAGCAAACTTTTGAAATTAAATATGGAAATTAGAGAATCAAAGAATTGGTCATTTGGCTTAATCTGGTAAGAAAAGTGAAGAAGGAACCTGTCTTCGAAGATGCGCATGGAGAAGCTTGTCTTCAATATCTTGAACAGAAGGTACTGTCTTCTTACTACAGTCAGGCAAAAGCCTCTCACGAATCCTCCGAGGAACTCTCGTCACCGACGGAGGAATCTCCGGCGTGATTTCAATAGCGATCGCTTCCCCTCGATCAATCCCCATGTTTCGATCAAATCAGTAAACGATCTCGATCAGAAAACTTATTGATTCAACCAACTAAAAAAGTGTTTTTCAGAGAAGAAGAAGAAGAATTTGGAGTTGCTTTGCGTTCTTTCTTTCTTCTCTACTTGGGGAAAAAAAAAAGAAATTCGGTTTTTGTTTAATAAGAAAGACAAAAAAGACTGTTTGTTTGGTCACAAAACGTTGCCTGTGTGGATCGAAAACTTAAAGCGTATTTTTTCATTCAAAGGTTATCTTAGAACTCGACACGTCAGCGAAGAACCTAACCGTGTTTATTTTACTATAAATGGACGGTAATACCCTTTTTGTTGTAGCAGAACTTCCTGACGCTACCTACTCTCGAAATAATAATTCTTACAAATACAATTTTTTTTTAATAATAGAGAAAATTAGTAGTAATAATATTAGTTTACCCACATTCTTGCATGATCTTAAAATGGCAGTAGAATGAATTATAAAAGTAAAATACTCGACAGCTAGTCAGATTGTGATAAATTAATTATACAACGTGATCAAGTTCTACTCGTTTTCTTTCGTTTACGACAAAAAACAAAAAACAAAAGTGAAATGTTTTAAAATGGGATAAAATATAGTGTGGAGAAAATCATGATGTATATTGCAATTTTGCATATTAAGCAAAAACAAACAAGCAAATAGGTCGTTGGAAGTTCATGTTTTACAACTCTATAGTGGCATGTTACATGCCATTTACGTTAGTAAACGAAATTTTGTTTTTATTCCCTGTCATCTTTTAAAACGTAATTATCATTTATTAGAAGATCTTAACGATCATAACGCACAGTTTTAATAATTTTTTATATCACATTTTTTTTGAAAAGTTTGCAGCTACAATCAAACAAACAATTTATACGAGCATTTTTGTTTATGTTAACGATCTATTGTTCCTTTCTAAATCAACTCTCTCTCAGAATGAAAAGAAAATAACAAAAAAAAAAACAAAATGTCAAGGTCTCTTTAAAGATTCCATAGTAATTTGAAGTTGATTTTTTTTTAATAGACAGTGCATTATAATTGAGCAAAGCACGCCATTGAGTCGATATCACCATCAAAATTTCAAAGACCTAAAGAGATTATGACATCAAGATTTATAACTTGTTTAGTATTAAGATAAATATTATAGTCATAAATCGTAACATACAAAGTCGTGGAAAAATAAAGTAGTAATGTGGTCCTATTCGATATCTATAAATGCTTTTTAATTTTTATAAATGATTTAGACCTTTGATCTAATATCATTCACTCAGTTTACGAACGAGAAGGCACCAAAACTCTGAATAACTTTTTGAAGAAGAAAGAAAACTATTTAGCAACTTGGCTTTAAAGGTTGTTCCACCACTTGGCATTATCTAGAGATTCAAGCTTTTGAGCCTTTGAGTAACAAACACCTTGGTCTCTCCCTTTGATTAGGTTAGGCGCACGTGGTATTAAGAAAGTTTGTAACAACTTCAAATGGAGCAACTTTGTAGAAGTATGAATTGTCACAAATTATGTAGAAGTTAAGATGTACCAAAAGTTTCTTGACATATAATTGATCAACAGATAGATGTTTTATGGTTACAATCAATTTAGGATCAAACACGATATTCTAATAATTGAGATCATTCAACTCGAGGGCAATTTCACATAGCCTATAAGGGGGCAGATGCTACCGGTCAAAATGTTTAAGCTAATGCAAATTATGAAAGCATGAGAATATGAGATTGATTGCCCGCACTATATAATTCCTTTTGTCCCCCATACCAAATCATTCCTAAACAAATTGACTTTTTGTTTTTGTTTCTTTTTGTTGATACATATACAATAATTACAAAATAGTTACTCATCTATGGAAGGAGCGTTATGCAACTGATACAACGCCAATTTTGCCATGGAATCGGCTAGAACAAAAGTAAAGAAGATGAGATTATAACCTAATTAAAAATGGTATACGTAAGTAAGAAAATCTTGAATTATAGCTGATTTTTCTATTGACATTAGAGATTATTTGGTGAATTTTTGCATTGATCTCTTTTTCTTTACTTGTATACTTTTAATTATATATTTGACAAATATATATTACAAGATTTAACATTTACATGGATCAGTTACATCGTGCATATGCTATCAATTCTGGATTTGCCATTATATATCCCATCACAAACTACATTTTTTTAGATAATAAGTTTGATTGATATGTTAACTTGATACTACAATAATGAAATAATTAACTAATAAACTAGCGAAATTAATAAAATAAGTAAATTTTGAATAAATTTAAAATGTTAAAAACTAGTATTTACTAAATAATTTTTTTAACTAATTTTAAATTTAAAAGTGTGAGAAAAATTAAAAAAAATATATATTTTTTCATTTAGTAGTTATTATTATCAATAATATATATTTAGTGAAATCACATTTTTAAAACGTCAAAAATATATATACTATTTAATTTTAATATAAAAACCATTCAATTCCAATATAAAATGAGTTGACAATTTTACATCTAATGGTTTAAATCTTGTTCGGTTAGGTTGATGCATAACACAAACCTCAGACAAATTTCTCAAAATCCAAAATCTATACAAAGTTGTAAAGAAAAAAAATATGAAGGATTTAAAAAATAAAGTATATACAAATTCATCTACTTTGGAATAAATTCCCATAAAATACTTTAGTCAAGAATCTAAAGATTTGAATTTAATTATTTAAAGAATAGGAAATTAAAGAGATAAAAATTAAATTGTTATAATCAACACAACAATAACATTAAAGTCTCTCAATGACTTGATACTTCAGCTTTTTTAAGACACTTCAGCAAAAATAATCACCAATCAAAATATTTTATTAATACATCTTATCTACTTATTTAAATTTTTAAATTTAAACCCATTAAAAACTCAAATATTTTTTCTATTAATTTTTGTTATATTTTTTACCAAATCCAAACCCAAATAATTAATAACAAATCATTTTTTTTTGCCAAATTCAAATCCAAATAATAATAAAAAAATTATTGTTTTTTTTTTGTCAAAACCAAATTCAAATAATAAATAACAACAAATAAATGATAAAAAAAATTTAGCTATCTGTTTGTTTGACATAGACGTATATAATTGAAAAAGTGTAGGCTCAACATCAACTATGCTTTCATGACAACAACGTAAAAAACCTTATGTTATAAGAAGCTCACACATCAGCAAAAGTTTGAGCTGATAAAAACATAACAATTTCTTAGTTTTTGCGGAAAAACATAATTTCACGGGAGATAATGCAATTTTTGGTTTTTGCAGAAAATTGTATTATATTTATTTTTGTAGGAAAGCGTGATTCTGGGCTTGACGAAAAAATAATTTATTTTTTTGGCAGGAATAGACGATTTCTCAGTTTTCGCAGGAAAAATAATTTTTTTTGATTTTGGCTGGAAGATACAATTTTTTTTTTGGTTTTTGCAGAAAAATATTTTTTTTTGGTTTTTGTGGAAAAACGTAATTTCTCGGCTTTGGTGGAAAAATAGAGGTTCTCGCGGGAAAATAAAATTTTAGGTTTGACTAGAAATTTTTTTTTTTTTTTTATTTTGGTGGGAATAGCCATTTTCTCAATTTAATGGAAAAATGAAGTTTTTTTTGTTTTGACGAGAAATACAATTTTTCGATTTTTGTAAGAAGATGAAATTTTTCTGTGCTAAATTTCTAAGTTAAAGTATGTTTACAGTAACCAAAATTTAATTATTTAAATTTAATTAAAACGATATTTTAAAAATTCAAACATAATTTTCTAATTAGTTCTAGAGCAATAGCAATGGTTTTAATATGAATGTTATTGATTATAGTTTGGTAGTTTTAGAAACATATGTTTATAATAAAATATTTAATAAATAAATAAATTTTATAATTCAAAATAATCATATTAATTAATAAATCTTTTTTTTTAAATAATATTTTACTTTATATAATTACAAAGGAGGATCATGTGGTAATTTATTAGAGAAGATATATTACATTTGTCATTAGCATAAAAATACTAAAAATGTATTGTTTTATTCTTATATATTTTATTTTTATATATAAATTTATAATTAGTTAGCTAACTAAATTTAATAGAAAATTATAATTTTGAAAAAAATATATATATATATATATATATAATATTTATTCAGATTTAAAACATATAAATACATAACTTAAACTAATTAAAAATAAACATAATACTCATTTACATTATAAAAATAATTTTATTATATTAAAAATATATATAAAATTTAGAAAAATATTTTTCAGCATAAAAAGATAAATGTTACTAAAGGTATAGTTTTCCTCATAACATTTATTACTCCACACAATCCGATCCATATTCTTTCGGTGCCGCCTCTCGCAAACGGGTTTAACCCAGAGAGAAACCCAAATTTCGCTTCAGTATACACACGACTCTTCCACAAATCTAATTGATCGTCTCTCTTCTTCGTCACTCAAACCCTAATATCGATTTGCGCGATTTAGCTAAAACCCTAGATTTCTTCTGCTCTTTCCGAACTTGATTTCTCAACAATGGAAGGTTCGTCGGCCATCGCGAGGAAGACATGGGAGCTCGAGAACAACATTCTAACCGTGGAGCCTCCGGATTCAGCCTCCGACGGCATATTCTACTACGACGACTCCGCGCAGGCCAAGGTCCAGCAGGACAAGCCGTGGGCCTCCGATCCTAACTACTTCAAGCGCGTTCAAATCTCGGCGCTCGCTCTTCTCAAGATGGTGGTACACGCTCGCTCTGGTGGCACAATCGAGATCATGGGTCTTATGCAGGGGAAGACCGATGGTGATACAATCATCGTCATGGACGCTTTTGCTTTGCCCGTCGAAGGAACCGAGACTAGGGTTAATGCCCAGGCCGATGCGTACGAGTACATGGTTGAGTACTCACAGACTAACAAGCTGGTAATTTCTCTTATCTATCTCTCGCTGTAGCTTCTTATCTCTCACATCGTAGCTGCGTGTTTGCGAGATGCTTAAGCTAGGTTTTGCCTTGTGGTCATCTTCTATTCCTACTGGGTTTGTGGGTTTCTTAGGGTTTTAGAGACGCCCCTCATAGTTCTTCTTGCTTAGTTTAATGGCTGCCACAATAAAGTGAACAACTTGGCTAGTTGGTACTGATCTTGATGCAACTTTGTGCTTGTGTTTATATAGTTCTACATAAGCTTCAAGTTTTGTTTCCTACAGTTAAAACTATTTGATTGATTACTAATATCACTTGAACGATAGGCTGGGCGTCTGGAGAATGTTGTTGGATGGTATCACTCTCACCCTGGGTATGGATGCTGGCTCTCGGGTATCGATGTGTCAACACAGATGCTTAACCAGCAGTACCAGGAGCCCTTCTTGGCTGTTGTTATTGATCCAACAAGGACTGTTTCCGCCGGTAAGGTTGAGATCGGGGCATTCAGAACATACCCAGAGGGACATAAGATCTCAGATGATCACGTTTCTGAGTATCAGACTATCCCTCTAAACAAGATCGAGGACTTTGGTGTTCATTGCAAACAGGTACTTGTATCCTCACTTCTTGATTTTTAAATCTTGGATGCTTTCATCATCGCTCTTATGCTTGATTTTTCTTTTTGATGTGGCAGTACTATTCGTTGGACATCACTTATTTCAAGTCGTCTCTTGATAGCCACCTTCTGGATCTCCTTTGGAACAAGTACTGGGTGAACACTCTTTCTTCTTCCCCACTGCTGGGCAATGGAGACTATGTAGCCGGACAGATATCAGACTTGGGTAATAGTTCTTGTACATGCAAGATCAAGTTAATTTTTTTTTTTGCTTTTCATCCGGGTCGTAGTTTAATATCTTCTCTTCTTTTCGTTTTAATCCCTTATAAAGCTGAGAAGCTTGAGCAAGCCGAGAGTCAGCTGGCTCACTCCCGGTTTGGAGGAGTACCGGCCAGTCTTCAGAGGAAGAAAGAGGTTTGTCTAAATTGTGGCTTAAATTTGCTATGTTCTCAATGTTTCTTGACTGTCTGACATACTGGACCATGGTTTTGAGCTCTCCGACCTGCCACTTCTCAAGCTTTTTCTTATCTAGACATGTTATAGTGTAACTCAAGTGCTACAATCAACATCTAGCTACTTAACATAATAGTTTGTAGAAAATCTTATCAGCCTGTCAAAATTTGCATCCTCTTTATTCTTAAGGCTGTAGTTACTTGGATATCAACTACTAGTCTTATAGGAATTCTACCTGCACAGCATTATGGTTCACTTACAGAGTTGTTGATGTAAAACTGGGAGACTTTGATGTGCCAATTCGTCAACTAGTTGTTGCCAATAGTCTGTGTTTGTTTCTTAGAGTTCTGTTGTCGGTTTCATCTTGCTTACATAAAATCATCTGTTTTAGGAGATTGCAAAGCCTAATTATGTATGTGTGTGTGTTGTTGGGTCACTTTCAGGACGAGCCTCCACTCACTAAGATAACTCGGGATAGTGCAAAGATAACTGTCGAGCAGGTCCATGGACTAATGTCGCAGGTGAGTAAACACTTAGCGATGCTATTTTTTCCATTTTGGTTCATGAATCTATATAAGATTCACTCTCAAGGTCTCTTATCCATCAATGTGCAGGTCATCAAAGACATCTTGTTCAACTCCCCACGTCAGTCCAACAAACCTCCCAGCGAACCATCGGATCCAGAGCCGATGATTACATCGTGAAGTTGGGTAGTCTTTTGTTTTGTCTGCGCAGTTGACTTTGCTTTTGACCCGGTTTATGAGGCAATATGCACGATGTTTCCTAGTATAATATTCTCTCCAGTGTAGTATCTGCTTCAGACAAAAAGGCTCTTTGGGTTTATTAAATGACATTAACATGAAACCTTCAACCCTATTATGTTTTGCCTTTCAGTTTGGTTATTAAAGGAAAAGCCATTTGAAAAATTGTTGGAACACAAGCTTTTCTTGTTCTCTTCTCCTGTAAAGAACAATGCTAATTCCAGAAACAGAGTAAAATGTGAAAATTACAGAAACAGAGGTTTTCGAAGCTCTGAATTTTTCAAAAGAGAAAAAAGCTTTCCTAAGAGAGAAATAAGAGTAGTGTGAGAGCAACGTGCGAGCTTTCTTCATCATCTCTGCGTTAGAGTCTCTTCGTTTGTCTTGAGAAAAACAATTACATTTCCAGTATTGTTATGAACAGGCTAGATTCATGAACTGAAAAGCATGATGTTGTCCTTTAATGTGTGGCATAATATTGTTCCCCATGCCTTTAAACCAGTAGAAACTAGCAGACTTTGAATAATGCGTAAGAAATATAATCTGAGACATTAGACTTAGACGAACCTAATTAAGCCTAAAGCTACAAAGACTATGCAACCAAAAAGACTTGCAGGGTTGTTGTGCCGATATTTTCTTAAATATGCGATCATTGAATTGGTTCAAGTCATTCTCAAACAGCACATATGGTTTTGGTGCTTCGTTTCTTTTTTACATTAATCCTAAACAGACATTTTTTCTTCGTCTTGTTGATTAGCCATCCCTAGGCTAAAACAACATAACAAATTAAGCTGATACATGCATCAGCTTTGAGTTTGGCACATGATGAGTGTGATTCATGACGATTCTGCTCCATTAGCAATATCACTCTCTCTCAAGAGAGAACCTTTTCTCTCTAGAGGATGCAATTGACCACCGTCTGAAATTGGAGACCCACCTTGGGGATATGCAAATGAAAAGCCACCTCAAATTCCATAAAATGGAGTGGCTTTTTAGAGCAGAGAGGGAGTGAAGTAAAAAAAAAAGTGTGGAGATAGCCAGAGAGCATATCCATGAAACCATAGATGATGAGACTCCTGAGACTTTAGATGACGATGATGTGAATCTTGATAGCTACCAAAAGACTCTTAAGCTTCTTTCAACGGTAAGGAATGAGAGGTGGCTGAAGCGGAAAGCCGGTTACGCCTGTGTCACATCAAAAACAAACTCTCTCAACAATATTAGTGTATATAATGTTTTTATCTCTTTATCGAATTTGGTGTATATAAAATCTATTTAAATCATAGATACGAACCTTGTTGAAGAGAAATGGTAGCAGGAGAGTAATGGTGAGGGTTGTTATAAGAAGAGAAGTGATGATAAAATGGTACTTGTGGTTGAGTGAATTGGACCCCACCATGATGCCCTCCACCGCCACCGCAAGGATAAAAAGGAGCGGCGGATGCGGCTGCTGCTGCGGTTAGTCCACCACCGTTTCCATTTCCATATACTCCGTATTGTCCTGACCCTGAATTGCAGCCGTACACGCCGTATAAACTCTGTATACATACGTAACACAATATTCATTATATTAGATTGTATAAATATATGGTCTTGACTCTTGAACAACTAACTGTTAGAGATTCGTTGAGACAGAAAAGATTCTTCGATTTCGTTTGTTACAAATACTTTCAATGTCAGAGAAATAAAAAAAAAGTTACGGACCGTAGGGAATGGAGAGTAATCAGACGAGTGTGGAGAGTACCTGCGAATATATCATCAAATCAAATGTTGTTTTTTTCTTTACACCTAATTAAAAGAGTGACAACAACAAATATGAATGCACGTGGCACGTGGTCATGACACAAGCATGTGAGGAGAGAGAGAGAGAGAGAGAGAGTAGAATGATTGGTGAAAGAAGGAATCAGTTTGTTTTTACAAGCTGTACGTTGACCACTTTGTCAGTTACATTTTTAGTCTAAAGAAGACAGTGAAAATTAAACAAATTTGTACTAATAATAATAATAGTGTCGGTCCACAATCAAAATGGGGAACACATAAGAGGGACAGCCAGCTACGTTATATGCAAAATGTTTTGTTCGATTTTTAATTGGCAAAATACATATATGAGTTGTATGGTATCATGTTAATGTTGATGCATATGCATGTATACTTTGATCATGCATGATCCTTACATGTAAAAGAAAAAAGAAATAGAAGAAGAAGAGATAAAGTAAGTACCCAAAGAGATTGAGAGGGAGGTGGGGATAGCGAGGGAAAGTGGGTGGTGGTCCAAAACCAGTCTCAATTGTGCTCATCATCACTCTCATATTGTTAATCCTCCCTCCTCCTCCTAACACATTCATTAACCATCATCACATATCACTTTTGATGGTCAAACACATAAGTAGCTAGCTATATATCTATGGTCCATATATTACATCAGTCACCAACTATATATAATGTTAATTCCATCCGAGGATTAATTAGCCACAGATTTCTAATCAGTCTAACCAACTTTGTATAGACAGTAACTAACCATTATATATATTCTCACTAAGAATCATCTTCTTGATCTAACTTGGATAGGTATATCTATACATCTAGAGAGAGAGAGAGAGAGAGAAAGAGATATAATAACCATGAATAGGAGTGGAGGGTTTGGATCTTTGAAGACCGAGAGAGGCGAGGTTGCAATTAGCTCTTCTCCCGTCGATCACCGGAGTAGCGTCCACACAAGCCCTCCTCGCCGCTTCTGCTTCCTTGAATGTCACCTGATCATCACCACTTTACTAATTATGTTCCCCTTTTAAGTATGTTATATATATGTATCACTCTCTCTCTCAACAAGGAGTTATCTTACGAATCCGTAGCCCTTGGATCTGCCGGAAGCCTTGTCGGTGATGACTACGGCTTCAAGAATCTCCCCAAACTGCTCAAAGTGCTTCTTCATCGTCTCCTTTTGCGTCTCCCAAGCCAATCCTCCCACGAACACCTTCGTGTACGTCGTGTCTCCCAACCCTATTCCTCCCGCCATTTCTTTTCTCCGATCAAAAGCCTCTCTCTCTCTCTCTCTCTGTATGTATAGAGTAAAATCAAATTAGCTTATCTTTTAGCTATGTCTCTAGCTATGTTTCACTTGTGAGAGATACAACAGGTTAATATGGAAGAAGTAGGCTACCACAAAAGAGTCTCTATATAAATAGTAGGAAATAGATTATTAGTAGATCTACTTAGTAGATTCATAAGATAATTTTTTTTTAGGGTTGATTGATATCATATACTGTATGTAATGAGAAAAATAAGAAAATGGAACAGAAAAAAGCGAAGAAAATAATAATAATAAATAAAGTTGGCATAGGGAAAAAAAGATATTGGACGTGAATTATGGTATAGACAATATTGCCCCCATTCCCACTATCTCCTCTATCCTTCTTTCTATACTCGCTTCATTGCTCGTGTCCCTCACGGAGCCTATCATCATAGGTTATGTGGGGTTGACGCGCGATAGGTGCGCGTGATAAATTAAATGTTTAGTTCTCATTTTATTTCTGAACAATACATACATATACATATAGTTTGGTCACGCACTTGTAATTCACTGGTTTACGAATTATTGATCTTATTGATGAATAATTGGATGTTGCTCCCTTTACTTGTATATAGTAGTGCCTCGATTTGTATAGGCTAAAGAGTATATTAATCCTAGCATATTTATATTATTTTTAGTTATCATTGTTCTAATTAGTTTTCAACAAAAGATGCAAATTTTGGTAGCATTCTCATCTTATCATGAATCTAGGCGTAAAGTGGATGGATCATTCATTTGCCTACAAATAGAAAAGGTCATTAGAGAAGACTGATATTATATTTTGAACCATTTTTCACACAAACAGTACCAAGCCCATCAACTTAGACAACAACAATGTCTTACAATTCGTACTTTAAAATTAGATATATCGCAATCCAGAATCTTATGTTTATTCTTATTATTTGTCTATTTATATACCTTATCATTTACATATTTTACATATATTAGGATTCGTACGGGTGGGGATATCTAGTTGTTTATAAATCTCACTCCATATTTTACTTCCTCGTCAACGAAAATGTTGTTGTCACCAATCTGGAAACGATGTATACAATTTAAGCAAATGTTATATTATATAAACGAACAAATCCGTGCTTTCATGTAATTAGGTGCTGAACTAGACTGATTTGTTTTGTATTTAAACTAATCACATTTCGAAAACAATAGCCTAAAGAATCAGTTTGTGACATTGTTAGCTTATACAAAACAACGAACATGGCTAAACGTTTTCTGCTTCTTCTTTTTCTTTCTTTAGCTATTCTTCTTCTTGCCGTCACCGTTACAGAAACCGAAGCTTACTCGACAACGACGCCGTTTCATGGACACACGCCGGAGAAACACACCCACCTCCACTTCTACTTCCATGACGTCATCACCGGTGACAAACCCACCGCCATAAGAGTCGCTGCACCACCCGCAACAAACTCATCCGCCATCTCATTTGGTGTGGTTATGATCGCCGACGACCCGTTGACCGAGGGACCCGACCCGAGCTCGAAGAAAGTCGGGAGAGCTCAGGGTATGTATGCATCTACGGACATGAACATCTTAAGCTTCACGATGGTCTTTAACTTGGTCTTCACGGAAGGAGAGTTTAAGGGCAGCACCGTGGCGATGTATGGAAGGAATCCGATAATGTCGAAGGTGAGAGAGATGCCGATCATCGGAGGCACGGGTGCGTTCAGGTTCGCTAGAGGCTATGCACAGGCCAGGACTTATAAGCTTGTCGGTTTAGATGCCGTGGTCGAGTACAATGTCTTCATTTGGCATTAAGACTCTTTTCATGTAATTCGAGATTAAAATTGTTTCACTTTTTGTTGTTGTTGTGTCTTATAAACCTTTGTTTTTTTTTTTTGTTATCTGGAAAGCTTTGGTGCAATAAGCATGATATATTCCCAAAAGGTATAATCTTTGTAAAACATTTAGTTTATATGATTAACTTAGGTCAGAAATTTGCTCAAAATGGTGTTGAGATTACTCGATGCAATAAGCGTGTGGAGTTGCATGTCGCAAGTTTTTTTGTTGCCACAAATACGCTAATAGCAAATGAATATTCTGTTTTGAGTGTTGTGGAATACCATAGTTTGAAAACGTTATATGGAAATTATAATCATACGAATAACTAAATTTTAAAAAGAAAGAAAACTAACAAAATTATTCTACTATAATTAGTTGTGAAAAGGAGAGCTAAATAATCAATTTAGCTTAATACAACACATCTTTATATTTATAAAATACAAGTCAGTTGGGTTTGACAGGTATCATTTTTTTTATATTTTTATTAAAAATATTATTTTGTTTTCTATTTTTTTTTTTCAGTTACCATTTTTTAAAACTTTATTCATTGATCCCTATATACTCGCCAAACCACCAACTCCTCCGTAACTTCTGCAGTTTCAATATTAAAAGATTTTTACATAAAATACAAATATATTATTATAAAGATATATTAAACTACTTATGGTTATAGTAAACATCAAAGATTTATGTAATTAACTAAGTGCTGTAAAAAAAAAAGACAACCATATAAAAGTGAATATTGGTCACAAACGAAAGAATATATAATCGATGTAAGAAAAGTATGTAAATCTAATATAAACTTATACTTCAATGCGTTTCTAAACTTAAATTGTAACTAAATGAAAATGAGATTAATCTATAAATATCTATCGTTATATGTATGAATATTTCAGATTTAATATTTCATATCTTTAGTTTATTTTTTAAAACTATTATTTTCTCTGTATAAAATATGGGTTAATAATACAAAGTATGGTCTATCAATGTCCGGTGCATAGCGCACGGGGCAAAATACTAGTTATTATATAACGTACAAGTCCAAGATGATCATATATGTGAACGTTGTTCATACATAATGTAATCTTTGACCTCTTATCGGTTACATGTGGAGAAAATAAATTGTTTAATATATGGGACTTTTTGCCACAGATACATCCAAGCAACGTTGTTCATACATAATGTAACCTTTGCGTGATTTAGACGGCGGGTGATACATGGGAACATGAGGAGGCAGAGGAAGAGGGGAACGCGGGAACGCAATCCAAACGCAATTTGTTACCTGCACGAGATTGTATGATTAGTTTAAAACGAGACAAATAAAAGTAGAAAAATCAAAGACAGAAGAAGAGCAACTAAATTTGAAGTAGCCATGACAAGACTAGCTCATGATTTTATATATAATATAAGAAGAATAAAGCATTCTTCATATGTAGAAAGATAAGCATCGTTTTTGAATGTAGTGTATGTAGTCCCCAACTACATTTCTCTTCAACGCGCCTTTAATGTAGTATTTTCCCTATCATATCCAGTTTTTCATTTCTTTAAGCCAGTTTAAAATATACGAACAGTTTACATTAATTTCTTGTGCGTCACTTTTCTTACTTTTTACTTATTGACCTTTTCCTCTGCGAGATTTAGAGGGTGGCAAATAGATAGGAGCTCTAGGAGGGAGAAGGGACACCAAAGCCCGTCTTTGACCTGCCAATTTCCAATATATATATGCACCATAAGTTTACTCCCAAAAAAAAAAAAAACTTTGTTTTAACATGATATAACCTATAATGTATTAATCTAAACAAACCCACACAATGATTTATATTATACACTCTTCTTTCAGAAAAAAAGAAGTTCAACGGAAAAAACAAGAGATTGAATATATATACTAACGTTGGTTGCGATTGGTAGCCTCGGCGGCTCCAACTTGAAGGGAGATCAATAAGAGCAGAAGAAGCAAAGAGAGAAGAAAATCAACTAAGTGTGTTGTCTTTGTAGCCATTAAGTAAAGTAATATACTCTCCCACAATTCTAATATATAACAAGACGAACTCATGTTTATATATACCCAATAAAGTGTAGTTGAGTGGTCTTTTTGAGTGGGTAGATGATTTGTCATGATGTAAACACTTTAAATGACAATACATACCCCATTGTTCTTACAGATCTCGGATATTAGTTTGTGTTTTGTCTTATAAAAAAAGAACTCATGTTATAAATATATTACAGAAAATGAAGCATCGTTGAAATTGTAATACACTCACCTACTACTATGTACAATCTATCCCAACTCAACGCACTTACGTCCGCAAAATAAGACTTCTATGGAATTTTTACAATTTTCTATAATCTCTACACGACGACTTGTCTCGAGAGATACATATATACATACCGACAAAACATTCTCTTTCCCTCGTTCGAGGTTACTTCTTCAACAGTCAACTGCTAGATAGATAGAGAAATTTGCATGGGCTCCCAATGTTACGGACACACTTTTCAAAAGATATTCACTAAACACAAATGTAACAAATGGCTCTACAGTGTAAAAAGAAAGAAAACAAAAAAGACAAAACTCTCATCAAAGAGACAAAACGAGCATAACAAATGTTGAGCTAATCAATAACAAGAGCCAAGCCCCACCACCAGTCTTCTCTGCTCGACCCGTTCCCATACCGACCAAAACTGCAGTAGCCGCGATAATCCCAAACCCTAGACACACGGTGAACACCATCAACCCTTTCTTCTCCATCCACTCGAGTCTTTGCCAAACTTCTTCAAGCCTCTCACTCACGTTTTCTCTCTCTTTCTCAGCTCTCTCCATCTCTGTCTCTACTCTCTTTCGCCACTCTTTCATCTCCTCTGCTTCACTCACCATCATCTCTTGCCTCTCCTTCATACCCTCCACGTCAATTCTCAAAGTCGCAATCTCCTTTTCTCTCACGCCGGTTTCACGGTCCATCTCCTTGAATATGTTCCCGTACCTCGTGTTCAGTTCCTCCAAGTATCTCTCTAGAACCGATAGGTTCAAGTCCAACGACCTCAGCTTCTGCATCAGTATCTTCAGCACTGTGTCCCCTGGCATTCTGCTTCCTGGCTGATGACGCCTTACCTCTTCCACGGGCTCTGTAAGCTTATTACTACTCTTCGCCATTGATGCTTCAGCTTTCGCTACCATACTCTCTGGTGGGGTTTCCCGCTCCTTCTCTCTCTGCGTGCTCCTATCAGCACCATCGTCGCCTTCAGATGACTCTGCTTGCTGTACTGGCTTCTCCTTCTGCTCAGAATCTCCTTCTCGGGTGTTGAATGTTTTTTTGTTGTCTTCGACAGATATCAAATCCTCTAGCATTCTTTCTACGGCATCCACTCCGTAGACTTCTATTAAACTCAAGGTGCAGTAGAATTCTGAACCATAATGGCTTAAAAACTTTAGCTTCAAGTATCTCACCCACTTCGGCTCCACTAGTGTGAAATTCTGCCCGTGCTTCACGTTTGCAGCTGTGAAGTTTCCCATATGAACCCATGTGTCAGTGGGATAAACAAGTGTGCCTTGAAGCTCAAACTCTTTCAGATTGGAAGAGTAGTGCTCGAAATTCGCGATCTTGATGGTATTCACCAACGTTTCCTCTGAGAGTTCTATGACGACGTATTTACCTTCAGTAGAACATGGATTTCTGAGATACTTGTCATTGTCCCGGCTTAGGATGCTTGTAGCTCCTTTGGCTTCCTTGTTAGAAGACAGAACCTTTGCGCCTTTTGAAGCAGATGCATAATTGTACTCTTTCCCTCCAGGCTCCATCCTGTGAGTCACACCGCTGACTTGACCTGATACCGATTTGTTTCTAGAATTGGACGCTCTGCTCTTGAACTCATCAAGGCCAAGCGGAACAGCACGTGAGAGTTGATCAACCTTTGTAGCATTGGTTTCTGTATCATTCCCTGGATCGGTTTTGTTCATCTGATATTGCCTCAAAAACTCAACTTCTTTGCTTTCTGTATCATTCGCTGTGCCTGTCTTGTTCATTTTGCTTTGCTTCAAAACGTCATTGTCTTTGCTCTCTGTATCTTTCCATATAATTGTCTTGTTCATCTCACTTTGCTTAGAAAAGTCATCGTCTTTGCTTTCTGCATCATGCCCTGTTTCTGTCTTGTTTATCCCACTTGGCTTCAAAATGTGATTGTCTTTGCTTTCTGTATCCTCCTCTAAAACTATGCTGCTAATGATATCTGCTTGCTTCACATTCTTTTCTTTATCTTCACTTTCCTCAGACGGGGCTACATCGTCATTCCGACTAAGATCAGAAGTAACATGAACAGAATCAGGCTCTACTAATGGCGGTGCATCAGATTCAAAGGGGACATCTGCTTCATCTGTCCGACCATCATCCGGGTCAGCTATTCCTCCAGAGTCAATCAAAGGCGCATCTGCAAGTACACAAGAGCTGGTTATCAATATGGTGAAGGTAAACTTATCTATCAGTAGACCTCAATGAGCATTCACAGTAACCTTCAAAAGTGGGTTTGGTTAAACTATTCTTTGCATATATCATATCATTTCCATATAACAATTAAGAACTGAAAAGGTTACCTTTGCCACCATCTCCATGGCTAATCAACAAGGTGGATAGGAAGAGAAGTACCCAAAGGAGAAAAACAAGAGACATAGAGACTTTGTAAAGGCTGTTCCTTCCATTAGAACAGTTCTCAGAAACTCCTCTCCTATCCACGAGAGCTGTACACGACCTTTGCATCGCACATTCAGCCAAGAGGATACCCACCAAAATATTAGACAGATCACAACACGCCCTGTGATCAGCAAATACATAATAGATGAAATCAACTTCAACTTGTGATAAGCTCAAGCAAAGACAATACGCAACGAGCGTGAAACAGCATATCTGAAGCTACAAACAATGATGGTGTCTCCGTTAACTAGAAGGGAGACGAAGAAAGATCTGATGGGGAATTGAAGGTAATCAAGTATATAAACACAGATCATTGCGACGAGCACAAGGACCCAGAGCTCAAATTCCGCGTTTGAGAGAGAGAAACAGAGGAGTCCTAATTTCAGGTGCGTGGACTAAACATAAGACGAGTGAAATTGATCGTGTGCAAAGAGAATCACCTTATATATGATCAGCAAAAACGACGATTTTCCCAGAAAGAAAAACGGAGGAAGAAGACGATTCGGTACGCTTCTCCGACGAAAGCACCTTCTTTTAACGTCGTCGTCGCCGCCGGTCCGATCGAATCAATAGAGGCGAATGATCTTCGGGTAATATATCTGGGTTCCGCATCAGTGACGACGAGGCGTAGACGGAAAAAACCAATCTCTGTCTCAGTTTCTGAGGAATCTATACGTTCAGCGACGCAGAATTACACCGTGAAGAGGGGCAAAGAAGAAGAGTCAAAGAGACTTCAAATTGAAATCGGCGGATTCGAAGATGGGTTTGGTTCAGAATTTATAATTTTTTGGCAATTTATTGAAGGTTTTATTAATTTTTTTCTCTCGAAAGTGTCCCCTACTTGATGCAAAACAAAGTAACATGTTCATCTTTTCCGAAGAAATAATTGCAATTCCCAAAAAACAATTTTGTTAATTAGTGCCTATTTTCATTACTACTACTCCAGTTCCAGTACATTTCTTGCCCAGTTGCCTACATTTATCTATTTACTAAGAAGATTTCTTGCAAATGTATAACAAAACAATTTGGAGTGTCACAATATATATAATTCCTTTATTAACAACAACATAAAAAAACATTTTTTGCGTGGGAAGAATGTGAACTAATTGGGTAATGCCACAATAATGGAAGGCAGAAATACGGGAAAATGGGCCCACGAGGTTTGATGAGCTGTGATTTGTGCGGCTGCGGCACGTTAACGTGAGAGAGCCAGCTTGGATTGTGCCCTTTCCGGTTTGTTGTTAATCAATCCGGTTTTCGGTTAAACCAATTTTCGGTTTTCGGGCTCAAATCTTTATCTTGTTCCACTCAAGTAAAGGTGGTCCGCTCGGGGAGCCAATATACGTGACTGACCACATCCACGCTTTTCATCTGCTCGGTATACTTCGTATTTATCAACAAAATGGTCTTTTTTTTTGGCTCATATCATAAATCACACTCCCATCTTGCTTTTTGATCATCAAACTCATAACTTTTGATTGCATGGAATGTTATAATTTTGATTTCTCGGTCTTTCCCGCCACGGCAACGAGCAAAAAGAACAATCCCAATATCGAGTTGGTTTGCAATTTCTACACGATTTTTCGTATAAGCTTCGTTCATTCCAAAATAAATAGTAGTAACCAACAACAAAATTATAGAATGATTCATTTTTTTTATTTGATATATATTTTTTTGGAATAACAAAATGATCAACTATGCAGTATTTATGATAAAAAAAAATTGTGTATAAAAATTGTTTTACTTATATTTTGTATATAGTCTATTAATAGCGTTCACTAAATTTAAATACAAACATGAACCAAGAGGAGACTTTCCTCAGTTTTAATGCCGACAAATGTGGTATGCCAAGCAAATAAAATCAAATAAATTACAAATTAACTTATAATTATAAATCACCACAAAAACCAAATAAACCAAAAATCAAAAAATGTTTAGAAATGTATTATTTGTAACAATGCTGACAACTTATATCTTTTGATTTGATCAATTAATGGATCCAAGGGCAATTCTATCTTGATTAATTTAATCAATAACCCTCTCAAATCAGATAGTATTCGGGAATTATTTGAATTTTTCACACAAAACTCGTCGTTTCTGACTTTAAATGGACCAAATCTGGGGTTTATTAATAATAGCCCATTAATCATAGACCTAAAAGCCCATTAGAGTTTTCAGCTTCATCTGTATTAGTGCTCTTTTGCGCGTAAATTTGGCGGTAAGGACTTACAAATAACGAATCTTATCTAACGACTTTTCAAATAATAGAATTGCAAAGCGAGGAGAGTACTCATGGAGACTTTCCGGCGGAAAAATACGCCAGTGGTCCGACGAAGGCGGCGTTGATGTAAGTTGCTGGTTCGGATCCGCTGTAATCGTCTCTCTGGTCTGGATACTCGTCGTTTCGATTCGGTCCTCCGACGATTGCTCCGGTTAATATGTTAGGGTTAGGCTTTTGTGTGCTGAAATATTGGAATCCGCCGTTGCATCCCAGAGAGTTCGAACGGACGGCTCGGCTCGGGAGAGAGGATCCTCTGTGGTGGATTCTCCTGGGGAAACTGGATCCGAACCCCACCATGTAAGACATCTTCATCGGATTCACACCGAGGATGTAATCCACTTGTCGCTTCGATAAGCTTATCAGAACGTTGGGGACGATGATGGAGTTTCCGCATTTGAAGGCGTGTTTCGTGGCTTTCATGTATTTGGCGTAAGTCGTTAGCAAGAATGTTATCGATGTCACGTATTGTAGATTGCTCTGAGGTAACTTATACATCAATCCACCTAAAACATTTTGAATTTTTTTTTTAGAATTTTGAAATGTTTCTGTTATCGATTGTATTCTGATGTATATATTAAGTCAAACCTTGAGTGTAAGTTGTGGATGAGGAAGGAGAATTTGGAAGGATCTTGCAAATGAAATTCTCAGCAGATTGCTTGTAGAGCTCAAAGTTGTTGTCTTTGTTCAGTAATGCTCTCTGCAAAAAAGAAGAAGATACGTTCGTGAAGGAAATGCTAATTAAGTTATGTCTATTGGATTCTAAAGCATTGAGACATACTCGTGAGAGAAGAACATATGCACCAGCATACTTATTGTCCCAACTGAAAATGTCGGTCTGATCTCCACTTCCCAAGGATCTTATGAAGTTTGTGTAATACGGGTTGGTCGTTGCTCTATGCAGCCATGCCGCTCCCCACACAAGTTCGTCCTATGAATAATCTTACATTGTTATATCATTTGCAAAGAGATTCGGATCAAAATGTTATACACATATGTGAATGCAGACCTTGTAACCAGAGTAGGAGCAGTAGAAAGGACAGACTGAAGAGGAAAGGGAATCACTGTAAGCGCCTCGGTATTGAATAGCGAACTGCATTACCTTCTTCGCTGTCGCCAGGAGCAAGCGAGAGTACTTGGGATCAACTTTCCTGAAAACCATGGAGCTTGCAGCTAGAGCAGCAGCGGTTTCAGCGGCTACATCAGAGCCAGGGTTCGAAGCGGATACGGAGTAGACTGTGCGAGGAGTGTCCATATCTTCAGAGCGTTCCCAACACTTGTGATCGCCGTTAGGGTCTCCTACTCCTACGTAAAGCTTACCGGGCGTGGCTCTTGCACATTTCAGTAGATAGTCCGTGGCCCAACGGATGGCCACACGAGAGTTCTGTAGTTCGGATCCCATCTTTTTACCGTACTCCAAAGAGCTCCATGAGAGCATTGTTGTGGTGAAGGCCATCGGAAAGTTGAACTTGACGTTGTCCCCAGCATCATAGTATCCTCCGGTCAAGTCCACCTGCGTACTCATAGTTATTATTTATGTTTTGAAGGTTTTACTAAAACTATGGGATATTCGGTTTTGGGTCTTACATGAGCAGTGGAGCCATCGGAGAGGCCGGAGCTGAACCTCCATGAGATTTTTTGGTCACGGGGAAGACGACCAGACCGTTGACCTTGGAAAAAGAGCAATGACTTTGAGAGAGCTTCTCTGTAGTTGGGATTGGCATATGTATTATCCAGTAAAAGCGCAGAGAGAAGGAAAGCAAAGAAGAAAGGGGAAGCCATTCTTGTAACAAAGGTTAGAGTGCTTTTGAGGTTTGGCTCTATCATATGAATATACACACACTTGTATATATATGGAGATAATGAAACAGAGTTGAGGAATTTAATTAAGAGCGATGAATATGGCTTTTTGGAATTTTGCTTACTTACTTCCATTCGAATTAAGTCCCTTTTTCTATTTTTAAAAAAATAATATTTTATAGTTCATTCCATTCATGAGTTGATTATGTCTTATCTTCTTTTCATTGTAGGATTTCTTAATATGTTCGTCTTTTAATTTGAGTTCACATGTTTGATACTTGTCTTTACCATAGTAAACTGTAAATGGTATTTTAGGCTTTTTGCATTACGTAATATGTACGGTTAGAGATAGATAAACAATGTGTTGAATCTTGTTATTTAGGGTGGTTTGTTAGGTAATTTCTAGTTAAGTTAGGTTAGGGTTTTGGGGATTGTGATTTAGAAAAAAAGAGACAAAAGAAGAGGGGAGAACGTAAATGGCGCCAAGATAACGGCGCCGGGTCTATGGGATTTAACACGTAATTAACACGTAAAATGATCCCTTAATCAATTAAGTGTTATCTTGTTAGTTGCATGAAATGAATTCTTTTTTTTTGTCTCTCTTTGTTTAAAGGTTTAACTTTTAACAGGGTTTGCATAAAAGACGGCTTTAGACCTTAGAGCTGAGATTTAAAGTTACGCAAACAAAAACACCTTTCGATCGTCACTAATCACACCACACAATATTTCCTGATTCTTGTAGCAAATCCCAATCTGGGAGATTCGCGGCTGAATCTATGCACGCGTAACATGCATGCATATCCTTTCTAAGGACTGATCATTGTTATCACACTACAAAGTACAAACAAATTGTCTTTTCGTCAAATGCCGAAACATACTTATTTTACAATAATTGATTTGATACAAGCTTCCAATCATTTTAATCTCCTGCAACAAATGATATCAAAGGTATAAAATCAAATTAGAAGGAGATATTATGTAAAACGATTGACATATATGATTTTTTTTTTTCATGGAACTTGTATAAAAAATTGGAAGAGATATTAATATAGTATGTAACTATGTACTACCTGCACATAAACTCGATTTATATGGTAAGATATATGCCCTATAATTAAATACTGACGGGATCAGAGTGACTAATGAAGAAAACAATGCGCAAGAGAAAGAAACCGATTTACAGAGTTTAGGCGAAAGGTAGAGAAACACCTTTCTTGCTTCTTGTAAAATGTTTCTTTCTGTGCATCACAAACACACTCACTCTGCACATGCCCCTGTGTGTTTTTTTTTTTTTGACAGGAACTATCTTTTTACCAAACCCAACGTCTCGACCGAAACTCTCAATCACAATAGATCCAACAGCGATGGCTGCTCGGTTTGTTGATGCTTCGAACCACTTGGCCTTGAGTTAGATATCCCACTTCTTCCCCTTCCCCTTCCTCTTCCCACTGCTACTGAAGGAGGTGGAGCGAGTTTCATTGCACCTTGCTCGTTTTTGCTTGAACCGAATATGGAACTGATGTCTGCCGGCGGCTTTTGGTAACTATATGAACTGCTTCCGAAAGACGGCATTCCTTGGTTCGGATTCTGAATCCCAAAAGAGTTCATAGGACCTGAGTTACTTGCGCTGATACCTGAACCATCTTGCTGTGATTTCTGAGAAGAGAGGGAGGCATTGCTAAAGGCCCAGAAGTCGTTGTTAGATGTCTGAAACTGCGTGCCGTCTGATAAATTATTACTCAAACCAGAACCACTCTTGTTCATTGGAGGTTGAGTGGCAGTACTGTTGTGGAAACCCCCAGAAGCAGCAATGGAAGCACCGTTGGGCCGTGGTGGCCAGTTTGCAAAAGGGTCTAGTTCATCGAAACTTGGAGTTGACGATGTTCCTGGAGTGTTTAGCCGTGTCTCATCATTATTAGATGGCTGAGCAGTTACATTGGAGGATTGTCTTGGTGGCCACTCTATGTCGACTGCAGGGCATGTTGTTGGCACTGTTGTCCGGTTCGATGGCTGTGACTGAACTGTAGAGTTGTTAAACTGAGAGTTTGCGGGTCCAGGATCTCTAGGAGCAGAGCTTTTGGTCGGGAGGGTCCAATCTTCGTCCCATGCAGGATTGTTCTTTTCTGCAGAAGCGACCTTCTCAGTTTTTTGGGTTGGTGTTTGAAACTGGATCCCATCTGCAACAGAGCCTGGTTTAACTTCAGGGACTCCTGAATCATTCACTGTAACTCCTCTTTTTTCCTCAATTTTCCTGTTCCGGAGACAAACCAGATGTTGATAACAACAACAATAGTATGCAGTTATAGAAGGAATAAAGGATTGGAAACAGAGGCATACCTGAGAATATCCTTAACAAATAGCATATATTTGGCAAACTGTTGGACATTCAATTGTTGGGCAGTGAGAAGCGGTATAATGAGCGGAAGGACGTGTTCAGCAGTGAATTCAACTCCATACTAGAGAGAGAAAAAAATGATGGAGAGCGCATTATGAGGCAGGTAGTCATGTTATATTAGCTACCACAGATATAAAGCCAGAAAGTTTAAATGTTCCAAATCCTAGTATCACTGATAAAAGTTCACCTGCTTGAGAATTGCGTTTGCGACTGCAAGAGTACACATAAGGGTAGGTGCCGAACGATCAACGGCGGTACATCGTTGAATTGTTTGCAGAATTTCAGTAACAGCGTGTTTATCAAGCGTTTGAACCAGCTCTGCCAAACAGAGCAAAGCATTCACTCTGACCTGCACCACGGGAACGTTCTAATCAAAATTTGGTTTACAAGATCGAGCTCTTCATTTTATCACTCTATTTTTTAAACGACACAAAAAAATTGAACTAATCAAGGCTAGCACATACGGCAGCAACTGTGGTTTTGAGAGCCAAGCCATGAACACGAGGCAAAATTGCTTGCCTTACAACCTGCAAACATAAGTTGAAAAAAAAAAATAAGAGCTGAACAAACTCACCCATGCAACTGACTAAAATAACATTGCAGAACCAGAACTAAAACACCTGTTACACTAAGCTTGTGTAAGCTACACATAAATCCTGAAGGTTATATCGTCCATTCAGACGAAACTCATCCAATACAATATAAAACACAAAGCATCAGCCATCAATCACCTGACCATCGAGTTGTTTGGCAACAGATGTGGATCTTTTCAGAACTTCCTCCTGTATCCGGACATCGTTGTCGTTGTAGGCTCGAAGAAGCAAAGGGAGGATATGTGATACAAGATGCTCTGCATTAGTCTACAAATTTAAACAATAACATGGGTTATAATATCATAACAAAATAAGGGAAATTGATTCCATTTTAAACATAGAGAACGGAGTAAAGAGGCAAATATCAGTAAGGAATAGAATTTAGCAGAGAAACATGAGTCAGCTTAAAGAAAATGAAGGTCTTGTATTGGTTTACGGCAGAATAAGAAAGAATGACGGCACTAGATATGTCATAGGTAGCAATACTTTACATATTAATTCCTTCACTCTTTTCCATTGTGTCAAATCAGTAAAATTTAGCAGACACTAAATATGCATACATATTGGTTAGAGATTTACCTTGTTAATTATAAGCTCTGCATGCTTTACAAGCAACAGTAAAGTATCACCCGTAGCAGAACTCAAAACAGGAACCAGAGCTGGGAGCGTTATCAACTCAAAGTCATTCTTATCCTGCCAAATTTAATTTATGGTTCATATTAAAACATGGTAAAAGATTTAAAAGAAATCCTTGTCAAAGGTCAATGTTATTCTACAGATGACAAGTTAATATATAGCCGGTATGTATTTGTGCAATCACCATTTGTACAATTGAATAGGGTAAGTCTGAGTATATGTGCGTGTGATAGGTCATAAGACACACATGTATTAAAAAAAGACAAATTTTACTTAGAAACAAAATTTGGAAATCTGATTAGAAAAAGCACCTGAGACTCTGCTATAGTTAGAACCATAGGAAGAATCATTGGCTGCATTACCAAATTTCTAAGTTCAGCACAAAGAGGCGGAAGCACCTGCGCGACAAAACCTGGTTTGATTAGTTGTTAGAAGGAAATTCACTTGACCAACTGATTCTTTTTCCTTCTATTAACAGAATACTGGAAAGAAGCCAGAAAGTGACTACCTTATACCGTAATACACGGGAATCAAAATCTTTCCACATATCTGATAATGCTTTTAAAAACTCAGACTTTTGCATGTTGTCTCTTTCCTGCAGTAAAAAAAAAAATTCTATATATCTTTCCTTGTATCTAAAAGATATCTGTATGAACCGATGATTGGGAGTGTAGACACATACAAGCATATGATCAAGGAAACGGAGGGCACGTAACCTCGTGTCGCTTCGAAAAAAATTAGATCCTGCAGGTGAAAGTCCAAAGTCCAAGATGTAAGTGCAAAAGCAATGAGGTAAAACTAGCCACAAGAAACACTCGGGCTCAGTATTCGTACCTGTAAAATCTAATGCTGTTGGTCTAAAAGACTCATTCGCTGACAGCATCCGTTGCAAATCAGATACCAAGTCCGAGGGTATAGATGAGAAAGTTTCATTTGTTAAATAGTTCAATGTGTTCATGTACTGCAAGAAAACCGCAAGGTAACCATCATCAGCAATGGAGCGGACAGAATACAGATAATCCGAATATACATTTAAAACAGAAACTACTTTCCGAGGCTGCTTCATTTTATATAGAGAGAAAAAAAACTTATCGGACCGTCTATGCCTGAAGATTAAACTAACGAGCTTGGGTTTTGGAATTACCATCTTGACATTGTTGTGGCAATCAAACAAAGGTTTCCGTGCAACTAAATGATAGGCGAGGCATCCAAAGCTAAAAACGTCTGAAGAAGCTCCAGCAGAAGGAGTTTTGCTCCGCACCAATTCAGGTGCTGTATAATTTAAAGAAGGTTGGAGTGGCAGGATTGAGTCCTCAACATCATATTCCTGCACATGTTCATCCATATCAAAACACATTCATCTTATCAAAGTTGAATCGAGAAAAGTGTTGAGTTTTTAAGTACCCACAGAGTAGTGGAACGATTGCATATTATCCAAATTCCCAGCCTGTGCTTCTGAAACAGCAAAGCCAAAACCAGCAAGCTTCCAGGAGCCAGCCGAAGTAATAAGAACATTCTGCAATGAAGTTTTTTAGATCCACACAGGTTTATAAAGCAAGTCAGCTTCTAACAAGATGAACAAGTATTGAGTTTAAAACTTTGCAAAAAAAAGCAACCTCTGGAGACACAGCACGGTGGATGAGATGGGCGTTATTATGGAGAAAGTTCAATGTCTCGGCAATTTGGAGGAGACCGTGCTTCACCTCCAACAAGCTCATCTTCTGCAAAAAAAAAATCATAGTAATTAGTAAACTAACAATCTCCCATTTTTCTCAGTCAATTGCTCAAACTCTCTCAAGCTTCACGGATTACTAAAAACAAGGTGGCTGGGAAACGCACCATGTTCCTGAGATCTTTCGGCACGTTATCCACGTTCTCAACATTCCCGAGCGCGTTGGCCACGGATGCGAATAGCGGCTCCGTAACCATAGCCATAGCGTTTTTGTTCTCGTCGAGCGCCTGAACCACGTGGACCACGCCGGGGTGTCTCAGCCGCACCAGCTTCCCGGCATCAGCCCGAACCAGATCGAGAAACGAGTCTTCGGCAGCCCTGGATAGCCCCGCCCTGGCACGAGCCTCCGACAGGGCGCGCTTATCAAGCACCCAGACGCAGACGGTGGGATACTGCTGTGGCCGCGTGGAGTCACGCGCCTTGGCGGAGAAGAGCTTCCAGGCGAGGCCAGGACCACCGGAACCGATCTGATGGAGGAGCTCGTAGTCCTGGAGAGGCTTGGGACCTGTAACCTCCTGGACTGTGGTTTGAACCGTCTTCTCAATCACCGCCGCCGTCTTGGCCAGAGCTTGTGTCAGCGTTCTCATATTAATCGACATTTGGAAATGATCCCGGAATTAACTGTCGCTCTAACCGTTTTTCGGCGACGGCGCCAACCGGTGATCGGCGAGAGGCGATTCGACGAAGGAACTGTATCCCGAAGTGGAAGGTGACGGAAGATAAAAGTAGAAACCTGAAATCGAATATCGTCTTCTTCACCCTGAGACCCTCTCTCAGCGACTAGTCTGTTTGATTTTTCTTCCCTTTTTTTTAATTCCGTCGCAGTGTTTTTTTTTTTGCTTTCTCACTCGTTTTTCTGGTTTTTGTTATTTATAAATATTTTAATTTATTACCCAAACAGGTCCTTCGTCTTGAGAAGAAAGTAGACTACAAGGTCTCTTAAAAGCTTAATTCATTCATATGGCCCATAATTAACTGTCGCAAAGGCGCCTAAAAGTACTACTCTATGCTCTCCACAGTAACATGGAGAATCCGCAAGCTTTCTTTACTTGAACAGGATCTCCTTTATGTTCTTCATTATCTGTAACTGTACAGGGCTTTCTCTGTGTTTGTGAGAGGTTAGAGGTCAAGTACAACTGTTGCCAAACGAGAGGGCTTTCTGCTACCGGTTCACTAACCAACCGGGTTTTATCAGAACATCTCTCTTGAAGTCACGGCCCGTTACTGACTTCGATTCACCAAGGCGTCGGTAACACTGGGAACAAGGAACAAGAGTAGCCTCAGAGAAAAGGATACATGCAAAACAGATAACAGAGGACATGCATACATTGGTGTTGTTCTAACCTTGTAACAGACAATGGTATCATCTGGGTACATCGCAAATAGCTTAGTTCCCAGGCGGGCGAAGCAGGAATCACAGAGGCTCTCATCATTTATCTGCACGTGACGTGATCTTTCTTCTAATCTTGCCAGCCTTGAATCCACATCCAATGCACGAGAGATCTTGTGTACAATCTGTAGCAATTCACTTGACAACATTCAGGCAATACAGAATACACAACTAATTGGAAAGCAAAGGGATTGTAAATTTGTTTTTACTTGGCCTTGACGATGATGATGAACTCTAGCCCTCAGCATTCTCAGAATCGTATCTGATGCCAGTTTTAAGGGCATGTCAGGAGACAGTTTCTGGAAATAAAACAAGGTATCAGCTCTATCATCAAACAACTAGCAAATGAAAAACAAGATGCAATCAGCGTCTGTATGTTACATACAGAGAGGAGTGGGATTTCTTACTTCCAAAACTTGCAAAGGGTCAAGTGATTCCCCGTGGTTGTGGAGAAGACGAACAGCGGCCTTGAACATTGGCTCTTTACCATTCTGAGGATCCAGGTACATATCAAGTAACCTAAATATGAACTTTCTGTTATTAAGGAAAAGCAAAACGGTGCGATGGCATTCACAATAAAGTGATGAAATGAAGGAAAAAAGAGAACCTACTGCATAAATGCATCTGGTCTTCCAATTTCTACACAATATTGCTCTGCAGCTGCACAATCCTCAAGCTTCCTGGATCCCACCACAGAATATATTTATCAGCGACCACATATTCAATTTCACCACTAATTGTATTTGCTCACTTCATAAGGTCTCAAATTGGTTGGTTTCCAGAATAATCATATAGACAATACATTTTCGCTCTTTATCACTTCTTGTCACTATTAGTTTGAACTTACAGAGCAAGAATTTGGAGGACTAATGTCTCCTGCCCTATCCTTCGGTATAGGATGGCCTAACAACAAAAATTTTTACACATGTCAAGTGGGTAAAACAACAACAAAATTCGATAGTAGAAAATTTATTGAATAATAATCAGTGAATTAACAACATAAGCATAAAGCGTCCTAGGTTCTCATATACACCCAAATGACACTTTTTAGACAAATTTGACCGACAAACCTTTTCCAACCACAGTTCTGATCCTTCAATCAAATCCAAGATCTCTTCAGGATCATATAGATCTGAAGATTGCAAAAAGGTCTGCAATCTTTCCCGTACATCACTATCAAACAAGGAAATACTTCCAGCATTAGAAACATGTGCCTCTCTGCCTCCAGCATCAGCTTCTTGGATACCATTTTGAACTTCAACACACTCAAGTGCTGATTTGGCAAGTGAGAGAGCATATGTTGTATGCAGCTGCGGATCATTGTAGTCTCTTTCTTCAATCAACCATTGGAGGTACCTGACAAGTATATATAAATTCAGCAAGAAAAATGTTTTAAAAACTTCGCTATATAAAGTCTGGTGGACCTTCCTGTTACTAGTAAGCTTTTATTCAAACTCAAACTCAATTGTATGAAATTTGTTTGTGCTGTAAGTAGTTATACCTCTGTATGATTTCCACCTTTTTGGGATCAATAGCTTCGATAACTTTCTCTGCAATAATAAAAAAAAAAAAAAAAACACATAGCCTGACGTCAATTAAAAAGTTTAGTGCATATTCACCATTGTACATCTAATGACATACGCAAGCCACTCAATAACCCAACGCCAAATAAATAGATAAAAATCTGAATACTGTAAAAAATTTAGAGCAATTTATGGAACATCGTCTATTCTAATCTTATTATTTACTATAATGATGTATAACGCACTAGAGACATGAGAATGTATGCATGGAAAAAACATGTTACCCTAAACCCAAAGCAGCCTTGGACTTCTTGCATTACTTTAGTCATCCCAGACTTCAACTAAGCCATTGTTTATCAAAACAAGTACAGCATAGATCACAATTGTAAACCTAAGAAACACTTGGTAAAATGTTTCTAAAAATAATGAAAAGAGATCAATATCCGACTCACAATCAAACACAAATGTCCTGTTAACCCTGATTCCCACCTGGCGAAAGCTCTTCTGTCCTTTTATCTGACGTTAAGACTTGGATGGCAAACAATGGGTTTATATCTGAAATCTGAAAAGTGATTTATCCACAATCATCAATTATATTCACAAGATGCAAATCTTTAATGTACAAAGTCACAACGACTTGAAGCTATATCATAAATATTTCATACCCAACTAAGATGCTGCAATGCCAGTTCTGGATCACAGGGTTCCTCAAGAATTCTGGCTGCTTCTGCGGCAGCAGCCTCTTTACCAGATAGCCTAATGAGCTCGTTGTCGTATATATAAGCCACCAAGTCATCTGAGTCTTGCCATAGACCAGATGAATAATTCTTCGTAAAGAGACGCCAGATAGCAAGAGCCTTTGCACTCATCCTCTTACTTGCATAGAGGAATGCCAGTGTCCGTAAATGTCCAGATTCATTTAAAGGAGCCTCCAACTCCTCCTGCACCACTCACGCAAGTTGCAAAGTCATTCCTCAAGAAACGTTCTGATAACAAGCTCTCTGTAATTTGATGCATTGTAATTCTAAGGATCCAAAAAAAAATTATGATCTCCTGATGGTATATTAACATGAATCCTAGAGTAATACAGGCGACAATTCGTATTTATCAGTCAGTGTAACTTTGGAGACTCTGCTTTTTAACCAAGTTATAACGATCTTACTCGAATAGTTTTGTCAAAGAAATAGTTTTACTAGAACCAAATTACAGACTTTTTTATATCGTTTATTTTTCTTTAGTGGTGCCACTTATCGAGTTGATGCTATGAAAATATGTGCATATGTATAATATATTCACTAAAAAGACATACCACGACACAGTTATTATCAGAAGATGCAAGATTCTCCATATCTTCAACGCGGTTTAATGCTCTGTACAGAAGCATTAGAAGCGTGTCTATTCCCTCTCTTACTGGGTGACTTAAGTCCTTCTCACGTGATAGCTCGAGGTACCTTTTGCAACGGGTAACATTACCTCGTTATATGCCAATTCAAACCTCAGAAAACAAGAATCTATAATGCATAAAGAGAGCAGTTATATCACCTGGTGATGTTCTTAATTGCTGACTCCAATAAATCAGCTCTACTTGGAGGATTTGAGAAAAACTCTTCGTCAACCGGAGTGTCCATCCCCGCTTTTCTAAGAAAAGTGGCTCTCTGGATGGCCATCAACCCATTATCTACAACATCTTCTAAAGGAGCAGGGGGAGGATGCAGTCCCCAGTACCTATTTCTTGGAACCTGAAAGCAAGTAAGAATCTTAGTTAAGCAGAGTGCAGTTGGACAAAGCATAAATCAGGTTCACTACAAGTTAGCCAATGCCTCGAGTAAGAGAAATAGTGAACTGTGAAACTGTGTAAATGATGAAATACCAGCAGCCAGGAGAGGAAGAAATAAAACATACCAGCAAAGACCAGCGATTAGGATCCCGCATGATAAAAGGAAAAACTTCAGAAGGCTCCATTTTTTCCGACTTTAAAAACTGGTTCACTGCCTCCTCAAAGCGCAAATCAAAGAGTAGTAGATACCCAATCTGAGCGTGAAGAAACGAAAGCATTTCTTTCGAAATTTCCCCCTCCGAGTCAAGCTCCTCCACCAGGGAGATGGCTTCTCTGTATCTCTTCTTCCTCAGAAGGTCTTTAATCTGTTCTTCATAAGGCACTCTCCGATAAAAAACAATCTGTAAAACTCACAATGAAAGAGTCGACAGATATAATTCACGATGGTTTTATCAACAATAAGAAGTGAAATGTATCGAGATAAACAAACAAACAAACACCTTTGACAAAGCAGCAACAGCCAAAAGGTTTCCGTCTCCTGCCTCATCTACGGCCAAAACCGAAGTCCCACATCCTTCAGGACCGAAACTAACTGACTGAACACAAGCACCCGACTTCTTCTGATGTATTTCCATCTTTCCATCTCCGACGGTGACCAGGTAGAAAGACAACTCCCCAACGGAATCAGGCCTCCTCCGAAACACAAGGCTCCCTCCAACAGGCTGACCATTTGTGTCCACGACAACCCCAACATTGTCCACCAGCAACAACACTTTCCACTCTTTGCAGAGCAGTTTCAGCAGTGGCGGACCAGACACATCAGGCAACGTGAAAATTACCCCGCTTTGACCGGTGACGCAAGAGATCAAGGTGTAACCTTTAACCGTCCCCGCAATGACATAGTCATCAAGCCAAACCAAAGTTTTGATCCCACTAATGCCCAGAATCTCTTTCAAGACAACAAAGGAAGCACTCGCGCCGTCTCTTTCGTCACACTGAAGCTCGATGAGCAACATTCTCTCGCTAATGGCAACGGCGAAAAGATACTGACCTTGGTGGAGTCGCTCGTGCATGGAGTCTTTACCCTTGATGTCGCTCACCCGATTTCCAGCGCCAAGCAGCTGAAGAAACTTGCTGCTCGAGCTAGAATCAGCGGGAATCTCGGAAGGCAACAGGTCAGTAGTACTCGACGAGTCGCGCCCTCTCACTCTCCTAGCAACCACATTGATCCCTTTCAATAAACCGCCCAATCTTTTAGGGGGTTGAGATAGAAGAGAATCCACCAAGAACAAGTACCCATTGCAGAGTGCTAGAACTTTCCCCCTTTCCTGATCGAGCACGAAGAGAGACTCGACTGGAGAAGCGCTCAGCGATACACTTCCGAGACGCGCGACGATGTTAGTTGAAGTGTCGAGGGAGAGGAGAAGAAGTGATCCGGAGAAGGTGCCGATGTATACTAGGGTTTGGGAATCGGAGTGAGGGGAGAGAGACAGGGCTCGGATCTTATCGACGCCGCCGAGATCGAAACGGGCAGTGAGCTCCACAACCGCCCGAGATTTGGCCATGGCCTAGAGTACGAAGACAATGGCAGTGACCGGATTTGAGCAGAAGAGAAAAGGAGAGGAAGAGAAAAGGAGATTGAAACTCCGGCGATCAGTCTCGCCTACCGGTAAAGCCAAAAGAGTCAGACACGTCGAGGAGTTCTCATTTTGACTATAACATTGGAGCTTTTTTTCACTTTTACCATCATCAAAACAAAACGAAGTCGTTTCATTTAAGCCGTTGTAGTTTTTAGAATAATTTTTAGTTTTAGTTTCTGAAAAACTGTCTTTTTAGTTATTAAGTTTTCAAGTAAATAGATTCCCTAAATTAAAGAAAAACTAGTTTTTTATGGTTTTTAGTATTTTACAAACAAAAACCAAAAATCATAATTTTTGAGTTTTTGTAAGAAGTTATCATAATTTTTTTCGTTTCTAAATATGTGTATATTTTTATAAATATTTTTTTGGTATTACTTATTATTTTCACAAAAAATAGTATTTGTATTTATTAATAAATAATATTTATTTGGTTTTGGTACTGTTTGGTAATACTTTAAATATTTAGTACAATAAAAAAACTAAAAATCTAAATCTAAAATCAAAAATCAGAATAATATATTATCCTCTACCTATTAATTGAGAATGTAGTTTAATCAAAAATGATGATTTGTTTTAATTTGATTGGTTAAAATCACTTCTCTATCCTAATTAAATGTGACATAGAAATGATGATGTATAATGATGATGTAATTGTGACATGGCATTTACTAACACATGTGGTTTATGACATGGCAAAAAGATTTTTTGTGATATTTTTATTAATAATTAATTTAATTAGATGACAAAATTTAGTGTATTAATAACTAAATGAATAATTCGCCTGATGCATTATGAATGATCTGATATTATTATTCACCTATCTGGATAATGGCATATGAATTTTGGGCTGAACGTGATGATTTTAATACACATATATATATATATATATATTATAATACTATGGATAATAATATATTATATATATTAAATTTACTATAGCTATGTCGTGTACTACCGTAACTTTCCATATAAATACACACATCTATATATATATATATATATATTATAATATTATATTCATATGGAATACATGCACATATATTTTCATATATTTCAGTAGGCAAAATTATAGTAACAAAATCATATTGATCAAATCGTTTACTTAATAATTCATACTTTTTGTAAATACGGTGCTCCATTTACGTGCACATATGTTTTCACATACTTTAGTTGACAAAATTATAATAATAAAATAAGATATTATTGTGATCTTCTGTAGAACATTCAAAATTTTAAAATATTATTTTAGTTAAAAAATAGTAACAAATATAAATATAAGATTTCAATTTAATAATCTTCTACATTATTTTTCGTAACAAAAGTTGAATATCCTAAAAAATCAACGTGTATCTAATGAAAAACTAAAATCATTATCTTCTACATTATTTGAAAAGTTTAATGTCCATTTAATAAAAACCAAAAAGATCCATATAAAATCATGTTCATCCCAAATAACTAATGAAAAAGTTAAATACTCGAATCCTTATATAAGAAAACATCACAACACAATGAGTATCAAACAAATCAAATCCTAACTCAAAGCGCAGGCATGTCAATTCTACCAATCCATTTATCTAAATCGAATATGGCTAAAATGAAACTTGAAGGTTATATAGACTCCAATCGTGAGTGTAATGAATCAAAGTTTTATCGTTACACTGAATTTCCAAACAAACGAGTTTGGCATCAAAAAATTAAATAGTGGCTAATTCGCAACAGAAAAAACAATGTTCCCTACGATATTAGTCTTCCAGAAGTTTCAGAAGAATATGGTGAACTTTTCTACCTTAAAATGTTGCTAAATGTTCAGAGAAGACCAGTATGTTTCGAAAAATCATAGAACAGTAAATAGAGTTTTATATTCCACATGTCTTAAGGGCTAATTGAAGCACTTGATGCTTAAGTGGAGATAGTCGTGCAATTATTTGTAGAGTCTACTTGATAAAATTATAAGTAGAAAAATCGCACATATAAGTAGAATAAGTAACCAGCTATCCATGAGTTTGATCCATTTGACCCTCTAACATAACGGGTCAAGTTTTATAAAGTCTGATCATGGAAAAATAAGTTTTGTGTTTTCCAAATTTAATTATTATTTTTCAAGTCTGTCCTAAAATATAAATGAACCTTTTATTATAACAAAATGTTTAGTTAAAATTAGATCATATTTTATTACTTTATTTAAAGTCTTATAATTCAAAGCACTGACCTTGAGTTTCATATACTATAAAAAAATTAAAATATGTAAAACGGATTTAGATATTGTATATAGACAATTACATTTTAAAAATTGTTCATGTCCGCACATGCGTGCGAGCCAATATCCTAGTTATTGATAAATCTCACACATTTGTTTTTGATCATTTAAAACATATAAAATAAATTTTATCTCTATTTTTTATAAACATCACTAAAAATTGTGCAATAATAAGTTTATTTTATTTTAATTTTATGACACAAGCTTTTGTACATTTTTATTGATATTTTATCATTACTTATATTTTTGTGAATTAATTAACAATAAATATGTTAAAAACTAAAACTTATAAGTATAACAACATTTTAAAAAAATATAGGTAGAAACCAAAAACTAAACAAATTACCATTCAATTTTTAAAAAAACCAAAATCTACTGCAAAAATAAAAACTCAAAACTAAAAACCAAAACTCCAAAAATATAAAACCAAAAACCAAAAACCAAAATCTAAAATCTAAAACTAAAAACTACATAAACATTCATCAAGACATTTTTGTAAAAACATTAGGGGTGTAATTAGTAATAATAAATTGAAATATTAAAAATAAATGGAAAAAAAAATCTATATGGAACAAAAAAATATGAAATAGTGAAAATTAAATTCCCTTCATTCTTTAACATTTTTGAAGTGGAACAGTTTTTCAAAAAAAAAAATCTTTATAAAATAAATAAAAGAAGTAGAATGATTTTTTACTTTCTTTTCTTGTAACTAATAACAATTTTGTAGAATTTTATGGAATCATCCATTTTATATGATTATATTCCTAAAAATTCAATCTAGTTACAGTCTAAGATATGAGAACGAGCAGTTCTTGTAAATTAGTTGGTTTCACTTACAATATATATTTTCTATTATTCCCTAAATTTGTAGTAACTAACTGATTTTGTCATAATACTATTAACGATAATAATGTTTTTACAAGAATATATTGTAATATCTTACAACAGTGAAATTCCGTAATATTAACGAAAATGTTGGATTTTGTAATGTGATGTATACAATTTATAAGTTTTATAAAGAGAAAATAGTCATAGACATCCGTATGAAAAAAATAGATTGTCAGAAAGGAAAAAATAGATTTAATAATCTGTTAGCAAATAAAGTCAAACAAAAAAATTTGGTCAAAAATCATATTTTAGTTATGCTTATTTATTGTGAAATTGATGCATATTTCTGGCTTACATCAACGAATTTGTTTAGCCTAGAATTAAAAGGATACTGGTGGAAGAAAAAAAAAAAAAAAAGGGGGTACTGCTTGAAAACGAAGTCGTTTTTTTAAGAGCAAAAAGGAAAAAGGACAAAAGGTGGTAGATATCCAAAACCCTACCAAACATCTCTTACAATTTTCCCATATGATTAGGGATTGGCAGATAAGTCTTGTGAAGTTGTGACCTCGATCGAGGGAGACTAGTGTTTGAGGATGGGTTTGTCTTTCCGTCTAGCGGTGATCCAACTTGAGAGAAAGAGGAGGAGAAGACGATGCACGCCGGAGATTCCAATGGACGTGATGGTGGAGATTCTTACGAAACTGCCTGTTAAATCCCTGATGAGATTCAAGTGCGTCTCAAATCTTTGGTCATCTCTCATATGCTCTCAATATTTCAGTAAACGTTTCCTTATGGTCCCATCCCGTCCTTGTCTTTACATGTGTGTATCTGATCTCAGCGACTACCGTAACTCTGTTATCCTATCATTGGCTCCAGACACTTGTACTCCGTCTTCCTTTGTTGTTGACCATGATCTGACTATGGAATGCTTCGTCACCCAAAATCTTCACGGCTTTATGTGCTACACGTTTTTGGGAAAGCCGCGAATCTATAACCCTGCCACCAGACAACTTGTGACATTGCCCGCCATACGTCCAGGAGAAGGTAAGAACAACCTCCACTTCTGTTTCGGATACGACCCCGTTAACGACCAGTACAAAGTAATCTGCACTATTGCGGAAACCTTACAACATTCGATAACGTCAGAGCATTGGGTCTTTGTTCTAAAACCTGGAGGTTCTTGGAAAAAGGCAGTGGACTTTTGTACTCCTCACCTTCCTATCAGTCGAGGACTATCTATCAATGGTGTTATATATTACCGGGCTCGGATTGGTCAGCATATATATGTGGTTGTGAGCTTTGACATTAGATCTGAAGAGTTCAAAATGATCCCAGCACCTCGCACGGACGAAAATGTGCTACCTAAAGGGGTCGACAGGACCGTGAGTCTCATAGAGTATGGTGGAAAAGCAAATGTTCTTGACTATACCCATCTTGGAGACAAGGGCATGATGGATTTATGGGTTCTGGAAGATGCGGGGAACAAGGAATGGTCGAGAAAGACACTGGTTTTGCAGCCTTCTCAGCTCCATTTGGTCAACAACAACATTATTACATTCAAGGTCAAAGGTACAACTCAAAGTGGCAAAGTTTTCTTCGTACCCGCGGTTTTTTCTTCTCCCTTCCACGTTTTCTGTTATGATCTGCAAAGCAATGACATGAGAAAGATTGAACTCAAAGGTATACCGGACTACCGGTTAACTAAGGACACAGCGGCCAAATGTTTTGACTTTATGTTTATGGATCAGAGCGAGAGCATCAAATACCTGCACACTTGAACTCATCCGTTGCCTCTAATATGCATGTGTGTTAGATTAAGAAGACAGTTGACTTATTTATTGGTTTTATAATTTTCCGAAACGCGGGTTGTTAGCATGTCCATTGGTAATACTCTATCTGAGGTTCTTAACCAATTTTTAAATATAAATTTTCTACTATTTCATTTTAAAAATCTTTTAAGAACTTCTTAGTTTTTCTCCCTTTCATTGGTAGAAATCTATTAAAGATCTTTAAGAATAAAAAAAAAATTTATGTTGTAATTAAGGAGCCAAAGATAAAATATAAAAATACACAAGTCTTTTCTGTTGATTCATTGTAGTTTTACTTCCACCAAGATCACGAGTAGCAAGAGAGACCCTAATCCTTGTGCCCTGATATTTGGCATTTTACGAATAGCATTGGGTTCCATCTGAGAATCAAACAAAACAAACAGAATCTTAGCTGTTGTGCGTATAAGACCCAAGTGATGGTCTCGGGGTTCACTAAAATCTTAGCTGAAACAGAATCAATGCATCTACCAACAAGCTTCAGATCTTCAGACCATGGAAGAAGGGATTTGGTAGTCTGAAGCACAATGATCGAGTCTTTCCAGCTTCTGAATATGCCCGAGTTGAGGAAAACCTCGATCTTGTATATGAGGTTACCACGATAACATCTTCAGTCATTTCAAGATACTCAGCTGCACATCGCACAGCTGTTATGTTGTATGATCACTCCCGTAGCAAAAGTTAGCACAAATCTCAAATGCTTTGTGTCCTCCAGGGATGTTGAATATTGTGATTTCGTTGGTGTTTTCCTCACTCGCCTGAAAGACCAGTCTCTCCATCTGATTGCTCTTCGATAGCAGCGAGAACTGAAAACATAAGATTGCAGGATCAATAAGATATCCTTCACTACAATTGTAACAATTAAGAATCCGTCAGTAACCTTGTAGAGTCGGCATTTCCACAAGAGATCTTAAGCTTCAATAATGCTTCTCTTTCTCTGTTACGGTAACATATGATTCGCCATTATCGATCAGAAACGTAAAACTAAACCCTTAAACCCTGAAGGTGTAGTCGAAATTGAACAATTCAGGCATTAACGAAATAAAACTCAGAAAACTGAACATAAACCAGCATCCATTGAAATACCAATCTGAATCTATGCTAGGATCGTCTACATAATAGGGGAAATGAGCAGAGAAATCAGATTGAAGAGAAGAAAATGTATGAAATCGATAAAAAAAATATTCAAACCAAATAGACAAGAGCCGTAGATATACAGATAATTAGATCGAAGTTTACCGGAAAAATGATCGGACGGCATAATTCAAGCTTGAGAGAGACGGACAGAAGCATGCATTCAACGGCGAGAGAGACTTAACAAGAAATAGGAAAACGATTCAATGCGAAACATCAAAACCCCACTCTTCCCACAATATCAAAACAGATTCAAAGGTTAAATGAACCTCTAAAAATGGATCCGCGAGGAGGTAGATGAAGAAGAGTAGGCATCGTTCAGATTCGGAGGAGCCAAACTGAAAAAAATGAAGCCCAGAACAATGTTCAATCAGATCAAATCAACAATACGGTGGATATCGAATCAGTAAAACCCGATCAGAAGAGAGGGAGAGAGATGTAGAGAAGAGAGGGAGATCGGAGAAGCCAAAAAATCTTCTCCTTCGCAACGGGAGAGAGACGATAAATGGGAGAGCCAATATTTTGTTGGGTTAAAGTTAATCAAACAATCACAGACTAACATGTATGAAGTTCTTAACAATTCTCAAATATATTAACCAAGATACGTTTCTTATCAAATCCACACCTTACTAAATTTTTTATTAATATTTTTGTTTAAAAACTTTTGTAAAAGACTCTTTAAAAACGCCTATGGAGATGGTTACATTGTTTGTTTTGGTTAGCCGTCAAGATTTTTTATATACTTGGTCTACTAATTTAACTTCAAAACTTATGCCCATATATTAAAAGAAACACAAAATAAACATGAAAGCCACCAAACACACCTTCAACTGCGGAAACTTCTTCCTTGTTCCCAACGTTCTGATAAGTCGATTACATCCGATGTATTTACATGGTGGGATTCAGCTCCAGTTTTCCCAAGAGAATCTACCACAGAGGATCTTCTCTCCCGAGCCGAGCCGTTCGTTCAAACTCTTTGGGCTGCAACAGCGGATTCCAATATTTCAGCACCCAAAAACCTAACCCATAGTAACTGAGGCAGTAGTCGGTGGACCGAATCAAAACAATGAGTACCTCGACCTCAGACCAATTTGAGCTAGTCTTTAGTAGGGGACAACGCCTCGGGTCCAACTTTGAATCTACTAATATTACTGAATATAGATTTGAATATATACATCATATGACTAAATAATTAAATTAATATAATTATTATTTGAATATTATCTAATAATTATTTTAAAAAAATATTTTCTTTTTAAATAACTATAGAGACAAATTCTTTTTTTGTATGAGATCCCTAATAATATCAAACCGGCGCTGCTTACATCAATGCCGCCTTCGTCAGACCACTGGCTTATTTAGCCGCCCTTAAATTGACACCGGAAAGTCTCCCTGAGTCGATCACTCACTCTCAGTTGGTTGCTTTTGCAATTTTATAATTTGAAAAGTCGTTAGATAAGCTTCGTTAGTCTAAACACTCGCCGCCAAAATTACGTGCGGAAAGCACTAACACGGATAGCTATTCAAATGAAAACTCTAATGGGCTTTTAGGTCCATGATTAATGGACTATTCAGAAAGCCCAACTTCGGCTCTTGGCCATAATTTTAATGCCTGCCAAGCTCCGTCATCTTCATTTTTAGAATAATTTTCAAACTAAAAAAAAAAACAAATTGCCTCCATGACGAAGAAGCGCGAACCTGGGAAAAAACCGAAGATCGACAACAATTCCTCTGGTAATTTTGGTAAAGCTAAGAACGACGAACGAAGATTCCTTTGATTTTTTCGATTTGTGTAGAACTTGCGTTTTTTTGTCATTTTTCTGGGGAATATCTGATTTGATTGCTCAATATTGAGATCCACGAGTGACTGAGTTCGTCGATAACATTTGTAGAAGTCGAAGCTGGGAAAAAACGTAAGAACGAAAACTCCTCTGGTAATTTTTCTAAATCTGAGATTACAATGTCTTTGATTCTGTCGATTTGTTTACAACTTGCGTTTTTGGTCATTTTTTTTGGGAATATCTGTTTTGATTGTTCAATATTGAGATCAGATCGTCGATTGCTACTTGATAATCGTTCTTCTATGACTAAGAGTTGATAAATCGTTTTTATATGACTAATGTTTGTAGAACGCGAACGCAAGCCTGGGAAAAAACCTAAGAACGATAATTCCTCTGGTAATTTCACTAAATCGGAGATTATAATGTCTTTGATCCTGTCGATCTGCTTATAACTTGCGTTTTTGGTCAAAAGTTTTGGGAATCTCTGTTTCGATTGTTCAGTATCTCGAGATCCGAGACTGAGTTCGTCGATGACTAATGTTTGTAGAATGCAAAATTTTGCTCTTAGACTACAACGTTTTTGATTGTTGTTGCTTTGTTTTAAAATGAAGGTTTGCTTTTTGTATTTTCAGATGTGATGAGCACTGATGATACTGGTGATGAAGATGGCTGCCATGACAAATGTGGTATATAATTATTATTATTTTTTAAATTATTTTTCTTATATGTAATAGTTGCTTAGTTCTGATTCCTTTTTTTTTAATTGGTTTCTAGACTTTGGACCCTTCTGTGGATCCGACTTCAAACGTTGTAAGTAGATTAATCTTTATTTTCTCTCTATAAATTTATGTTGAGACACATTTCCCCAAATACATAGGGTATGCAGTGAACAAGAATGTTGATGGTGGAGCTCTTCTTGGTGACCCAAATGGTGAGAATCTATAATTTATTTTGTTTTAACACATTTATGTGTGAGTTTATGGTCAATAATCTGACCGACTGACACATGATTTTCTCTTCATTCTTGTTGTTGCCAAAAAAGTCCACTATCGAGATGAAAGTGATGTTGAAAGGGATGACTCTTGATTCAGCTCTGGTACTCCTCCATTGCCATCAACGAATATGAATATAAGTAAGTATACCCCTTTTCAAAAACACCCTTAGAGCATGTCTATCGGTAGATACTCTCTTATCTCTTCAACGTATTTAATTTATAAAAAAATATTATAATTTATTTATATAATTAAAATTTAAATCATTAAAAGAAGAAAAAAAAATGAACAAATTAGAAACTGCTATATGTATTGCCATATGTGTAGATACGTCCTTTAAATTGCCCAAACAAGAGACGGTTTTCCTTTTTTCTTGTTTCTCTTTCCTCTTTTATAATATTTTATTTTTCAGAGATTCATTAAAATTCACCGATGGAGATAGTCTTAGTGGTTTCTATGGTTCTATAGTTTCTAAATAATGTTGGGACGAAACTCTTAGCCCATTTTGTATATAATATGGATTCATAAAAACTCTTTTGCTTTTAATGTTTCTAAAGAGTTCTTTCTAGTATTTGTTTCCTAAACTTTTCTTCTTCTAATTCTAATGTGCTAGCCAAAGTTATTTGGTAGAAGTTTGTTTTGGTTATAGTTAGGTTTGGTCTGGTTAAAATTCAGGTTACAACACTTGAAAGAGATCCATGATTTAAAACTTGGCTTGGTGATAATGTAATTGAAGTGTTTAAGTTAGGGAAATAGACTTTCCTCTCTCTACCTGCGAACATGGTCTTGTGCGGCTGTTTATTTGTAATGGGTATAATGGGATGGGATAATATACAAGTATCGTATCGAACACAATCCGCATATATAGTCATGTTTTTCACATATTTGGAAACTCTGTAGTGTACACGCTGAAATATTATTTAAATCTAAAAAATTGCATAAAGTTGGTAAGCAGGAAATTTTCCACAAACCTAACAACAGTAACTAGGAGTAAAAATCAGAATGGCAGGTTGAAACAAGTCTTTTGCAGTGGTTAGTTCCATTTATGTATTGTTCAACGGAGCACCTTTCTTCATCTTTCCCCGGGTGATCATTTAATAGGAATTATTAGCAAATCAATTTTACCAAAAAACAAACAAACAAACATGGGCTAATATATTTTACAAAGTGGACATGAGCTTCATTCAGCATGTATGTATTACACAAAATTTCAAGCGAACATGAATGGGAGAGAAAGAAGTGATGAAGTTCTTTTAAAATGCTCCGCAACTTTTAGTTTCTCTTTCATCTCTATTTCTTATTTTGTCCCATAGGAAGGATTAAAAAAACTTACAACTTCACATATAGTCAAAGAATTCTTATCCCACAAACCACTTTGTTTCATATTTAAAAACCTTGTGAATACTACAAGAGGCCTTTTCTTTAAGGTAATCAAGAGTCTTCACTGATGACCAATGGTCAAAGAATCTCTACCCAAAAGTAGTTGTGGAATTGGAGGTAAGTTAAGAATTATGAAACTTTTTTGCTTCTAGATTGAGATGGTTTAACTATGTTAAACAGAGAGAGAATGAGACCATCCTCCAAAACAAAGCTGATAAAGAGTCTGGACTTTACTTGGGTAGAATACAGAGTTTTCTTTCTTTCATCTTGTTATCCTATCTTTTTAGTTTGTATAAATGACATTTCAAGTCTCTTGTGTCTCAGTAAGTAACTAAATCATGTGGTTTAATGTAATTAGAGAAGCGTTTTTTTTCGGTTGCACGGTTCTCGAATATGCGATCGAATTATTACTTTTAATAAATTAAATTTCGTGATCCTTAGAAGGAAAGGCACGTGGCGCTCTAGATCGCCAGAAGAGTAGCCACATCCGAAATGCGTCTTCCTTCGGTAGGAAAATGCCGCGCCAACAAGCAAAGCCGTCACAAGAGAGAAACCGAGAAAATTTGGATGGCACAGCTTCAATTTGATCTTCGTTAAACCTTGCCTAAGATGCGCAGCCTCACTCTGGGTCTCAGATCCTCTTCTCTTCCATTCACCTGCAACTCCTCCTTCAGACTCTGCAGGCGATTCCATTTCCTCAAGCCATGTTCTTCCCTCAAACAGACGAAGAAGAAGCAGCAGCAGCAGCAACAGTCTCTCCGCGCTCCTCCTCCCTCCACCGCCCCTCCTCCCCAGAGTCTCCGGTGGTTCTTCAACCCCAAATCCAGTGACGACGACGACAACGACAACGACGGCGAACCTAAATCCTCCGCGGCTGACGATGGCGGATCGGAAGGGGATGCTGCTATCAAGGGTACGATTTTGGCCGGCGTTTTGTTGATTGGTACTGTTGGTGGATTCGCCGGCGTTGGCTACGTTTACAGAGACCAGATCAATACGTTTCTCACTCAGTTCTCAACTCTAATCGAAGGTTCTTTTTACTCCGCCGATTCGATTTTTTTTTTGTGCCTATAAGTCTGCAATACACTTGATTAGGCTTCTAGTTGTATGTTTGGATGCATTTAGGATAAGTTCTTGATCAATTTCAGAAGTTGACCTCTGAGTTTTGTGTTCTCGGATCAATCACAGGTTATGGTCCGGCTGGGTATGCACTGTTCATCGCCGTGTATGCTGGGCTTGAGGCAAGCTTTTTGAGATTCTTCATATTTTGCTCTTGATCTTCTTACTCCACTGTGACTTTATCTTACATCTCCCTTTGATTTTCATGTAGCCTCATCTTCAAGCTTTTTGGTTTTTTTTGTTAGATACTAGCCATCCCGGCTCTCCCATTGACGATGTCGGCTGGTCTTCTCTTCGGTTCACTTGTTGGCACGATCATAGTCTCCATCAGTGGAACAGTAAGTTATTCTACCAAGAACCCCAGAAAACTCAGATTCCATTTCATCAAAGTAACTCTCCCATGTTCATATACATATCTCTGGTTTTCTAATATTTTGTGTTTTTCGTTGGGTTTTACTCGTGTTAGATGGCTGCTAGTGTTGCTTTTCTAATCGCCAGATACTTTGCCCGAGAGCGTATCCTTAAGTTAGTCGAAGGCAACAAGAAGTTCCTCGCCATTGATAAAGCGATTGGTGAAAATGGGTTTAGGGTTGTTACTCTCCTTCGGCTAAGCCCTCTGCTTCCTTTCTCTCTTGGCAATTACCTGTACGGTTTGACATCTGTGAAGTTTGTGCCTTATGTGTTTGGAAGGTTTGTTGTTTGTGAAACTTCTTATACTATTCCCCTATGATACCCGCTGTGTTTACTGAAGAATCCAATTTGTTCCACCGTTGATTGTTTATTCTGAATTAATTTCGAGTAGGAGTTATTTAAATTTGTTTTGCAATTTAATTTCAACTAGATAAGGTGACTTCTGAGTTTACATGCTCATTCATGGATCATACTATTTTTTTGCAGCTGGTTAGGTATGCTTCCAGGATCTTGGGCTTATGTCAGCGCAGGCGCTTTTGGACGAGCGATCATTGTGAGTTTTGTTGTGTGTTTATAATCTACTCTATTTATAAACTTCAATTTGACAAACTGCACAGAAACATGCCTTTCTTCTTATGTCAAGTGTAAGGGTACATTAGGATCCTCCAAGCTTTTTCCTTTGCTGAGTGTAGAATAGGTCCATGTTGATCAGCACTAGTCTATGGTAGAGCTAGAAAAGCAGGATGTTGAGAGGGTTTATATACATCATCAACCTCTGGGATCACACAGCAAAAAGTTTTGTTTTTGATGTAATGAAAAAAGGAGATTGATAATGAAAGACAAAAATACGCAGCACTAGGAAGACGAGTCATTACTTATGCAAGTTAAACTTGAGTTGAAGAACTTCATGTGTCTGATAAGATCAGTGGAGACCTATGTTGTGTCGCTTTCATTCATGTGATGAACTGTGAGAATACATTGTGATTCTGTCAATCATCATTACTCGTTGTATCTATGTTGTTTCAGCAAGAAGAATCTAATATTGGCTTGCCTGGAGGAAACGGCCAGCTTTTAACGCTCGGGTTGGGTCTTTTGGTTACTGCACTGGCTGCAACATATGTGACACGCCTTGCAAAGGTGAGCTCATACTTGTTAGTGCAGACTCTTGTGATGTCAGACCAATTGGTTCTAGGTTCTAAACTTGGTAGCATAAGCACACGAAAGTCGAATTCATCTGATCTCAAATCATATATTTGTTGGATGTTGCAGGATGCTATAAAGGATATTGATGATGAGTGATTGGATTTGGAATAAAGGTTAAAACACTCTAGGACCTGTAAAACCTTTAACGGAGAGAACCATGTACCAAAGTTGAATTGTTATGTAGGATGACATTAATATTTCTTAAAATTATTGTTCATAGTTGTTGATATATAATTTGAATTTCTTTTTGTTTTCAACTCTACAAATGAAACTGCAAGATGTGATAAAATGGTTATTGATAAAACTGAAAGTAGTCGAGTAAGATTGGAACTCGAAAGGCAGCCAAATTCCCACCAAAACGTATATGAAGATGAGAGCATTTCCCAAAAAAAAAAAACAAAAAACAAAAGTGTTTTGAGATTTTATTTGTCAAAAGAATATCCGATCTTCGAGACTCAAATTCTTCAGGTCCCACACCATTGGATTCACTATGCAGTAGCTTCCTTCAAGTAGGCGATGAGATCAGCTCGGTCTTGTGGCTTCTTCAGCCCAGGGAAGACCATCTTCGTTCCAGGGATGTACTGCGTCCACAACACACCAAATCAGAACACATCACTCTCTAATGTTTATTCAAAACAACGATCATTATGGTGTATAGGTCAAAAAGAATAGGGTTTATATTAGTTGTAACCTTCTTGGGGTTGAGCAAGTAATCGTACAAAGTCTTCTCTTCCCACTCCACAGCTTTGTTCTTGTTAGCAGCAGAGTAAGAGTAACCAGCGGTTGTACCAGATTGTCTTCCAAAGAGACCGTTTAGGTTTGGTCCTATACAACCATTTTACACAACAAGTCAAGTGCGAGCCAACAATGGCGAAATGATGATCAAATGTTATACCACTACACATGTATTCGAAATCACACTAAGACAAGAACTAGAAACTCGTCTGAGCTGTCGAGATAAGACGTAAAGGCGATATCAATGTTGTTATTGGATCGGATCTACGATTATCTCAAAACAAGCGTGTTGATCGACGGATTCGAAATCGGAGTTCTAATAAACTAACGCGCGAGCAAAACCGGTTCCAAAAGCGATCAGAGGTAAACTCGGATCCACCAAAAGAATTACAATTGAAGAGATCGGAGATGGATGTGTGTGTATTTAACCTTGTTTGTGACCGGCGCCTTTGTCGACGGTGTGACACTGAGCACACTTGGTCCTGAAGATCTTTTCACCGGCCTTGGAGTTTCCTGGTGGTGCTTCATCAAACGACGCCATTTTCGCCGGTAATGGAACGGGAGAGCCAACAAGAGAAAATGAAGACGGAACTCGCTTCTTTGGGAGCTTTTGGAAATATTCTTAGGGTTTTCTGTGGGACACGAGAGCTCTCTCTCTTAAACAATCAATAATGTTGGGCCCAATAGCCTAATGGGTTTTAGTGGGCTCAACTTTATTTTCATGTGATTTTGCTTTCTAGTCAAGGAAAATCATGTAAATATCAGATTCTTGTTTATATAAAAAATCATAAACATAAACGATTTACAGATATCAAGCAAATACTTCTTTTTTGCCTCTGTTGATACACACACGCTCGTATATACAATAAAAAAAGAGAGTCAATTAATAATATCTGTATCCTACTTCTACAAGACGTTCTTCATCTGAACTTTGCTCCTGAGTGACGGAAGTTGAACCAAAAGTATCAATCATTATCGGCTTACTCAATCCATCTAACACATAACCTGTTTCAACCAAACCAAGCTCATGAGCCTTTGGCACACTCATCAAAGTCTTCACATCTGCAAGCTTGTTACAAGAACCAGCAGCTTTATACATATCTGCAACCAACAGAATGTGCCTAAAGTTCTTCGGCTTCATCTCCCATAGTTTATCTGCAGCCCATTCACCAATGTTTGTGTCCCCGTGGATGAGACAAGCTATCAGAAGAGTAGCACACATGGCACAAGACGGCTCGTAAGGAGTTTTGCAGATTACGTTTCTGGCTCTAGCCAGGTCACCTGCTCTGCAGTAGAGATCAACCATACAAGAATAGTGTTCAAGGCGAGGGTATATACCAAACACATACTGCATCTTCTCGAACATGAACTGTCCTTTACTCACTAATTTCGAATGGCTGCAAGCTGATAAAACTGCAACCATGGTTACGTGATCAGGTTTGATACCGGACCTGATCATATCGTTGAACCACGCCAATGCGACTTCTCCTTTACCAACCATGCCGTATCCATCTATCAGGGAAGTGTATGTCACTTTGTCCCTCTTGCTCATCGAATCGTACACCCGCTTCGCAGCTACGATTTCCCCGGATTTCGCATACACATCAACAAGGGAGTTCCACAGGATCAAACAGTTCTTGAAGCTTTTCCGCCTCAGGATGTAGCAGTGAAGCTCTTTCCCGTGCTGCAGGTTTGACACCCGAGCACAAAGTGCGAGAACACTCGCAAGCGTAACATGATTTGGGTGGAAGCCAGCGAGCAACATCTCCTTGAGCAGGACAGAGGTTTCTTCTGATCTCTCGTTGTACGCACAACCGGAAATGATGGAGTTCCATGTGCTCAAACTATCTGCTTCAAGCTGCTCAAACACTATAAAGGCATGCCTAAGACCGCCGCATCTTGAGTACATTGTGATCACCGAATTACGAACGTTGTCAATTCGGACGTGACAGCTATGGATTGCAAGGCAGTGTAATTCTTTTCCCCACCGTATCGCGCCAATCTGTGAGCATGCCTTCAAACCGTTAATCACAGCTACATGATCTAAACTTCCATGGCAATTTCTCATCTTAACGACATGATTCAAAGCCCCCGTGTAATCTCCAGTCCGGAAATAACATCCAGCTACAGTGTTCCAAGTTACAAAAGTCATTTCTACGCCAGAGAGATGCATTCTATCGGAGAGCTCAAGAGCTTCCTCCCATTTGCCTTCGGAGACATAACAGCTGATCACTGTATTCCATGAGACGGCATCCCTTTCAGACATCCCGTCAAACACTCGCCGAGCAGTATCCACTTGCCCGAATCTTTTATACATCGATACCAACGCATTGCAGACGTACAAGCTGCGCCTGTGAGAGCCAACCTCGATGGAGCCATGAACAACTCTTCCGGATGCAAAGTCCAGCAATGCTCCACAGGCCTTGAGAACCGACGGGTAAGTAAAAGCATCCGGTCTGATTCCTTTGCTCACCATTCGCTTGTACGCAGCAACCGCCTCATCGAACCGTTTGTGCCTAACATACGAGCCGATGAGCACATTCCACGGCAAGGGATGCAAAACGCCAGAGCCCTCCGCGATGCTCTGAGCCTCGTCAGGGAGATCAAAGACAGAGTAGAAAGTAACCAGCTTTGCGACCAAAACGGGGTCAAACTCCAGACCCGAGGAGATACAATGAGCGTGAAGTTGCTGCCCTGCGACGAACTCGTTACGCTCCACGCAGGCAGATAAAAGGGAAGCAGCAGAGTGCAAAACGGATCCATGAGAACCAGCGAAAAGAGACTGGCGGCGAAGGAGAAGAGGGAAAGTTCTGAAAGCTTGATACAAATCACAGTGGGAGATGAAATGTGCGAGTGGATTGAAAAGAGCATCCGGAGCTGGTTCATCGTGGGTTTCTCTCGGTGGCTGTTTCCACGACTGGGGGATAAACTTGCGAATTTCGGCAACGGTGAGACATCTGCGAAGGTAGCGGGAAGGAGAAGACGGCATATACAGTAAGCGGGCATATGATCGCAACGTCTACCGCAGAAATCCAGTAGAGTGTAGCGAAAAGGATCGGTTTTGTTTGTTGTTTCACTATTAGTTTGATCCATGAAAGCAAAAACTCAGCCAATTTAGCTTCTCCGTCTGAAAAGAAGAAGAAGAAAAAACCAAAGAGAAGAAAGGTGAGAGGAAAAAAGTGAGGGTTTCGTTGAGGAATATCGTCAAACAAGTGGTGCGCAAAACATACCTTAAAACAGTGGAAACATGGAAGTTCGAGGTAAATCCACAGAAGCATAGAAAGAGAGGAGAGAGAACTCGTGTAGGAAGAAGAGAAACAGAAGACAGAGATTCGGTGACAGCAACGAGCGAAGAGATGAAGCAAAGTAGGAGAAGCCGCGCGTTGGAAAAGGTTTTGTAGAAAGAATGGCCATTGACTATGTTTGCTCGGTTGATGAAAGATTGGGCCACTTGTTTAGAAGTTTTCCTCTTCAGGACCCATTGTATTCGTAACCCATTTTAGCCCACTAAGCTATATAGCCAATAATTTTGATTAGCTTAATTTTTTTTTTTTTTAAATAGTGATTATTTTTGGATTACATATAAATTGTATTTTGAATAACTTGTATACATATTCAGTCTTTACTCTTTAGTTTGATATCGATTTGATTCGGATATCGAAAATATATTAAACAGATAACCATTTAGATTAATCTCTTTTAAAATTTTATTAGATAAATAGGTTAATATATAGTGCTCGAGACTATATTTGAGAAAGAAAAAAAACGTTAGTAGACAAATAATTTAGCACTAAATCGTCTATGTGACATCTTCTAAACGAGTCGGTGTCTGTCACAATCAGATCCCAAAAATGAGTGTAAAGATAAGTAAAGACGAGAACCTAATCAACTAAAGAATTGGTTGTGCATATGAAGCACATTGATTACATGACGAGGCTAATTTTCTTTCTACGTGGCTGATTCGTGTCTAGTTGTGTGTGAACTGAACTCGACAATCATGTGTTTCTCTCTGCAAAGTATTAAACACACAACAAGACAAAAAATAGCTTTTAGCAACTGGTTTGTCTGTGTGTAATAATCAGTGGAACTATTGATTTTGGTCAAAAAAAAAGAAAAATAAGGACCCGGCATAGACGGTGTTCACGTCAGGCATGACGCATTTGTACACAAAAAGGCAAAGAAAGTCTTTGTTGTTTTCTTACCCCACGTGTTTAACTGCAGACGACATCGTTTCACGTTTTATAGTATTTTTTTTTTATATAATTTCAATTATGGTTAGTTACAAGATATTAAATGATGTTTTGAAAGTAAACAATAGTTCGAAAATTAGTATTTACAATTTTGCATTTTTAAGTAAAAAAATTGGATATTAGTAAATGATTAAAACAACAACAATAATTATAGAACTTGTTAGAACAAAAATGACGAGATCGTTAAATTATGAATTAAGTAAAGTGATTAACATATGAGTGCAACATTCAAATAGATTCTAGATAATATTAAAAACATTCATTTATTTCGAATTTACCTGCATTAGACAAAAGAAAAAGGAAGAAAGAAAGAAAAAAAACACCCCCTGAGAAAATCACAGCTTAAAAACCAGTTTCCACCGCATGTCAAATTGATACCACTAAAATGGGTCATACTTTGACCCGTTGATTTTTTCTTTTGAATAAAAAACTATTGTTTTAAATTAAAATTCGACTGGTCAACCTAAAATTATAATATTATTTTACCTTTTTGACTTCCCCAACTTCAACGTATAAATAGCCACCGTATCCTCAGATTCAAACTCAAACTCAAAACAAGAAGATGGATGACTACAGAGACGCCGGTGAGACTCAATCCAAGTACAAAGGAATCCGTCGCCGGAAATGGGGAAAATGGGTATCGGAGATTCGAGTTCCGGGAACTCGCGACCGTCTCTGGTTAGGCTCATTCTCCACCGCGGAAGGCGCCGCCGTGGCACACGACGTAGCTTTCTACTGTTTACACCAACCCAATTCACTCGAATCTCTCAATTTCCCTCACTTGCTTCCTCCTTCGATCGCCTCCAAAACTTCGCCCAGATCCATCCAGCAAGCTGCTTCCAATGCCGGAATGGCCGTTGACGCCGGAATCGTCCACGGTAACGGCGCTGGTTTCATGTCCGGGAACCCTGGGTACGGAGATACGACGACGTATTGTGCGAGCGGAGGTCAAGCACTGGAGCCGTTGAATATATCGGTGTATGATTATCTGGACGGTCACGATCACGTTTGATCTTCTTTTTGTGAATATATAATTAATTATACGTGGGGCCAATTCAAGAAACTTTGGTCAGCTGTGCGAATCTGTTTTAAAAAGACAAAAGAAACACATACGTATATCTTATTCTTGTGTTTTTTTAAAACGTAATTTTACTAAATACATATCGTGATAAAACATAAAAATTAACACCATACTTTTTCAATTTATTTTGTATATTTTAAATTTATAACTAATTTTAAAGAAAAATCTATTTATCTAATTAATATTAGTTTGTTGACGTTATTCAGTTATCGATCATATTAATTCTATTAGTTTATTATTCAGCTATTTAACTATTAAATTGACATACAATAGTAAACTCCGTGTATTTTACTACGTGTATCTCAAACGCAAAGCACAACTACGATAAACGAATCATTGTTGTTGTTAATTAATCCTAAGAAAATGCAATCACACACAAATCTCGAACTTCCTGTGTTACACACTCTCATTATTGGAATCGCTGATTCTCTCAGTCTCATTGGTAAAAGTCTCCGTTTATTGAACGTCCCTCTTCCTCAATCCATCCATCAAGACTCAAGAGTCGGCACCAAATTGTTTCTGGATATCCGAGAAGGAAACGGTGGCTGAACCTCTCCGCTTGGCCTGCGGCTGAGACGAGTGCTCTCTCCATCCTGTCATGTAAATCACCTACACAGACCACATACGTCAAGGACATTTAGCTATTTGTAGTGTGTACTTTTATCGACTGTGGAAATTTCTATCAACAGACCTGAAAAGTAGCAGGTACAGTGCCGTCTTCTGTGGCGAACATCGAGTCATATATGGCTGCCGTGGCGAGAGCAGTTTCGCGGTTCAAGATCTGCAGTTTTTTTTTTTTTTTTTGTTTTGTTAAAGGTAGTCAAGAAAATGTACGCAGTAGTCACAATAATTGCGAGAAAGTGTAACAGAAGAAGAAACCAGCCTTGTTTCTCTGGAGAAGAGCGTTGGTTTCACCCATTGCACGAAGATGCTCTATAAGATCCAGCGCTGAGTAGGAAGAGATATCAAAGAAGATAGATAGATACACAAAGCTTTCTCGCCAATGATGAAGAAGAGGAAGTGGAACAGTTTTTTTTTACCACTCTTGTATTTAACTACGTATTCATCAACGTCCACACCAGGGAGACTAAAACCCGCCCTGGTCAAGAGATTCCCTGCGTCCCTAACCTGAAGAGGAAAAGAGAAGCCATCAACTTTTTTGTGTGTCATCTACAAATTGCCATCGCCGCCAATGTTAGGATTCACACGCGCCTGCGCTAAAGGCGATAGCCTGGGACTAATGCCTCCTTCACGCTCCATGTGAGCCAGAGTGCATGCTATTCTCAGCTCCCTGGTTAGGACAACAAGAAAGAAGATATGGGAGACATGTTCAATGTTGAGTCTTTGATTCGAAATGAGGGTCAGGACAAACTTTAAGGTTTCCCCGCCAAGAATTGCTGCCAAAAACAGGCCATCGGGCTTCAGGGCCAGTTTGCACTGCAGCCATCAGAACATGAGGACAAGACCAAGTCGCATGATTTAACCAACAAAAGAGGCAAGGAATCGGGAGAACCTGTATCATGGATCCTGGGAGATCGTTTGTCCAATGAAGCCCCAACGAACTTATGATCAAATCAACCGAACTTTGCGCAGACAAGGTTTGTCAGATGGTAGTAGGTAGTCAAATGAAGGATAAGATGCCATGGGTGTTTTGTTACCTCTCTTTGATTGGCAGAAACTCTTCATCACCGACCAGATAAGATGTCCGGATGCGTGAATCCTCTTCAGCATCTCTACATGATTTGACCATGTCATGGGAGGTATCCATCATGATAAGCTTGTCGATCCCACCTGTGCATCATCATCATCATCATCATGATTCAAAAACAAAATCTAAAGCAGGAGGGAGAGAGAGCAAACCGCGACCACGTAGTAGACGCTTAACGGCACCCAGAGACCCTCCCAAACACAGTGCAGAGGGAAAACTCTTGTTACAATCCTAAGAAGAGCAGAGAGTAGGTCCACACAGGATTCAAATCAAATCAAGAATATGCAAAGCTCAAGACTCTAATAACACCACCTATGGCTTCTCCAACCAAAAAAAAAAAAAAGTGTACCTCTAAGCGGTCAAGCAGATTCTCAGCGACAGCGTCGACAAAGGTATCGTTTTTATTGCGGGAAAGCCACGCCGCTCGGTCACGCTTCAATCCGGAGTCAGAATCACAAGTCACAAACGGAGAATCGGGAAGAAGAAGAAAAACAAAATGTAAAGATGGATTCGAACACTACACATGTACGCGCTTGAGGTCCCGATCGAAGATCTTGACCCTGGAGCTGCTGTGCTGAGACTCACCGCCATAGCCACCGTCCGTAGAGAAGGAGAGAGAGGCAACGAATGAGCGAGATTGCTTCGTAGATTTGTCGGGTACTCTTCTTAGAAGCCCAACTCCTCCGTACAGTGAATTGATCCTCCGCATCGTCCGGAGTTTGATCCCTCTTCGGCTCTGGGTTTGGGGAGAGAGACAGTCGAATTTCTCTTTTCATCTTGGTCCCTAATGTGTGTATTCATATTCCATAACTCCTCTCTTGTTTTTAGTTTTTACAGTTTCCCCCCTCATGTATTGCCCGAGTTTGATTCCTTCATATGAAATTTAATGATCATCGGATATATATTGTACTAGTTGATCGGCCTGCACTCTAATATGTTTAATTATTATAAGTATAGTATTAAATTATTTTATTTGTATATAATTAATTATGTATTAATAATAAAAAATAAAATATAAAATATAAAATGTTAAAGATTTCAAAAAAAATTGAAGATAAAAAATATTAACTAAAATTTTAACATATTTCTTAGATTAAAAAATGTAAATATGATAACTAAATAAATAAGAAAACTTGAAAATCTATAATTATTTTTTAAATTTTTATTTTCGATTCGCACGCATGTGCATGTATAATTTTTTAGACATAATTAATTATAATATTTAAATATTGATTAATTTTCTTATACTTTATGTAAACATTATGTTTATATACATATACAGTTTTAGTGTTCAACAACACTCACACAAACATTTCCTATTTCTTTGTGTCTTTTGAAATTTTTTATTTTTTTTAGCGTTTATATTAACTAATTATTGCAAATATAAAAGTTATATTAAATAATAATTAATTTTTTATAATATTTTTTGAATATTATTTATACTATACTTTCTTTTTCTCCTTACATAATATAATCTTATCAATATATATATATATATAAAGTATTTTTTTTCCTTGACCTCTTGCTAACTAAACCAAAATGAATTTAACCATATTTACTTATCCTAAGAGATGGTTGGTCCACACTTTCGTGCGAACCAACCACATCACCGCTCTTAGGACATATAAAGATTTTTTTAAAAAGATAAATTGTCTAACAACTAAAATTAAAATTAGAGTGTAATCGAGGTTAACAAAATATATGCACAATCAATTTGCATGCAAGTTTGACTTTTACACAATTAATATTTATATCTACATGCATATTTGTAAAAAAATCGAAGTATAGCTTTTATGTGTTAAAAGAAAATAACAAAGTATATGTTTTGTAATACATATTTTTATAATGTATGGTTGATTTTTTTAAAAAATAATAAGTATATTTATGCATTTATGTATGAGTTAGAAATAAGTGAATTGTAATATTTAGGTGTTGGTAAGTTTTTTTGATATTTTCCACAAACGTTATGTTTTTATGCGATGCAGTTATTGATGTTTAATAATAATCACGAAAACCGTTTATATCGTTTTGTATCTAATCAAAATTTCTTATTTTTCAGCGTTTTAAGATATATAGTTTCTTAATAAAAATATAATAAATATTTATTATAAAATTTGTGAAATCATATTTTATAAAATTCTCTGAGCTCTCCGCTCATCTCTTCGCCAAAAGTTTTAATAATCCACAATCGCTTGCCTCCACAAACTCTCTGTAACATAATCCTTTTAACCAATCAGATATAAACTTATTTATGTATGATTTAAGGTGTCAAATAATATATTTAATATTTGATTGTTATATTAAAAATTAAGAATTGATCTGTTCCTAATTTTAATATATTTGTTAATACAAAATATAATGGATCACAACATATACAAAAAGTTTTATTCATGAAATAATATTTTAATATGTTGGAAAAAATATATGCATGAAATAATTAATATGTGTAAGATAATATTTTTAAGCATTTGAAATAAAAACATAAAATCGATTAAAACTAGTCTTATTATTTTTTCTCTTCTTTGACTCATACTGTTTTAATATTTAATAATATATTTAACATTAAGATCATATCAAATGTATTTTTTTATTTTTTTCTCTAAAATATAGGTGGACTTCTCTCCAACTTATTTTTATTTTACAGAAAAAGAAAGATTATTATTTTTTCCTCTATATTTGAAAAAAGTAACAACCTTTCTTTTTTCTCTAAATTAGAATATTTAAATAAAAGTGAGTTGGGGATGCTTTAAATCAAAAATATAACCTGAGATTTGTATATAAAACCAAAGTCGTAAATATTCATTTTTACTTTTACTTCTACTTTTTATTCATATATACAATATTATAATAAAAAATTGGCTAAGAGGATATTTATAATTTATTTTTCTCTTTGTTTATTTTTTGTTTCATTTATAATTTCGAATTCTTGCTATATAATGAAAATTCATTCACAGATGATATAAACTTTTTTTCTTATTTGAAAATGAGATTTATTTAGTTTTAACTTAACCAATCAAAACATTTCGTTTATTTTAGGAAATTTGCCATGTCACATTTATGACATGACATTGTTTTACACTAACTTTTCATTAGGTGTTGACACATATGATTTTTTTAGTAAACATGCTTTTTAAATAATAGTTAGGATGTAATATAGTAAAAGTGAATGTAATGTATGTTGCCATTCATTTTTAGCGTGTGGTTATAACTTATAAGCGGCAAAATATTTATATATATATATAATAGAGAAATTGTAACAAATGAACATAGATAATCACTAAATTAAGTGACAGGAATAGATAGAATCTGACAACTTTTTATGTCCACTGTTTCTATTAAAAAGACTATTATGTCCTTATCTATATGTGTTGTAAAAACAAAGAAAAAAAAGAAAGAAAGAAGATGAAGATCGAAAGAGAAGATGGTACTGATGGGTTTGTTGATGGTGGTGGTGGTCGGTGGTGATGATAGAATCACCAATGGTGATGGTGGTGGTCGATTATGAGGGTGGTGTTGGTGATGGTCGGTGGTGGTGATGGTATTGTCGTTGGTGGTGGTAATGGAGTCGGTGGTTGTGGTGGTCGATGATGGAGGTGGTGGTGTTGATAATCGGTGGTGGTGATGGTGTTATCGGTGGTGATGGTCGTCGGTGGTGGTGATGGTGTTATCAATGTGGCGGTGGTTGGTGGCGGTGGTGGATGCCGGTAGTGATGAGTGGAAGATGGTGGACAACTGTAATAATAATGTTAGCAATAATGCTTATGATTGTTATCTATATAGTTATCACAATAATTTTGCATAATTTTAACAGTTAACAAAGTTAACTCTTATTTTTATGAAATGATAGCAATGTTAGCACAATAGTTAGCATACTTACAAAGTTAACACGATAACTTTTTGACATGATAACATTGTTAACATGATAATTTTGCATAACTTATACAATTAACAAAATTAATGCGATATTTATATAATATGCTAATCAAGTACCATATTAGTTAGTACAGTTAACACAGTTAGCACAATACCATATTAGTTAGCATGATAACCGAGTTATTATCCATGCAAACCGCATCAAATAAGTTTAGGGGTAAAATAGTCATAATTATCATATATAATATGTATCAATCTAATTTCTAATTATTGGCTCTCTTTTTCTAATTGTCAGGTTATTTTGGGCCAATTACTAAATTCTCCCTAATAGATTTTGATAGTCTTTTATTTTAAAACTGATTATAATACTACATAAATATCAAATAATACAATTATTTTGGAAATAACAAAGTATAACAATGATTTGGCTGAAACATAGAAAAGAAAAAACTCAAGTTTTATAAACATTTATTAGCTTGGCCCGTAGCTTTGTACCCATCTGCCCACAAGCTTCATAGGTTTGATTCCATCTCTCTCAAAATAAATTCCATCATTTTTAGCAATCCATGTTTGCAGTCGCTTTTTATTAAAACATGCAGACCTTGAGGTACTGTTATGTCTGCCAGCATCTTGAAAAAACGATTAGGTCGTTTTATGTACAAAAAACAAAACCACTCAACCTTTGCTCAGCTGGAATCATATCCTCCTTTGTTCTTATATATGTGATAATCATTAAATTTCAGCTCAGGAAATTTTTCACCATTAGTAAAATTGATTGTTCTACCATTCTCAGCAGGACATGTATATAAAAGAATCTGATCAGGACCGAGTTTGTTTTGAATTTCTATATTATGGTTGCAAGCATTTGCTTCATTAAGCCAAAAATGTATAACAACAATTAACACAAAATATACGATTATTCATTTTTTCTTTAAACAATCAATTTTTTTTTGATTATTATGGATCTAAAGATATCAAAATGTGGTGGTATTTATATATCAAAAAAGTTTACACTATTTTTTTTTGTCAAAGGAAATGGTGCAGACTTCAACTGAAGTCTACTGTTAGAAATTGGTACACGCGGTCAATTGCAAAACTAACATTTGTGTTGACCAGTAGACCTCTTTTGAAGTCTACTACCGAAAGTAGACTTTTTAAGAAGTCTACTTTCGCGGCACAGATCTGAAAACTCACGAAAATTGACTGAAAAATCACTTATCAATAGTATTTAGCTTATTCAACCACCGATTCCTTTGATTTCAGTCACCACCAAACAAGCCCAATCGATTTGCCAGACCAAATCACCAAATATGGCAATATATTAAAACATCAAATTTTAAAAACTTAGATTAGAGAGTTTTTGTGCTGAAATTGGTGAAAAAATGTAAGAGTAGAAGGTTAAGAGAAGAGGAAATGAGGTTACAAAGCTAAAAAATGGGTCTTTGAAGCAAAAAAAGCTTCAAATTGGTTGAAAATGGTGGTTGAGTGAATTGATGGTGATGGCATTTTCGTGAATAAGTGAGAAAGATGAGGATTGTTTGGTAAAATAGATTTCTGAAATAATAATAAAAAACAATAATCTAATGGTATTTTCGTAAATAAATAGAACCGATAAGGATATAAGTGAGAGAAAGTGGTTAATTTCAAAAGTGGTAAAATAGAAAGTTAGTTTAGCAATTGACTTGAATTTATGAGTCATTTTTGCAAGATTCCCTGATTTCTATTGTCGGTGTCTTAGTTGAGACATGATAGTTGTTGTTTCGTTTAAAATGTGATTTGTCTAAAAAGTTTTGTAGTTACCTCAGTTGGAAAATTGAATTTAATATTCAAGTTGGATGTTTCAAATCAGTATCTATTGTCATA